TAGCTAGTATTGGATCTTTGTACTCAATTTTGATTTTCCATGTAAGTAAGAACTGATAGATCCGTATAATGTTCAGACGAAGGTACAACAAATTCAAAACTTTCCTTCATCAAGGGATCCTACAGGTCGATATTCAACATCATACATTGATTCAACAACAGTTTGTGTAGGTGGTAATTTGAATAAATCAAGCTCAGCAGTGGCTGGTGATGATTCATTGTGTATAAATTCCATTATTTCTTGTTGAAAATGTCACGAGATGTTCTCTTTGATTTTCTCTTTGTCTTGTTGACTGGTCTCTTTTTACCTGTTGTTTTCTTTTTAATTGTTTTCCTTTTATATAACCTTTTTCTTCCTTTACCTTTTTGGATACTCTCAACCTTCTGTTGAAGTTTCGTTAGACCCTTTGATGCTAGATTAGTTACCCCAGTCTTGAGTGCTTGTTGAATTTTTGGGTCTTGAGCGACTTTTTTACCAAGTTGTACTCCCTTATCTAAAGCTTCCTGTCCAAGATATTTAATTATTGGCATAGCAAGTCTTGATATAAAACTACCGAATCCGTACCCTCGTTGGTAACGTGGTGCTCTAACAACTCTAATATCACCAAATCCAGAACCAGTTTGACTTGAGTAATAATGACTAAAGTCATTATCTTTAGGACAATAAGCTTTTCGATGCATATCGATGATAGTTTAGAAAACGCTGTTGGTCTTTATACAACTTTTTTACGAAAGTCTAAACTTAGAAACATTCTTCCTTTACCCTCAAAGGCAACCTGATCTCCACTATCATGTGTTGCCAATACACTTATGCTTTCAATATGGTTTTTTCGAATTGGGTAATATATTCTTTGATTAAAAGTACAATACCCAATGTCCTTAAAAATCCCACTTGTTAATGGGACAGCTCGAAGTACAGGAGCCTGTGTGCCACCGATCATATGATCACGTATGATATCAGTGTATAAATACATTAAAAAAATTTTATCGTTTGCAGCGTCCAAATTGAATTTTAGAGACGGAGGAAGCAACTTTTCCTTATTTGCGTAAGACCACCAATCATCTTCAAGTTTATCAATCCCCAAGACCTTTTTTACTTTTATGTCAAATATTGGTACATAAATGCAACCGTGTAAATTATTCTCAAGAAGGTCTTTATTCATTTTCTGAAGATAATATTTAAAAGCTCTCTGGTACTCGCCTGCTTCGTTGAAAATTGAACATTTTACTTTGGGAAAGTCAAGTCCATAGTTTACTGAGATTCCCATAGAATCCACACCAAAGTATTGTACACCGATCTGTAGTTTATCAGTTCCGATTCTCAACGGATAGTCAGCAGGTGTAGTCTCTTTTATGTACTCGGTTGGTAACTCTTTCATCGCTTCATCAAAACTTTGTTGTAAACTTTTTAAAATTTTTTCAGGAGAATCGTTCAAAAAAAATGGTACTGTTTTTGTACTCGACACATAAACCCAATCATTAGTCATAGCAAAAATTTTTTCATTTGTAAAAGCATAAAAACGCTTAATTTTTAATCTATATTTAATCTCAGCTTCCCCAGCAAATTTAAGTGGAAAATATACTTCTGTTAAAGCTGCTTCCCAATCCCCATTCAACTCTAAAGGAGGGTCAATTCGATTTTGAAAAGCTGAAATTGTGTTGTCAGGGTAAAAATTCATTGATCCATTTGAAACGAGATCAATTGTGAATGAGTCTCTATCCATCCTTACTCGTCTTACTTTCGTCCCAGATCCAAGTATCAAACTTTTTTGGCCATCCTTCCCATCGTATCAAGTGCTTATATAATCTTTTCCTTCGATCATAAACACGATCAAGTACTTTGGCCACTCTATACTCTGAATTAGGGTCATATTTAACCTTTTGCACTTCTTCTGGATAGAAAATTGATGTAATGTTTTCATCCATCAAGTCTTTCAGCTTGTAAACAGTATGACCAGGTGTCTCTTTAACTCTTGCGACTTTGAACACCTCATCAGTCCATTGTTGACTAGCACCTTTTTCACCAGTCATTGGGTTGAGAGGAATTTTCACATGATCATCTACTTTAATTGTTCTCTGCTTTTTAGGTCTTGATTTTATTGATCTTTGAATTGTTTGAACTATTTCCTGTTGGTTGTCCTTGGTCACCAAATTTGGGCTTGTTTTAATTGTTCTATGGAATGAATTGTTGTAATTATCAACAATCTTTTGTAAATCATCAATATATCTATTTGATTTATTGTGGTACATATACCTGTATATTTTTGCTCTTAAAGTTCTTATAAATCTTTCAGCTAATGCACATTTTACCGAATTGTCTGTTGTTGTGAAATAATGAACTCCAACACTTGAACAAAAGTCTTGGAATCTTTTGTTTTTAAACTCTTTACCTTGATCAGTTTGTAACTTTTCTGGTTTTCTTCCATTGTCAAATAGTTTCCTAAAAGTACCTGTAATTGTTGATGATGATTTGTCTTTAACAGACTCAACCCAGGCAAATCTACTCAATACGTCAATTACTACCAGTAGATAGCGGTTATTATTATTATCTTTAGCCCAATATGACATATCCATCAAGTCGGCTTGCCATTGTTCATCCAGCCTATCAACTAATACAGGTAAACGTGAAAAGTTCTTTTTTCTTGATCGAAAATTTGTATATGTCTCTTGACCTTGTAACCAATCTTTGACAAAATTTATGTCAATGCTCGGATCAACTCTCCTGACAGCAACAAATAGTCGATTAACACCACCAAAACTTCCATTGTTGTTAATGTCATAATAAATATTCTTCAGAATTTCTTCACGCTTGTCCATTTTATAATTGGGAGTGTTTTTTGTTTATTTTTCTTTTTCAGTGGTCTCTTTTCAAACTCCTTAACGGCTTTATTGAACGTCTTTTTATATTCATCTAAAAGTGGAGGTTCGATCGGTTTGTCAACAACTTCTTGAACTTCTTTTATATTGTTTTAAGTAATTGATATTCTTTTCTGGAATTAACACCATCTTTGATATTGTGTTCATTTGTACTTATTAATCAACTTTTCACCAAAGTATGATAGAGCAGGTAACAGTAGCTGGTGAAAGCTCCACCTGTTTGATACACAATTTCTTTACGTTTCTTTAAAGGAACCCCTGACTTTCTTGATAAGAGTCTTATCTGAGCCTTAAACTTGCTAATTTTCCTTTGTTGTATTTGATTGATAGGTATATTTCCGTTTAGTGTGTTTTTACTTATATCTGAAATTGCATAGAATATACAAGACTTTGATTTTCTTAATAACTTATTTCTTTCAGTTTTTGATTTTTCATTAGCAAGTCTTTTTAATGTCGGTAGACACTTGATGACTCCTTCAACTGTCATGTTGAATAACGTTAAAACAACAATTTCTTTTATATAAATTATAGTGGATAAACATACATTGGGTCATCATTTTCATTGAAATTGTTGGCTAATAATCGAAGCTTTTCAGGTGTATCAGGTTTCAAATCAAAGAACAGATATGAATAAGGTTTCGATGTAGCATCTTCGAAGATCTGTTGAAGTTTTTTAATCCTTGATGGAAACATTTGACGCGCAATATTTGAAATCATTGATTTGTCTCTCGGATTTTTGAAACACACTACATACTGACTATTTAAACTAATATTTCTCATCTCTTTACCTTTAACAAAAAAGTTTTGAGTTATAAAAATTACTGATATATTACGATGATGTGAACCACGTGTAAAAAGATTACTTATAAAACTCTGATTAGCTGCTTCAAACATTAAATCATCTATTATTATCCATTCAGGGTCAGCTCCTCCGGCTTGGTTAATCATATCCTCTTGGAGCCCTTCTACAAAAGTAACATTACTCATTGAACTAAATTCTTTTTGATATTCTCCATAAAAGTAGGTTATTTTAACTGGAGGGGGGTCACAAATTTTCTCTGCTAGGTTTATCATATTTCGCACAAAGTATGTCTTACCAGAGCCTGTAGGCCCAGATACATACATTGTGAATGGATGCTTCAAATGAACAGAATACATTTTGTGTTTAATTAATTTCTTTATTCATTTTATATTAAATCATCAAGTTACAATTGATGAGGGAACTGATACATTGGGAGAAGATTTTCTATCTTCAGCTTTATAATTTCTGTAACGAGGGTCGGTAATAGATAACCAAGTGATGATCCTAAAAGTGCTGTCCAAAGTGGTAAGTTTCCGTCTTGAATACTATATTAGCGATAGCAGTTACACCATTGATAATAGAACCAATATTTGTACCGAGAAAAGCACCTTCTTGCACCAAATCCTATATTCTTCCGCTTTGTCCATGATTAACTTTTACTAAGAAAAAATTATCCTTTATATAATTGTTCAAACAGAATGAAGTATTTTTCTATATCGATAATGTCACGAATACCAGTAACAGTAACTCGTCCGGTTCTTTTGAAGATGATAAAAATTACCTTTGTGTTATCGACTTTAACATGTACACCAGGAAATAGTTCAGGCTCATATGAATAATAAGGAAATTTATTGAGATGATAATATTTGAAATTAGAATTTAATCTCGAATGTGCGACAATATTTACTACCTTGGCTTCTGTTTTATATAAATTATCTGGATAAAGATCACAAAACTTGTCAATTAGCTCATATGCAGCGGCATAAGTTTTTACTCCTGTAACATTGATCTTACCAGAATTGAATATTAATAAACAACCACCATCAAGCTTCAGTATTCCTCCTGAAAAACGTTTGGGATAATCAACAGATGGACAACATGCTTTCACGATTTGTCGATCCAACTTATTATTCAATTTAAATGATATTACAATATTGTTGATAACAATTTCTTCACAAAGCACCATTTAATCAACTAGTGATAAACGTAGTATTTTTCGAATACTAGTTTTACAAATTGGACACGAATCAAGATCAATTGCACAGTCCGTACAAGACACTGTATGTTCACAAGGATGGAAAATACAACCAATTTCCTTTTCTCTAGATTTTACACTTGTATCTGCCGATATCCACTCTCAGTAGTTCTGGTTTTGGTATTTGTGGTTTAGTTTCTAAAACACAACGTAAAGGAAAATCGCAACCACATTTTATACATAAAATAGCAGTTTTGCTATGTATACCATGTTCAACGAATGGATCATCATCTGTCTGCCAATTGAAAAGTACACTGTCACAATGGAAGCAAACTACTTTATCTTCGTTACCTTCGTAGAAAAATCCAGCGTCTGTTAACTTTCCGATGTCTATATCCGGCCTTGGCCAATTAACAAATGATTCAAGACGAGTTATAGGGTTTCTGTACTCTGGATGACGTGGTCTTGAACCACCAATACCATTATAATTGTAATGATATCTGTATGGGTATATTCTTGCTATTTGATCATACTCGTCAAACGATTCAACCATGATTAAAAGAAAATTGAAATCGTCAGCTCTATTTATACCTGAGAAAATATGTCGGCTATAAATAGACTGTCTCGTTACAAAGTGACTCATTTTGTGTATCCAAAAGAAAGAGAGAAAGAAAGAGAAAAAGTAAGAGAAAAAAGAAAGAGAGGTGGTTCATACTGTGTATAAAAAGAAAGAGAAAAAGAAAGAGATGAGAAAGAGAAAAAGAAAGAGAAAACAGAAAAAAAGTGTGCTCAACTGTGTAGTTTTACTACTACTGAACCGTTCGATTATCAGAAATCGAAATGAATAAATCATCAGATTATCGTAATTACGATCAATTGACTAATTGAATAGAGATTTAATAAAATGACCAAAAAGCAGAAAATTAATTGTGGATGAATAGAAAACACTTTCTAATAAACAAAGCAAATAGAAAATATCAATTGTAAGTGCGATGATCACGAACATTGATTAGTTGACTGATGGTCTAAGTTGACAAAGAGCAATTACAACGTTTTGATATTCGAGTTTTTTCTCAGTTTCTAACTTTTCACCAAACATATTGAACACAGAAAAAATCAGAATTTAAATCTCTACATCACAATTTGAATTAAACTTTTCAAACGCATCAATTTACGAATGACCTTTTTGATCAATTAGTCCTTATTGAATTAGCTGGAGTCTCTGTTTGAACAGCTCGGTCTTTAACTACAACCAATCTTTGACTTTTAGTGAAACTGATCTTCATGAATTGTTCAGTAATAAGAAGTCTGAGTTGATTCAGTGTCAGGATGTAATTCAACTTTAAGTTGTTCGTCAATTTTTTATTTGCTTTTTCAAGTCTGATGCTTCTGTCGTTGATTGGAAGTCTCCGTAATCATTTATTAACCTTTTGAAGCTAATTTGACACAAGAAAAGGTTGAAAACCTTAATACAACCTCTAATTTGCTCTCCGAGAAATGACCGCAAAGACCTTGAAACTTTTTCAAAAGCTCAGTAATACTAATCAGTCTACTTATCTGATAAACTTCTTAGGACAAACGGTACAATCGCTTTATCATTAACGAAATAATTAAATATCGGTGCAAGTTTACAAATAACAATCAATTTGATCAATTGAGAATCAGTACAAACAATTAATCGATTAGTCCAATGGATAAATCTGATTCTTCAAAACAGAATAATTATTTTCAGAATTTCAATAATCATTTGTTGTGATGACCGAAACTCAGCAATTTACTTTTACAGTTTGATTCGAATCTATTGTTATATTAACACATATAAGTTGACGAATCAATTTGTCACAAAGCTGATATGTTTGTTGAATTAGCCGAGAACCGCTTGAGGCGATAACTATTCGATGAGGAAAATAAAGAAGAATAAAACTAAACGAGAATAACTCGTCCTTGAAGTGAGAGCAATTGATTGAATGGTTGCATTAATCGAGAATAAGATAAAATCTGAGGATAATTCATTTCCTTTTTTCTATTGCAAATTTTTCCAAATGTTGATTAGATTTTAGGTGCGTTCATACCAATTGGATTAAAGTTTATCTACAAACATTGTGAGAGATCAAATACTTAATTAACAATTGAGAGCTTCAGTTGATCACAATTGACAAAAGAGATCAACATGATCGCATTAATTGTTGAGAAAATTATATTTACCTGTTTCTCTCTTTTCTATGGATTCGTTGTTTCTCTCGCAATTATTTTCTTCCATGCGATTACCTGTTTCAGGTTCATTCGTAACAAGGACTATTCGAAGCGACCAACGATTCTTGATGATCCAAAATGGGGAAAACATAATTCGATGAAAGTCAATGTGAGTATTTAATTCCTATTCCATTTTTCCAATGGCTACTTTTGAACATTCGTTTTTGCTATTAGTTAATCTCATGAATCAACGATTGTTTCTGTTTTCACGTTGCATTAGTTTTCTTTGCTCTGGTTAATTGTTGTGTTTATTTTTTCTTCTTCTTGATTCTTCCGATAGAATAAAGTGATTCACTATGTTGCTAAGGGAAACCCTGATGATCCGATAATTGTATTTCTTCATGGTTTCCCTGATTTCTGGTATTCTTGGCATCAACAATTGATTCACTTTGCATCAAAAGGCTATTACACTGTCGCCATAGATTTACCTGGTTATGGAGAGTCAAGTAAATTATTGGAAACTGGACAGAGGAGAGTTGATTTGGTTTGTGATGACCTGGTCAAAGTGATTCAAAGTATAACCACTAAATCACCAAATCACCAGAAAATTGTCCTTGTTGGACACGATTGGGGAGCTGCGGTCTCTTTTTATATTGCTTACAATTATCCAAATCTGATTGAGAAATTAATCATTCTCAATGGACCTCATCCAAAACACTTCCAAAAGCTACTGAAAACCAGCCTGAAACAATTTACATCTTCTTGGTACATGTTTTTCTTTGGGCTACCCTGTCTTCCTGAATATGCATTCAAATCATTTGATTTCTACAGTCTGAAGATGTGCTTCGTTAACGGAAACAAATCGCCGATTATGAGTGCTGATGATCTGATCCCGTGGAAGTACATTTACAGTCAACAAGGAGCAATAACATCGGCATTAGGTTATTATCGGGATAACATTGGAAATGCCAAAAGATCACAAGCCGATTTTCGAATCAAAGTTCCGATGATGTGTATTTGGGGCGATGCCGATTTCGCCTTATCGACAGAATTAGCGACTGGAATGGCAAAGTATGTTGATAATCTTCGGCTTCGGATAATCGAAGGTTGTTCTCATTTTGTTGCTCTCGAAGCCCCAGAAAAGGTCAATTCATATATCAACGAGTTTCTCAATGAGTAATTAACTTGCTAATGATAACTAATCAAAAGATAACATTGCCATTCAATCAACATGATAATTAACACAATGTCAGATTATCATAATGCAGTCAAATTGCTTTGTCAATGATAACAACATCTTTATTGTTATTAATAATTAACAGAATACATTATTATTTTAACTTAACAATGAGCATTGTAACAACCGGAAAATTACAATCAATGTCAACCTTATTTACATAATTAAATCAATCTTTTAATTAGATTATTCATCAATCATAAATGTAGTTGCTCAATAAACTCATGAATCTTAATCTAATCATGAAAGAAAAGAGACAGAAAATTAATCAATAAGAGCAATTATCTCAATAGAAAAAAAATCTCGATCATGAACATGATCACTTATTAAGCTATTTAATTGTCTACCAGTCAAATGATTAAGGTTTGGTAAAATTAATCAACTTGACAATATGATTATCAACTAAATCAAAGATTATGTTGCCAAAAAACATTGATTGAGCTCATCAGTAAATCCAATGATAATTAATGATAATTTATCTCTCGTTATTAGCTCGTAAATCAACAACAATTAAAAGATTTCATTCTAACCCAAGTGTCGATAATAATCCAAGTGGTTCAAATTAACAATCGAATAATTAGTAAACTATTTGATTTTAAGAAATTAATTTCTCACAAAAGAACAGCCCATGGACTCAACTTTTCCATGGAAAAGATTCTATTTTCGATTCGTCTTCCAAATAATCAGCATGAAATCAGAATTGAACCGAAATATCGAGAAATTAATCATCATGGAAATGGTTAATTATAATCAATCCGTTTGGATTAGCAACACTTTATTAACTTTAATAAACTCAAATAATAACATAAAATGACATAAAATTGAAAATAGTGATTAGAAGAAATTGTTTGTTAATCAACAATCAGAATAAGAAATGTTAACACCAATCAAAAAATGTAAATCAAATTATCATGAACCAGTTGAACAATTAAGTGAATGCGTTGATAGTATATTGTTGTAATGTTAAGAAAATTGATTAAACAAAAAAATTTAGTTGATTGCACGGATGGTGATTGTTTTCATTTGCCAATTGAGCTGATTTATTAATTGTGGTGGCGAAAAGGAAACAAAGATTAATTGTTTCCGTTTCTCTATTTCAAAGCTATTTATCCAAACTGTTGATTAAGTTTAATTTAGTTACAATTAATCATCGTTATGAGGTTGTCGGTGTTTTTAGTAACATCCTTAAAGTATTAATTAAATTGTGAGTAGTTGAAGGAATCAACTGAATCAATTAAATTTACTTTAAATAACCTTAATTGGAAAAAGAGAGAAGGAGAAACAATCAAGTTCAGTTAAAAGGATGGAGATGATTTACTCATAATGATAACAGTTAATTGTTGTTATTATCAAGATGAATGAGTAGTTGGTGTATTTTTATTGTCATTAGTTTATTATCATCAATTGCTCCTTTTATTTCACTTAATTACGTTAATTAGGTGATGACCTCTGATTTTTACTCTCCTCTATTCAGATTACGCTCATGTTTGGATTGTTGTTGCTGTTGTTTCATGTTATTGATTAATGATTTATATTATTGATTTAGAAATTAATGTTAGATACTAATGATAAAGGAACGGAATAAAAACCCAGATTAATTGGGATTAAATTGTAATCATCAATGAGTTAGAATTAGAGAGGATATGATAATAGGAAAAGAAAGGAAGATAATTCAACATATTAATAGAATTCACCTTAATGATATTGAGAGAAAGACAGAAATGTATCTTGTTTACATTAATGTTTCTCTTTCAAATGTTAATTGCTTTTAATTAAAACAATCAAGGAATATCATTTGCGATGGATTAAACACATTAACGATAAACTAGCTTTCGATTAACAGGTAATTAACAATAATCATTTGTAACAAAAGGGAAAAACGCTCATCCAAACTAATCAATATGGAGATAATCAAATTTTCAATTGTCTGATTGGTGAACGTGATTGTTGATTGAATTAAGACAGATCTTCATCAATCTGATATTTAACCTGCAAATTATTAAATTGTCATTTGTCGATGATACTGATCAGTTTCGAGAATGTGTTGGAACCATTTCCATGATGAAACTTTCACAGGAAACAAGAGAAGCTTTAATTAGAGAACCGTCACAAATAAAAAAGCAAAAGATGTTTTATCGTGTGTGTGATTATGGAGACTATTTTAATTCTGTGTGTGAGTAAAACCGCAGGGAAGATGAAATAGAAGAAGTTATTCAAATTGGAACAAAAGCATCAGAATTTCTGTCAATTCTATTTGCTTTTAAAATTGTGTGAGGGGAGAAACGGTAGATTGTATTGATTCAATCGCTGATCAAACATCAACGATTGTCTGCTTGGTATTCCTTGGATAGTTCAGTTGCTTTCCTATTCATCAATATGTTTCAAGTTCTTGCAGAGATAAAGAGTAAATGAGTGTAAGTGTATAATATATGGTGTGTGTGTGTGTGTGTGTGTGTGTGTTTGTGTGTGAGAGTTTGTGTAAGTGTTTATATTTAACTGGGAATACAATGTGTTGACACATTTTCTTTTCAATATTGTGGTTTTGTTGTGATTTTGATTTATAGTTGCTTGCTGGTTGTGGATGTGGTTGGTTCATTTCTCGCAATTTCTTTCATATCTCCATGCAAGTCTGGTGATATTTAGTGAGGATTTTGATTGAAAAAAAGGTGGAGGTTGATTTATATGTAAATGGTTATTAATGGTATGATGAAATTGAAGCAATGAAAGAATCTTGTTTAAAGATGTTTGATGATGATTATTTTCCATGGATTTTTTGCTTTTCATATTTTTTCATCTCCCTTTCATTGAAATGATCCATTGGATCTAATTAAAAATGATGAATTAACCTTGTGTTTGCATTCACTTTGATGTCATCATGGTTACAAATTCTGTTTAATAAAAAGAAAAGAAAGAGTAAAGATAATATGTGAGAGAGAGAGAGAGAGAGAGATAGAAAAGAAAGAGAGATGGAAAAGAGGAAAACGTCGACAGAATAGTGAAAGAGTGAGACAAAAAAAGAAATAGAAAGAGAGTAAGAGGATAAATGAAATAAAGGAGAAAAAGATACGGAGGAAATGGTGTCAGAGTTGATCGAAAGAGCAGGAGCAGGTAGTTGGGAGAATAATAGAATTTGGTTGCGGGGGTTAAAACAAAAGCAAATTGATAATAGAAATTAAAGGTAATTGACGAATTAATTGAGACACCAGATGAAAAGACAAGGGTGGTGAGTGAAGGGAGAGAACATGTTAATCAGTTAGAGTGGAAAACTGGATTAGATTGTTAACCTTTGATACCAAAAAAGTGGAAACACTTGGAGAAAGAAACAGATCAATTCTTACCTTCGTAATTCACTTGCCCATCGCCATCAATATCCGCTTCTCGGATCATTTCATCGACCTCTTCATCGGTCAATTTCTCTCCCAAATTGGTCATAACGTGTCTCAATTCAGCAGCAGAAATGAAACCATTTCCATCTTTATCGAAAACACGGAAAGCCTCTCGAATCTCTTCTTCGGAATCTGTGTCCTTCATCTTCCTGGCCATCATGGTGAGGAATTCAGGGAAATCGATTGTACCATTACCATCGGCATCAACCTCATTGATCATATCTTGAAGCTCAGCCTCCGTTGGATTTTGACCTAAGCTTCGCATCACAGTTCCCAATTCCTTGGTGGTAATAGTTCCATCGCCATCCTTGTCGAAAAGTGAGAAAGCTTCTTTAAATTCAGCAATTTGCTCTTCTGTAAGCTGATCTGCCATTTTAACAATTTAAACGAAAGTAGAGATTATTGATTTTTTGGAAAAGGTGATAATCTGGTTAATCTAAACCAAGAACTTGGTGATGTGTATTAGAGATGAAGTAGAGTTGAAGGGAAATACAGAGGGTTTTGTAAAGTTAAATTGAAATGAAGGTCAATCAAGTTACTAGTCTGATGACCAAGAGTAGAAACAGATTAACAAGCAAAGATGATGGCAAATGAACAAGTACAAACAATCAAAATGAAATTCGTTATTGATTATCTAGAAGAGAAGAAGAGATTCACAGGGGGAGGGAGACGAGTGAGTGAGTGAGTTAGTGAGTGAAAGAGAAAGAAGGAAAGAAAGAGATGAGTAGAAGTGAAGAGACAGAGAAAGAGAAAGAGAAAAGTGAGAGAAAGAGAAAGATGATGAGAATGATGAGAATGATGAGAAATTAAGAAAAGCCAAAGAGATGGCGAAAGTGTAGATTCAATTGATGATCAATTTAATCTGAAACGAAAATGATGAATGGAAGAGAAACAATTAAATCGATGAGTAATAATAGACGAAGATGGGAAGAGATCACAATTAAATCCACAAATATAATTAATGTTGTTTTTTATTTTCCACTGCAACTTTACATCTGCTCCAAACCAGAATTTCTAGAAACCTCGAGATATTTGCGACATCTATTGCGAATCACGGTTGTTACCTTTCAATTGTTTCTTCGCGTTTTCTATCATTCTAACGATTAAATGCTAATAATCTACCAATTGTCAACAATCAACTGGTGAAATCTTCTCGCCTTTAATTGTGATTTTTTCGTTAAGAGAGCAAGTGAGAGAGAGAGAAATGTAAGAATTTCCATCTACTGTTTGAGTTTCCAGCGTTTCCTTGCCTCCGTCTTTGTTTCCGTCCAGATTTGGTCTTCGATAGTTGAGCTTAATTTCCACCGATTTAATTGTTCATTTGTTAGAATTGTCGTTGATCAATTGCAAATTAAATTGGGATATTTGGTTGAGAAAAAGTGAAGAGCAGGCGCAAAGAGAACATTTTGTTGAACATTTTTTGTCATAGTAACTGATTTGCTTTTGATTATTTCTTTTGCTTTAAAGTGACATTTGCCTAACGTTACTTTCTCTTGATAATTAAATGTTAGTATGACAGTTAGTTAATTGTTTGTTACTCTCCTTGGACCAGGTAGACCTTGTGGTCATCTTGTTGTTCTCTTTTTTCTTTTTCCTTCTCTCTAACTGAATCAATTCACTGCAGACTTGAAATCTTCTCATCTGTTTATTTTTCATCTTTGTTTTAGTGTTTATCCGTTGGTATTTTCGTTAAATTTGGTTGATCATTTCATCAAATCATTTGACATTTAACTTGATTTGACTTGTTTTTCAAATTGGTTGGTTCCCTTTCCATCAAGTGTCAACTAGCAAAATCCCAAAGGAAAGACAATTACTACTGATTCCATTTTCCTCTTAATTGTATACTAGTCGGTTAATCATCTACTTTGACAACTCCCTTCACCATTTACCTTAATCAATGCATGTAAGCAGTTCACCATCAAGTAATGTTGGCAGTAGTGGTGACAAAAGTGGAACCACCGGTGATTCTGGTCCATCAAATGGTTTACTTTACTTAACCTTTAATCAAGATCAAACCTGCTTTGCTTGTGGTATGACCAATGGCTATCGTGTCTATTCAACTGACCCATTAAAGGAACAGAAAAAGTTAACACCTAAAGAAGGAGGTTTCGGTATTGTTGAGCTTTTCCTCCGATCAAATTATGTGGCTCTTGTGGGTGGTGGAAACAAACCCATGTATCCCGCTAACGAAGTTGTCATTTGGGATGATTTGAAGAACAAATCAGTGAGCCATCTCAAATTTTCCAGTGAAGTTAAAGCAGTCAAATTACGTCGAGATCGAATCATTGTGGTACTTGAAACTCTCGTAAAGGTTTATGCCTTTGGAAATGTTTCTCAAGAGAAAAACGTATTTGAAACATGTTCCAATCCGAAAGGTCAGAACCACTGCAAGAGTTTAAACTTAAAAATACTTTTAGAAACACTAATCATCTTCTTTTGCTTCCAGGTATTTGTTCAGTTTGTCCACAAGATAACAATTCATTATTAGCATTTCCATCTCGAAAAATTGGACACATAAGTTTAGTCGATTTTATCAATGCCGATAAACCGATAATTGACATTTCTGCTCACAAAACGCCTTTGAGTTGCATGGCTTTGAATCTGCCAGGAACAAGACTTGCAACGGCGTCGGAAAAGGGAACATTGATCAGAATTTTCGATACAACTACTGGTAACATGTTGAATGAACTGAGACGAGGAGCAAATCAAGCAACTATTTATTGGTGAGATTAATCAATTCCAGTTCTCTAATTTAACAATCAACTAATTCGCCTGTTTCAAAATTTCTTTTTCACTCACAGTATCAACTTCAATTTCAATGCTTCTCTTTTATGTGTCTCAAGTGACCACAGTACTGTCCATATATTTGCCGTTGATGATCCAAAGAAAATAAGCAATCGGGGTAATTTATTTCTAAATTGATTCTTGATGAAACGATCAATTAATTGATTATAAAAATTTGCTAATTATATCTGGTTAAATATACTATGTGATTATTAATACGTTAGATATTTTTATCGACAATTGATGGAATCAATTATTGGCTTTCATAATCACAATGATTAATTGATTGGCTGATTTATCAATTTCAGATCCGCTTCATCTCTTAAAATAGTTTCTTAGATTGTTATTAGAAAAGTCTACAAATCTCAATTACCTGATGTTGATTCTCTCCATGTTAAGGGAAACAATTAACACCCTTTCTAATTTTTATCTCTTTTCCATTCCATACCAACAGATTATCTTCAGCATCATTTTTATCCAATTATTTCAGTTCTAATTGGAGTTTTTCAAAGTTCTCTGTGCCAGTTGGTTCTAAATGTATCTGTGGTTTTGGAGCTGATCCTAACTCGGTGATAGGTGAGTTTCCAATCGAGCGATTTGTCAGAGTAAAATTAACTTGATTCTCTTTTTCTTTTCAGCAATTTGCTCCGATGGAAGTTATTACAAATTCATTTTTAATTCTAAAGGCGAATGTACCAGGGACAGATATGCACAATTTTTAGAATCAAATGAAGATGCTACTTCATCATAACCTCGAATATACTCTAATTATCCTCTTCTCTTCCTCTGACTACTTTTTGTCGTTATCGTCAAATCTTTTGTATTATGGTATTTGGTCCATTTGGAAAACAATTTGTATTAACTAAACAACTTAAAATAAATTCTGCCACCAATCGTTTAACCAACATAGTTTACTATTCATTTATCTTTTCAAACTTGCAAATTTTGTCTAGTTGAAAGAAGTATCTCAACAAATTGATCCATTCACAGTTCTTATTGAATATCAGATATTTTTCATTCTCTTCACTTGATTAATGAAAAAATCAACATCTTAGTCCACATAAAGCCGAGAAAATGTTCAATGTTAAGAGAACCACAACTCTGAAACTGAGAACTCGATAGAGATGTCCAATAGATTCCTAAAGATAAAGATGAATAAAGAGAAGATAAATTGTTAGTCACATAAAGAAAAAATTGACAGAGAACTTACTTTGAAAAAGCTCATTTTTATGTTGAATAATTGAAACGATTTCTGTTGAAGTTGAATTGAAATGTGAGTGACATTTTTGCCATTGATCAAATATGAGATTAATTGACTTAGTTCAATATTTGATTAACAATCTAAAGGGGTTTTGTTGGCTGACGCAAGAGAACCAGACAATTTATGAAATTAAATTGTGGAAATCAAGCTGAAGCCTTTTGATTTCAGCAATCAGGAGGAGGTGAAGTCTCAAAGGAAAAATGAGAATTCATTGGAATACCCTGATTAAAGGAGTTGGTCAAGTTAATCATAATGCCAATTAAGAATTTTGTAAACCGACCGTAATTGACATGAACCGGCGGGTAAAAAGATGATGAAACAAAGGTTGACATGTACATCAGCCTTTGATGAATTCTTCAGAATTCACCTTGCATCGGTTAGGTTGTGAGTTGTTAATTCTTGTTTTCCAAAAAATCACAAGAAAATGCCACAAAAAAGAGACACAACACTGATTAACTTAAAAACCAACTGATTTGAATCAAATCATTTGATTCAGTAATTTACTTTCTTCACATTGTAACTTGAGCTCAAGCGAAACCCGAATGATCCGGTTAATACTCCGCTTATCGGATCGCAAGAAATTTCAACTCAAGAGAAGGTCAAATATTAAACTGATTGTGGATAATCTACTTTTTAATGCCATTTGGTTCTCAGAAAGCGAATTGTTTTATCTCTAGAATGTTGTTAATTTAATTTCGCTTTTTATCATTTAATTGATTAAATTTCCGAGATTTAAATATATCGATCTCGAATATCGCTTTTGGAGAATCGATAACATCGATACTCTCAAAGCTGTGGCATCAATTTTACTCTTTGAAATCCTTTTGGTCATTTGTGTTGATTGTTTAATTAAATCATTTGCTTAGATTTTGACTAATTGGTTTATGTTTAGTTCCTTCTTGAAGAGTCGCGCTTACCTAATTTACCATGTCCTCAGTGTCAGTGGTAAGTTAATTTGTTTTGGATCAGTGGAAATGTTTCCATTTATCTGTTTGTTTTTCTCTCTCTATTTTCTTTGGGATCCTTTTTGTTTTTATTTGTGGTTCTCATTGATTCTCATGTATTTTCTTTCCTTTAGCCGAAACTCTATCGCTCCGTAATTGAGGATGTTATTAATGGTGTTCGTGATCTGTTCTTAGATGATGGGGTTGATGAACAAGTTTTGATCGATTTGAAGCAAACTTGGTACAAAAAAGTCGAAGAAACAAAGGCTTTAATTGATGAGAATAATAAGGATAAAGGAGCTTCAACGACCGGAGCATCTTCCAATTCTAATTCTACAACTTTAAGCACAACTACAACCATCACACCCGCAACTCGTCCTGTTACTGCAGCACAGTCACAGGTCACTCAAGTAATTGCATCGAATCAACCTCGTCACATTACCACAGGTAGCTCAGGTTTACCTACACAGACCTCAATTACTCAAGTAATTACTACAAATCAGCCTCGTACACTTAACGCCGGTGGCTCATCATCTTATTCTCAACCAGCGCAGATCAGTCAAGTAATACCCTCTAACCAGCCTCGTACACTTACTACAATTGGCACGACATTGCCCCAACAGACACAAATTACTCCAGTAATTGCTACGAATCAAGCTCGTCACATTACCACTGCTGGTGGCTCTGGTTTGCCGCAACAGCTTAGTTTTCCTTCTGGAAGTGTAATTCCACACACGGTTCTACAATTTCCCTCCGGAGAAAGAGTAAGAAAAAGAGTCGCTTTTAGACGCAAAACTAGTTAGTCTATTGCTATTTAACTCTGACTCGTTTTCTTTATTACAGATTGATGGCTCTAAATCAGTGCCTAGTGGTAAAGTTATTTTTCTCAATACACAAGCTTCTGGATTAATGGTTAGTCTTTTAAAGTAACTTGATAAAAACGAAACCATTTCCTAAATTTTTCTTTATTCATCCAGAGCTCTTCTGCTACTACTGCTAGCCTTGCATTGCCTCCTGAATTGGCCTCTAGTTTACTTCAACAAGCTAATAATCCTAATAATAGCGGTGGCGTTATCAATATTCAATCAATGCAGCCCCAAGAATTAGTTGTCCGACACACAAGCAGTAAGAATATTTTCCATCTCCCTAATTCCATGTACTACAAGGAATCTTAATCCCTCTTTTTAGATCCTACGAGTGTTATTAATGGCCCAACGACTATCCAATTTCAACCTGCTTCAGGTGATCAGCGAGCGACAAGGCCTCCTCACCCAAACAGCTCGGGTGAGTTATCGTTCTAATTTTACATTTTGTCGCAAGGAGCATCAAGTGAAAACACTTCTCTTTCATGCTTCTGTTTTTAACATTTTTTAACCAATTTTTTCACCTCAGGAGGAACCACTAATGTGGTTCAATTAGATGGTCCTAATGACAATAGTAGTGATGACGATGATGACGACGACGAATTTCGTGACAATGACGATGACCATGAAGATGATGACAATGATCAAAATGATGACGAAAATGAGTATACAGGCGAGGAGGAGGTAAGCGTTGTATGCATCAACCATTTCTACTTATGACTCTCACCCAACAATCAGAGTGTTAACTTCGTCTCTTTGTTTTCCGTTAATACTACAGGAGCCATTAAATTCAGAGGATGATGTCAGTGATGAAGATCCACATGAGCTATTTGATACTGATAATGTTGTTGTCTGTCAATATGACAAAGTGAGTTATTTACCTGGTGAAATTTGTTCGCGTTTTTTGTTACAATTGTTTCTCTTCCCTTTAGATCACCCGAAGTCGTAACAAATGGAAGTTCCATCTCAAAGACGGTATTATGAATCTCCAAGGAAAAGATTACGTATTTCAGAAAGCTATTGGTGATGCTGAGTGGTGATTAGTTAATCACAATTGGGATGCAAAATCTGTGTAATCATTCAAAAATCCTGAAGGATTGTCAACACAACTAAAACAAGATTCAATGTTTTATGTGAGCCAAATTCATTTGAGTGAAAAAAAAGACAATGTTCTACATCAATTTTGTTAATAATTGGCTCGTATAATTTCAAACTAAAAAATTAATCGTGAAATACAGTTGCTTATTTAAATATACTATCCAATTGATTTTTGTTGAAACAAATCTCGGAACAATCAAGTCAAAGAGATGCCATTGAAAATTAATCAACATCTTCAGCTCAATTAATCAGTTGAGGAAAGTACAGGAAATCAACTGGTTGACTAGATTAAACCCTTTTCTGAATAAATTTATTTTAAATAAATAAATTTTGTTAGATCTTTTCATAATGATAAAAGTCGATCATTTATTTAAGTTGAAATATAAACATTACATCTTATTTCTGATCGATTGACTACCACTGGCAGTCTGTACACTGAAATAATGGTACATGATGACCAGAATGAATAGACAAATTCCTAGAATGTTAGCAAAAAAAGACAATTGGACATCGGTAATCATCTTGACAATAAAATGGTTGATCTAATGTAATGCAACGTGTACTAAGAATAGAGAACAGGTAAGAGAAACAAAGAATTAGAAAATTAACAGAGTCAACGAATCGTTGAAATAGAAAGGGAACATCGAGACTTACCTGAATAAATAATTATTCACGTGAACAAATTAACAATTTCAATCAAAGACTAAGAAATTGAAACAAAACAGAATCAAAACAATCAAGTGGAAAAACTGACAAAATGAATTTTAATCCAATTGGTGTTTAGAATTTGTCGTGAAAATAGCCACCATTCTATTCTCACAGCGATCGTGAAAATAGTCGTTGTTTTACTTTTTGTTTTCATTTCAATTTGTTTTCTTCTGGTTCAATTTGCTTTAAATTAAATAATTAATTGAATGGTATACAATTAGAATCTAAATATTTCATCACTACCGTTTTTGTATTCGTTTCTTGGACTGTTCATTTTAACAATTGACTTGATTTTTTCGCTTCATCAAATCTCATCAATTCGACTTCAATTGTTAGTCAAGTTCACATTTCAAGAGATTTTTAAATGTTCTCATTGTTTCTAATCGACAATTGTCACTTGTGGAAATTCTAATATCCATAATTGTGAAAATGGAAGTGACTGAAGATTCTCATCATGGTGAAAAGGAGATCAGAAAGCATAAGGTGAAGAAAAAAAGACATAAATCGAGTGAAGATCCAGTTGAAAAGCCTCAGCTAGAAGAAGGCGAAATTCCAGCTGATGATTATGATGAAGCAAAAGTTAAATTGAAGAAAAAAAAGAAAAAGAGCGATTGTGATAAAGAAAAGAAAAGTAGAAAGAATAAGAAAGAAAAAAGTCACTCTAAAGGATTTTACAATTTAGACGATTACTCTAAATCCGATTTAGAGAAAAGAAGGAAAAAATCAACATCTCCAATTGAACGAACTGGAATCGGATATCACGAGCAGTCATCGAATCAAACGGACCATCGGCGTGAAGATCGTCACAGCAATTCTAACTCTTATCATCGTCACCGTCACCATGAGCATCGTAGTCATCGTCGATCGTCTCGTTCCCACGAAAGAGATAGAAAACGCCGAAGAAGTCGATCGAGAAGCCAATCAGTGATTGAGAAGGTCGACAAAGAAAAGCTTCTACAAATCGCAAAAGCGAATCTCGCTCGTATGATAAAAGCAGGGACTCTACCCAAAGGTGTTGATATTGATAAGCTCAACTTGGAGCAGTTGAAAAACTTGAAAGAAAAAAATTCTATAAGTCAATGGTCAGAATATTGTCGAGCCCTTTCTGTTATGGAAGCAGCGACCAATGAAGATTCTGCAGATTCTGATTTGTATTCTGATAGTGATGAAAATTCTGATACTAAATCTGTGTGTTCTGCTATTGTCCGTCATCCATTTCAACTTAAGGAGAGAAAAGATATCCAGATAAAAGTTAAAGATTTTGCCATATTACCTACTAGATCATCTAAAGAGATTCAAAAGGAATTGACTGAGAAGTTCCCAGTATCATTTGGAGATTCGCATCGAATCAAGGAACTCGAGTGGGTGGTGGTGAAGCCTACGATGCCACCGCCGTCAGAAATACCAAAGAAAAGGAGACAGAAAAAAGGGTTTTTAAAGAGGTGAAAGAGTCCAAAGAACCACCAGTTTTGGATCAAGTGGATTCTTCAGTTTCCAGTTCTTCTTCAGATCACCAAGACCAGGAAACGAGCGCACTTTCAACCAGTGCAGGAATTGGAGCGCTTGTGGCCTTGAGATTCGCTGCTAAGAAAAAACTACAGGAAGATCCATTAAATTTAGTTGCTCTCAGGCAGATGTATGAAGCAGAGCGATTGGTGAGGAAACTTATTCTACAAGTTTTGTCTCAGTGATTAATTCTAATCAACTTTCTTGTCTTACAGTTAACTCTTAAATATCAAGAACAATCTGGTCTTAATTTAAAAACAGAAACCGAATCAATGGAATCAGAACAAAAATTACCTACAGAACCAGTGGATCGTCTTTGTCGACCTGGAATCGTATGTTTAGCACTCTTTAGATTTTCTTAAATTTTAATTATCTTTTGTTGTTTTTTTCTTCTTGGATCAGGAACAATTCACCGAGAAAAACAAAATCAAAGATGGAATCGGAATGCATTTGTTAATGAAAATGGGCTGGCAACCTGGCAAAGGACTTGGTAAAGATCGCAAGGGACCAGTAGACCCTCTAATCCCGTCTCTTAAGTTTGACACGAAAGGATTACTTGCCGAAGAGGAAACAGTGAGCAAAATTCCTAAACAAGTAGTAGATTTAGCATCAGTCTCCGATGGAAAGAGTCCAATCTCATTGCTGGGCGAATACTGTGCAAAGAATAGGTACTCATTACCCGTTTATGAGATGGTCGATTCTGATGGTCCACCTCATAAAAAAAGCTTCATCATGAAAGTTATAGTTAACGAAGTTGAGTACAGACCATCAGTTTCGTGTGGAACTAAGAAACAGGCCAAAGCACTTGCGGCCTCTGTTGCGCTTGAAGCTTTTGGATTAACAGTCGGAGAATGAATCACAATCAATTTATATTGGAAAGATTTTATTTTTTAAGCCAATCAATAAATCAAACAAACTTTTGTTATCTCTAATTGTACATATTTTGAACTAATCTATTATCGTCAAATGTTGTATACAAATAATCAATTGACAATAAGCATTCATCTTGCAAATCAAATTGCTTTTTGTCAACCATCTAAATTAATGTAATAAAAATGTTTTTTCTAAAATCTTATCAAATTAAGTGAAATGCAAAGTCAATCAAATCAAAAAACATTCAACTTTTTATGATTTAAATTGCAAACATATTTTGATCTGAGCGCCTTCAATTTAATGTCTGTTTCATCAGCTGATCTTAGTTGATGATTTACTTTTCATTTTAATGTCTTAATTGTGATTAACTAAATTTCTTTCAGTTATCAAACTGATTCTTAACATTTTCTTTCTAAATGTAAGTAATTAAACTCTTCGTCCTTAAAATTAAATTATCTTTAATTAGATCTTTCGAAGAAAAGATAATCCTTGATTCTATTCTATGAAAAGTTAACCATTTTTGGAAAAATTTCCTTACTCATTCTGCTTTATTTATGTGCTCTGATTGAGCTCATTTATCTTTCCATTTACTTTTCAATCAAAATCTATAATAATTTATTGTTACCTTTTTGTTTGTTTAATTCTATTCTTCTCTAATTCTATTTTTGTTATTTATGTTATATCACAATCACCTGAAGAAATTATCCAGTCCATTAGAATCCTGAGTTGCTTTGTTTTCGATTGACAATCATGTTTAGCTTTGAAGGTAAATTTAAATCAAAGCCAGAACAAAGCCTCGGAGGAGCATCAAAAAAGGTAATTATCTTGGTGGATTTGTAATCATTGTAATTCCAAATGATTTATTCCATTTTCTCATGTTTTTATTATAAATCTTATTCATTTTACCAGTTAACTAGGGAACAATTAATCCAGAAAAACGCTGAAGAGCGAAAGCAAAGAGAGGTGAGTTATTGGAATATCAACTAACTGGCTGTCAACTAACCTGATTGTCAATTTGGTTTCTTTGTTTTTCAGATTTTACGTAAGCAAATTCATGCATCTACAAAAATCCAATCCGTTTTTCGAAGCTATTTAGTCCGAAAACGTCTGGTAAGTGCGATGATCATGAGTTTTCCTTTTGTCCAATTTTCGTTAATATTGATCTTGTTTTTCTTTTCCATTCAGTTCAACGAGCTCAGGCAGCAATTTGACCAAGACTACAACAAACTCAGTACATGTCAGAGGAACTGTAATATTTATCTGACCAACACTTGTCAACGTCTTTTGTTATTCTATCAAACGACATCCGACTCATCTCGTCTGGTGAGTGTAACTTGATCGTCACGTTAACTTATTCGCAATCTTTCATTGAACTTTCTCTTCTTTCTCTAGTTATCTTTGGGACAAACTTTCATTAAACTTAAAAATTTGGTCATCGAATGTCTTATTCAAAATCCAATCCAATGGTCTTATCGAATTAGGAAATTTTTATTCATCAACATTAAGCAATTATGTTCATCTCTCAAGTCTGATAATACACAATCTGTAGCTACTCCACTTCGTCTGATCGAAGTCTATACCACATTGGATACTTATGCTTCTCTTGGAGAAGTGAAAGAAGGTCAACAAATGTTAACATCTATTTGGACATATTTAGCATCGAATAGTTATTTCCGTTATTTACGTCAAATAATTGACTCGAAAGTTCCCGAACCCTACGAGGAAACAATCAAAGCTCCAACTCCTATTGCAGATTCGCTATTCAACTTGATTGTGCGACCCTTGGATCTTGATGGAAGTTGTTCTGCTAAAATTAATTCTACAATAGTATTGAAATTTTTCGCAGAATTTCTGTACGGACCTTTATCTCCACAAGTGAAACTTCACATCATACCAAAACTAGTGCACCAAATACCTGCTTCTCTTACTCCATCCTCAATTCTTACTTCCATCTTCCCTGGACCATTACCAGAATCAGAGACTGAAGCTATCGCAGTTTCTTCACTCGCCTGCCAGTGTGATCTATGGCAACTCTACAATGTGGTCGCTCTTGTGTCTCCTCAACTTCATTTGATGTCTAATTTGGACAAATTTCGATATTTAATTATTTTACAAGTATTGTGTCAATATTTACCTGAACAACATGTAGAAACACCGGAAGAGGATGATGAAGATGTCGAGATGATTGAACCTGGAGAAAGCAGAGAATATGTGATTGATCAAGAATTGATTAATGTCGCTAACCAAATAGTTCAACTGATCAATGATGGTCCTCATGTGAACTGTTTGATTTCATTAGTGGACATGAAAACACCGAATAAGGTTTTGCTTATTTCACTTTCTTCAGTTTGCCATTCACTTTTATTCTTCCATAAATATGCTCTTCATCAATTCAGGTAAACAATTGCGATCACTTAATATGCAGTATTCAAGAAGGTTAATTGTTTGCTATTATTTCTCACCACTATTCAGATTACTTCACACGCTAGCGTTTAAACCAAGTCTCCTTCGTAACCTGTGGTCTTACATCACTCAAATATCGACACTTTCGATATTAGATCAACCAACTCCTCTTCTTCAACTTCTTGCACGAGGTTTACCTTTGGCATCAGTTGATTGGCGAACATTGTTACCCCAATTCACTCTTTTCTGTTCACTTTTTAGTTACTTATTACCAACACTCGATGATGTTGAATTTTACGAAGAAGAAGATCATCATTCATCTGTTCGTCATTCATCGATGCCCTTTTCTTTAGTTGAACTACAAAAAATGACAATGATTCTAAAAGATGTTTGTATTCGTTTGATTGAACTCGCTTATCACGATACTAAGCTTTCAGTAAAAGAGGAATACAGACAAGCAATGAAAAGTGTTCAGAACGAAAACATCGAAGAGGAAAAGTTTGTCAAATCTTGGTTGAAATTATTCAAATCAACAGTCAACTTATTGAGACATTTGTACATACGAGACTCGAGAAGATCATTTTGTGCACCAAATCATTGGATCAGTCGTCAAATAACAATTCCAGTTGAAAAACCGACCATCTTTAAAGTAGGAATTAGACAACGTCGTCGATATCAACAGTTTTTAGGAGTTCGTAGATTAACCAAGAGAGAACTGGAGGAACAGGGACCTCCTTTGTCGACATCCGAGATAAGAAACATAACTATTCTTCAAGAAATACCTTTCGTGGTTCCTTTTCATGACAGGGTTAAAATACTACAAACATTGATGGCAAAAGACAAAGAAACTCACATCGGGGAGCGACATCGATTCATGGTTCCTGGAAGTGCTATTGATATCATGATTAGACGTAACTTCATTTATGAAGATGCATTTGAAAAACTGTCACCAGAAAACGAGCCCGATCTCAAGAAACCGATACGAGTTACTTTAGTCAATGCGGTTGGTCTGGATGAGGCGGGTATTGATGGCGGAGGAATATTTCGTGAATTCCTTAACGAACTATTGAAAACATGTTTCGACCCTAATCGTGGATTTTTTCAAACAACACATGATCGACTTCTCTATCCTAATCCAGCCTCTGAGATGCTCGTTGAAAATCACCAAAATCATTTTTACTTCATCGGTCGAATGTTAGGAAAAGCGCTTTACGAAAATATGCTGGTCGAATTACCTTTTTCCCCTTTCTTTTTGGTCAAAATTTTGGCTAAACACCAAACATCAGACATCGATATTCATCATCTCGCCTCTTTAGATCCTGTCATGTATAAAAACTTAGTTTATTTGAAAATTACGAAGGAGATGTTTCAGAATTAGGACTTGACTTTACTGTCGTTAACTCTGACCTCGGGGAGAATCAGATAGTCGAATTAAAGTCTGGTGGTGCAAATATTCAGGTAACAGCTCAAAATCGAATTGAATATATTCATCTTATGGCTGATTATCGATTGAACAGACAAGTAAGTTTACACTTGAATGATACAACTTAGAAATTAACATTATTCTTAATGTTTTTCAGATTCGAACTCAATGTTCCGCTTTCAAACAAGGACTTGCTGATGTGATAGATCTCGATTGGATCAGAATGTTTGACCCTCGAGAACTTCAAACATTAATTTCCGGAGCTCAAACCCCAATTGATCTTGAAGACTTGAAAGCTCATGTTAACTATTCTGGAGGATATTCACCAACTCATCCAACTATCGAAGTGTTTTGGAAAGTTGTCGAAGAATTCAGCGAAACTGAGCGTCGAAAGTTACTCAAATTCGTGACATCATGTTCTCGACCTCCACTTCTTGGATTTAGAGATTTACATCCACCATTTTGTATCCAATGTGCAGGGAAAGAAGATCGACTGCCAACAGCATCGACCTGCATGAATTTACTCAAACTATGTGAATTTGAAGATGTCAACATATTGAAACAGAAACTCATTTATGCCATCGAATCGGGTGCAGGGTTTGAATTGAGTTAATTGTACTTATCAGCTAAACGAACCTTAATCAAAGCAAAACAGTAAAAACTAAATTTTGTCGATATAAACGATCAATTAATTGTTTTACACATCAAACAAAACGATCCAAATTTATTTGCTAGGTCACATTCCGTCAGAGATCAAATCGAAAGCAAAATGATAACCAGAATATCGATCGCAATGCCATCTATCGGAATTTCTCTGCGATCATTTTCTTGTCATTTTCGACCTGGCCCGTAGGGACAGGGGTATTATATTGTTCAGAAATCACATTCTTTCGTCTGATCTTATAACATTTTAGTGCTTTTTCTTATCTTTTGAGATAAAATTAACTTTTTGATAAAATTTTCAAAATAGATAGGAATCAGTTTTATTGTTTCAAAAATGAAAAGGAAATAAAGAAGAAGAAGAGAGAAAGAGAGTTCGTATTGCTTTTCAAGAAGAAAAACAATACGAAGGTGAAAAGAGGAAAAGACAAGAAAGGTAAGGAAGAGATAGAGATAGACTGGTGAACGAAATTAAAACCACTAATTAAAATTTATAATTAATTTTATTTGAATACTTATTTAATTGATTAACAGTAAAGACAAAAAAAACGTAAACTTTTAGCTAAAGCAATAACTATAAATTTTGTGAGAAACTCAATTGACCCTTTACGGTCGTCATACAACTGAACTCAAAAGTGCTGCCCTCAGAGTCATATGTTCAACCGTCACAAATCAATTTAAGTTTCATCATACAAGATTACATTAATTTACATAATAATTTGAAAACAATTAAATAAAAGGATAATATGTAACAATTAATAAAATATACAATTTGCAAAATTAACTAGATTGGAAAGGAGTTAATAGACATTTCATTCTGTAGAAATGCTAAAGCACGTTGTTTGGGTTGTGTTCATTGATTCATTTTCAGTGTTGTTCATTTGTGTTTTTTTCATGGTTACTTACCTTCTAGTTATATCATTTAAACATCAGCATTAGTAAAATTTATCTGATCACTTAATTAAAGGGAAATTCAACCATAAATTCAACCATAAATTCAACTATAAATTGAATAAATCACACATGCGCCAAAAATCGGGACAGGTCTTTCTTTTGCTTCAGCAAAATAATCTTACTCTAGTCTTAATTAACATTCGGTCCCTTTGGTGATTTAATCTCGTCAGCTGATGTTAAATGTCATCGTCATCTTCCTATGGTTTAAATGACGATTAACAGTATTAGTCCTTAATTCACAACAATCAGTTAAATTTGATGTTTTAAATTGTGGCAATGACCTCACGAGATGATGGTGAGTATCACTCTTGACCTTTTTCATCTGTTCTTGTGCCTTTTTGTAAAGTGTCAAAAATTGTGTCAGTTTGTGAATCATTGATATTTGCTTATTAATCGTATTTGTATTGCTCTTATTTTAGAATTTCTGGAAACCGATAATCGTTTCCGAACGGATAGATTAGCTGAAAAAGTATCACAATTGAAAAGTGTAAGTATCATTATCTTTTTTTGGTGTTATTGTTGACTCATTAATCATTCGCTTCTCCTTCCAATCATTTTTTTAATGTTATTTTCTCTTTCATCATTTCTTGCGATACCAGTTTGCTGTTGATATTGAACAAGAAACAAAAGAACATAATCGGCTATTAGATGATGTTAATGATGATTTCGTTGGCCTACTTGGAAACGTTATTGGTGGTAAAAACAAGATAAACCGACTATTGAACTCAGGAAGAAACAATAGACGTTTCCTTTGTTATCTTTCATTAGGATTAACCACTTTCCTCATATTTTCATACTATTTAATTGCTCGATCCATGAGCTCTTATTAATAAGGTTGTAAATTCATCTCATCTTTTTCAAGTCTCCCTCATATATTTTTGATTAATGAGCGCTTCACACTTGCCCTTAATTCTATCATTTCGCTCACTATATCATCAACATCATCATCATCATCATCTAACTATTAATATTATAAATACTTCTTCTAATCTATCTTTCAATCTTCTCATCCTAATCCATCCAAAGTGACTTTATGTTTACTGTAAAAATCTTGATAATTAACCCGATAGCTATTCTTTAGGATGAATCCTTTATGCAATAATAATAATGCATTGATCAATCTCCCATTTTGTGTTTTTCTTTAATTGTTTGAGAAATTTAAGATTCTTTCAAATTTTCTCATCCCCTTCTCTTTGATTAACTGTCTTTCACCAACAAATTAAACATAAAAAATGAAGTAACAATAATAATTATCTTTGGTTTATGATCATACCCCCTCAGGACTTAATTGCGTTTTGATTACCTGAAATGGTTGTTGTGACCGCAACTTGAGCTATAATCATGTTCAATTTAGATAATGATGATTCCCTACTGATTAGAATGATTGTTAATCATACACATTTAATCAATTTACATTTTTCGACAATTTTTCTACTAATGAGATTCGATTCGTTACCAACTATTATCTGTTTCGATGACAGTTTTAATCTTCCAGCATTAACTTGATGAAATTTCATCAAATGATACAAACTTACAATTATAATAATATCCTGATGATCAAAATGATAGCTGGACTTTTGTTTCTAAATCAAGTAATCGTAGTAATTGAGTATTATTAGTTTCACTCTCATGATTTCAAATAATCAACTTTTTTTAAACAAACTTTTCATTAAACTAAATTTATTTTGGTTGCCACAGTCGGTTGAACTATTTCATATCTAATTACCATTAAATAGTTAATCTAATTCCCTTTAAGAACCATCACAATTGCTTCACATTTTTTTAATTTCGACTAATTAACTTTTTCATCTCAATCATAGTTACTTAAATGCTCAGTTCGTCCTTTACTTTAAGTTAATTTTCATCAAGTTTATCAGTTTTTTGTTCAAAATAATTACTTTCAATTAGTTTGGTAAATTGTCTATTTTTTATATTCATGTTGATTCGTTCGCTGATCTTGACTAATTGTAATTCAGTGAAGTTGCACTTTCAATCAAATTATTGTTGAAATAGTGATTCAATTGTTTAGAAATCGACAAACAATTAAAACTCAATCGCGATGATTTTCAATGACTGGGTCAATGTTCAATGTCCTTTGTGAACTTCAATGAGATTTAATATAATGAGTTTAATTGAGGAACATGTTGACATATTTAATTTCTCATTGTAGTAAGAAAATAGAAATTAATTATTTGAATTACAATTAATGTAGGATGATGAATATGATTGTTAATGGGTCAACAAAATAAGACTAGAAGCACATTTAATTGCCAGTGAGTATCTCATATTGTTTGGGTAATTGTTTAAAAATAAAACTTGATTGTTGTTTTTTGCCTCGTTCACTATTGTTTACAGTTAGTTAAGTGATTAGGGCGTTGGTAATTCAATTAAATGTTGTTGATGGTTGATCGTGATGAATTGGATGAACAGGTAACAAATTAAATTGTTCAACAAAAAGTAACATCAGTAATTGAATTAAATCAGCGGTTGATGTTAATGTCTCGTCTTCTTCAACGATGATTCTCATTAAAGATAATCAATCGAATTAGCAAAATAGACCAAAACGATGAAGAAAATAACAAATTGATGAGCCGTAAATTGCGATTGATTCGCATGGTTTGCAATTAATTTAGGTGATAAGTGCTGACGATTAAATCCAGCAAACACATCTCTCACTTGTCCGTCAATACAATCAGAATATTCAGAATCCGGTTTACCCATTGAATCAATTGCTTTCACACAAATTCTGAGACCATTTCCAAGTTTGAAATTATTGTAAACATGATCTCGTTTATCGTAAGATAAATTAACTGAATCAACTTCTTTACCATCTTCAGAGATTGTCGATAATTTGAAACCAGAAATGTCCTTGTCCCGTCGAACTACAAACCAAACGACTCGAATGCTGTTTCGTCGACCACGAAGTTTTTCAAACCCTTTGAATCGTAAATTCAACTGCTCTTCTTGGTCGAAATTAAATCCTTGGCTCACTTTACTCGAGTCATTGGTTTCACATGATTCGAACATTTTGTATTTCAATTTACCCAAGGCGATTCCTTGTCGTTCGACTGGATAAGCACAAGTTGTATCTTCTTCCAAAAGGGTCCCGTTAGTAATAATCTGTTCTGCTTTCTTGGCGATTTTCCAACGGAGATAAGATAATATTTCGCAGTCACAACTAATTGGATTACCATGTAGATAAACTTGTGTTCCATGTCGAAGCATTTTAACGATCGATTTACTTGGAATCACTGAGATACTATTGAGACTTGCGTTGAATATTTTCAGTGATTTCATTGATTCGACTTCTTCAATATTGAAATCTGCTAATTTATTCTCAGCAATTGACAAATACTCTAATTTATTTAAAGTGTTCACACCGAAAGTGACATTTTCCAATTTACGTAGTTGATTAGACGATAAATCAAGATATCGTAATTCTGTCATATTCGATAACACGTTGGCTTTGATCTCATTGATTATATTTCCTCTGAGAATGAGTCGTTCCACTCGCCATAAACCATCATCGAAAATCGGTGTCAATGTTGGAATAAAATTATAACTTAGATCAACGTTCTTAATGGCGTATGGAATATAAGGGGATCGAGGGAATGTTCGATCGTTGACAAACGAAATTAAATTGTGGCTGACATTGAAATTCTCCAATGATAACAAATCTTCCAGAATACCGTGAGTTTTGTTTTCGAGTTTGTTTAACTTGTTGTTCGATAAATCAAGAGTTCGAACGGAAACACAAGTACGAAATACTCCGGGCTCTAATTGTTTCAAACTGTTGTCACTTAAATTCAGTTTTATAAGCTGTAATAGGCCTTCAAAAGCTCCGTCGTCGATTTGGTCGATTTTATTTGACTGAAGTTGAAGTTCAAAGACAACCGGCAAGGAACCGAATTGTCTTGGTTCGAGACGAGTTATATCATTGGAAGATAAGTCGAGGTACGATAATGAAGTTAATTGTTGTAGTGCTGCTTTTGGAACTGAGGTTAAGCTGTTATTTCTTAATGAAAGAAGTCTCAATGTTAGTAAATTAGCCAATGATCCAGGCTCCAAGTCGGCGATTATGTTGGAATCGAGGTACAATTCGAGAAGTGCGTTCATTGACGGAAAAGTTCCAGCAGTAATTGAATCGATTCGGTTGTGCTGTAGATAGAGAGTATTCAGTGAAATTGGAATTGTGAATAATTTGGTTATCCGATTGTAGGAAACATCGATGAAACGAACTGATATTAAACTGGATAATCCACCATTGGCGACTATCGTGATCTCGTTTTGACTTAAATCAAGTTTCAATAAAGTTGGACAAGCACCGAAAGCCCCAAAACCAATTTTACGAAGTTTATTGTTGTTCAATCTTAGTTCCCGAATCGATTGAAATTTTTCAAATATCGATCCAGTCAAATCCTTAATAAAGTTGTTACTTAAATCAATTGTTTCCAGTTCATAAAGTTTCCCAGTTGATAATGATTTACGATTAAGATCAGTGATTTGGTTATGTGAAAGGTTCAACATTTTGATTCCGGTTAAATTAGAGATGAGAATTTTGGTTGAATCAACGATGAAATTGTGATTAAGAAGTAAATTGGTAACATCGGAATTTTCAAAGGCCAAATTTGGAATTCCCGATATGTTGTTGTGAGACAAATCGAGAGTAGTTACATTCGCAACGTCCAAAAATGAACCAGGCTCAATCTTTTCGATACTGTTGTAACTTAGATCGATTGCGACTTTGTACATTTTCGATATGGAAGCTCTTTCGATTCTTTTAATTTGATTGTGCGACAAATCTAAACGATCTAAATATTGTAAATCTTTGAAAACTTCCTGAGCCACTTCGGCCAACTGATTATAAGCCAAATCCAAACTTCGTAATCGAGTAGTTGAACTAAACGCGTTTTTGGCAATAGTCGTGATGTTGTTATTCTGTAGGTTAATATCTTTGAGAAAACGAACACCTTTCAACAGGTAGGAATCAATTTCTTTCAGCTGATTGTGAGACAAATTGATTTCCTTCAATTGAGAATTTCGACTCAACAGCGATCTCCCCAATTTGCTTATTTGATTATGTGAACAATTAAATGTAATCAAGTTGATTAAATCCGTTAGATCAGATCTTCCTAATTCAGTTACCTGGTTATGAGAAAAGTCTAAATTTTTGATCTTTTTCAATTCTTTGAATGCATTTCTTTCCAGTTTATTCAGCAGATTAGAACTTAAATCCAAAGACTCGAGATCTTTTAAACCAGAAAATGAAGCAGCCGATAATTTGGAAATCCCATTGGAAGAAAGAGATAATTCTCTGAGATTCTTTAGCTTCGAAAAACTCTTATCACTAATCTTGTTTATCTTGTTTCCGGATAAATTAAGTCGAGTTAAATTGTGAATAAGTTCAGTGGTTTTAATTACATCGTCCAGAGAAGTTAATTTGTTGTCAGACAAATCCAGAGATCGTAGAGTTGATTTGACACTTTCGAAAGTGCTTGGCTCTATTTTCGTCAAGTTTGATTGGATCACTTTCAAATTGTAAATCGTTAAATCTTGAAATATTGGCCCACTAAGAGTCGTCACGTTGATTGATGATAAAGTTAGAGTATCAATTGGCTTCCTTATGGATTTTAGAGATAAAGTAACGATGGCGAGATTAGTACCTGAACAGTTGATTGTTACACCAATTGTACCATTCCGATCACAAGTACAGGGTTCGGGTATTGAACCAGGTTTTGGACAAATGAACAATTCACAATCACAAAGGTGAACAATTAAGGCACAGAGTATTAAATACTTCACGATGACAATAGCCATTGAAGACACAGACACTTTGGAATACAAAAGACCCATAATAGAGTCGATAATCTGAAAGATTATTAAAACAATTAAAGTAACGTTAATACTAAAAGCAAATCACATTTTGATGAATCAATCGTTACTGGTGGAAACTGAAATGATCGGGATGTTAGGCCTTCATCGTTAGACACAATCACTGAAGAGATAAAAATAAACTACTTGGTTATCCTCATGGACGATAGTCAAACATGGTTTTAGCTACTGAATTGACTGTTAATTAAGGGCCTAAATCATTTAAATTGTGACACTCACAAAGAAAAAGCGATTGAACAACACAATCTATTAGAAGTGTTGTCAGTTGTTGTTATGAAGTAAACGGAAAAAGAAATGATCTCAATTGGGTTACTGGTTCGATCTCAACCCAAACCAGTTTTCATCTTTTTCTTTCTTTACACTTATCATTTTCTCTTTTACTTTTACCTTCAGGTTATACCAGTTTACTCGAGTGTTAATAAGTAATTAACTGAATTAAACTTCAAATTATCGAGAATTAACATTTTCAGATGGATTTTTCATCATCGTCAAAGATTAACCTTCGATTAAATGTAATTATGATTTTCTTTTGAAAATTAAATCATTTACTCCCATCGGAGTGATTGGCTTTTCTTTTATTGGATCAAATTGTCTTTTCGTTTATTCTAAAGGATCAAATATTTGATTGATTTTCCAGTTAATCCATTTTCTTTTTACATTGACCATAGATCGTTTTGTGGCTCAGGTAAATAGATCAAATTTAGATGATCCATAAACCAAATTTGCTTTACGAAGTAGATTGAATATGAATGAAACCATATCTTCATCTAATTGGAATGGATTAGTTAAGGATCGAAACCGTTTCTTGTTCTGAGATAAAGTATTTGGTATAATTGCCGTTTGTTGATTGTTGTTTCTTAGCATCAGCAACACGAAAACAACATTAGTCAGAAACACCAGAGCCAAAGGAAGTAAAATCGCTCCGAGAAGAGTTGGGAATATGATTATGAATAAAAGTGACCATAACCATGGACTTGTCGTTGGACTGCGATTCGATTGCTTAGAGTTAATTGGTAACGGGATGTATTGGATCACTTTTTGTTGTGAAGGTTCACTTGACTGTTGCCGAATTATTGATTGACCTGTGGTCGATGTGGTTGGCTGATGGTCCCGGTGATCAGAAGAATCATGATGGTGAGAAGATGTTCCATGGTCATGATGGTAGTAATGGTGATCACTTGTTGGTTGATGGCGGTAATAGGGATGACCAGGGTAAGAACCTTGAATTACCGATTGACCATATGAATGCGGGACACTTGCTATTGCTCCGTATTGCGGTTGATATTCTTGGTGAGGTGATGGTTGATAATAACTTTCGGAAGAATCGGAATAACCTGGGTCGATATTTTCAACAAGACGAGTTGATGATGGAGCAAAAGATCCGATTTTAACTATTCCCTTGGTCCTGTCACTTGATTGTCTAGTTATCTTCCAATTGTCAAGTAGATTTTCAACATAATCGAAATCTTCTTGATTTGGAAATTTACTTTCAGCCTGATGGACAAAATTAAAAATCGTTAAAAAATAAACGAAGAGAAAAATATTCATCATCTCTGAATCGATGTGAGATTAACACTTAATGAACATCATAAGACCAACTGAATACTCTGTTTGATTGAACTTTAAATGTATCAATCCAATTAAATAAATAATTCTTTCACTTTATAATCTAATTCAATTACTATGCTGAATGGATTAACGATCTAAATTGAAATCATGCTGAGTTATTTTTCTCCATTGACAATTCATACCAAGTGATTTCTAGAAGACGGAAGTGACCATTAGTGACCTTGAATGATCCAGAAAATGATTGATTGTCAACAAATGAACAATCAAAAAAACACCAACAGTTTTGTACAGAAACTTTGATTGTGAAAAATTGTATCGACTCTTATGATTTAAATAGTCTGGTTGTGATTTGATAAGGTGAACAATCAATCGGAAAATATCAAGTGAATTCAGAATTTAATTATTCAAAAAGATGAATGTTAAGTTAATTGTTGGATTTCTATGATTAACTACATGACAAGATTAGATTTACAGTTTCGTTGAGTTTTTAGTTTCTTCAATTAGTTTTTCAATCTTTTTCACTGCTTCAGACAAAGAAGTTGATTGTCTCATATTTTGTGAGATCGATTTAACTTTTTGGTTGATTGTTTGATCAGTTAAAGCTTTCTCAATACAGTCCAGGAAATAATCTTCATCCAAATCATAAGTATTCACTCGGAATCCGATGTTTTTGTCCACCACTCGCTGCGCGTTGTCCAGTTGATCGTAAAAATATGGAATCACTATCATTGGTTTTCCATAGTAAAGGGTCTCAAGAAAGGTATTGTTCCCTCCATGAGTGATTACTAAATCGACTGATTGAACAACTTTAATTTGGTTAACATAATTCTGACCCCACATGTTATCCGCTAATTCTAGTTGATCACCTCGTGGTCCTTTGGAAACGATAAATTTGTTAGGTGATTTAGCCAGAATTGCAATTAGTTTCTTCATTATAACCAAATCGGCTGAACCTAAAGAGCCGAGAGAAAAGTAGACCAATTTACCAGGCTTCTCTTTTAATTGTTCTGGAAGCTGAAAATCATCATCGAAATCAGCCTGTCTTATCCAAGCATCAACTCTAATCCAATTATCTCGACGAGGGGGACATTCATCATAATCCAATTCACCAGGATAATGATAGAACCCAAAGTGAGCAGGATTATCTACAAAAATACTAGGATCAAATTTAATGTGTCCTAATCCAACTTTTTCTAAGTGTTTGTTGTGAGTTTCAGTCAATATTTGATGAGCTGATTGATAAACTTCCTTGAATTCAGACCAATTCGATGGATCAGAATTCACTGAGTACCCTGAGAATGGCGGTGGTCCCTTTGGGTATAATATCAGGGGATTGAGAGATGCAAGTGGAATCCAAGGAATCGAATGTTTATAAAGAAAAGGCATCGGACCAGGAATGTCAACGACAATCAAATCAAATGAATTTTCAGTCACCACTTTATCCAGAGCCTTATCCAGGATGAAGAAGAATTCAGCCTGAGCTGAAACCGCTTCTTGAGATTCAAAATCCATTCCTTGATATCGTTCCAAAGGTGGTTGTCTGAATTTATCTCCATTCATATCAATCCACTGGAAAATTGCCTCATCCATATTGATACCTGGCAACGATTCATCAAGAGGGATAAACTCGAAGCCTCGTTTGTCGGCTAAGTGTTTGTGTTTATTTCGATGAGCAAAAAAGATTTCGTGACCAGCGGCCTTTAGACCTTCACTGAAGCCCAACAAAGCGTTGATATGTCCAAATCTAGTGACAGAAATTAGTTGCGATTATCATCTCTAAGTCATTTTAATCAAAGTTATTAAAACTTACGCATCAATCGCTGAAATCATAATCCTGTATGAAGGCATTTTACTTGAGTAAATTTGATCAAACAAGTTAATTGGATAACAGATTAATATTTCTCGTAAGTAATTTAAACTTTGTTAATGAGTTTAACTTGTACAGTTAAGTTGGTGACAACTGATTCTACCTTTTAATAATTAAGTTGATTTGAAACTGTGTGTAAATTTTGTACTCTCAATGAAGTGATTCGTGAATTATATTGACTAAAAAATAATCAAGAGCTGACAGCGTTAGATTAACTTATTACTGATAATTGGGTGTATTCGTACTTGAAAATATGAGTTAGTGTTCAAGTGGATTAGATAAATTAGATTTACATAGGAAAGAGAATCAAGAATTAATTAATTAGTAGTTAAAGAGATTATTTCCAAGATTCAACGATAAGATATTCTCGTCAACGAATCAATCGATCGTTAAAATTTTCCGATTATCCTTGAAACGAACTCCCCTTTTGCAATGAAATACATTGATTATAATTTCGTTGGAATGTTGATTAAACTAAAATTAAAGTAATCAACTGATCCTCTACTTTGATAATTGTCATCTATTGGTTGATTGGCTGTTATTGTCTTTTTGATCATCAATCAAACGGTCAAATGTCTTATGTCAATAGATGGCGACAATTAACAAGAGCAATTGGTTGTCAATCATTGATTATGGTTCCTTGCAATCAATAGATTAATCTAGTAAATTAACTGATTTTCTCATTTAATCCAATAAACAGCAAAAAGAATCTTAAAAATCTGTGAAAGGGTCAATTGTCTTCAAACCTTCAGGTCGTGACTTATGGTGATCATCTTGTTAAGAGCTACTCAAAAAGCTTCTCCATTAGATTAATCCTTTGGCTCCATTCAACGATTGAAAGTTGAAGATAAAAGGCCAAAATTTTCATCGAGTATATTAGTTTCTTTCTTATTTCTGTTTAAAGTTCATTCTAAAGTCTGACCTCTAAATCTTATTTTCTATTCCAAAATGTTTGGTGGTGATTCTTTTCAGTTTTACAATCAATCGGCTAACGAGAATGTCGATCTCAATAATCTGAATATTGAAAGACTCATTACGGTCGATGATTCCCCCGAAAAACAACCGCAACAACCGCAACAACAGCTTCAACCGTCTCAACAACCACAACCTCAACCTCAACCTCAACCTCAACCACCACTACTGCCACAAGGAGCAGGAGCGATCGCACCACCGATGCAGCCACCGCTTCACCCGCAATTCCAACAGCCTGCATATCAACAAGCGCAGTTCCAACAAGCGATTTACCAACCTGCTCCATTTCAACCTTCACAGTATCAACAAAGACCAACTTACTCTCATCCAATGTACCATCAGCCGTCACCTTGTCAACAGATATCTTACCAACAGCCAACGTATTCGCGGCCGATGTTCAGTCCACACTCGTTTCGACCACAGACTTACCCTGATCCTGCCATTAGACAACCAATGTACCAACCGCAAAGTCTTCACTCTCACAGGTTCCATTTGCCTTGTCAACCACCACCACCAGCGCGGTCAGTTTATCAACCCAACTGTCAGCATCCTTTTTATCCGTCGTTGCAGCCCAATTACCGCTCATCCTTCATGCCGATTCCAATATGTGATCCAAGCGTTTCATCAACCTCACATCCACAAAATTTAACTTACGAACAGTTCAATAGGCTACGAGGACCATCAAACTTTATCGGAAATGAGAGAAACCGAATGATGTCGGCGGCCAATCCGCAGGCCAAGAAAATTCGTCCAAACGAATTTGAAAACTAAAAAAATGAACCAATTTAATCTAAACCTGTCTAACTAAGAAGCCAGACGAGGATCTTCCTTGAATTGATTATTTCAATTATAATTATAATTATCATTCCAATTGAATAAACTTATTTCTCATTTTAATTTCGATTTTCTTGATTTTTATTGACCCAAAGTCGCTCATGGATGCATTGAATTAGCCGCCGTCGTAACCATGGCAACTGGTAATGAGTTAGAGTCTCAATCTCATTGGGCAACTTTAACTGTGAACACGATTGTTTATTTACTTTCATTCATTAATTGTTCTCTTTAATTGGGCTAATTTGAGTATGACCGATGTTAATTCCGCAATAAGTTAATCATGTGTTCCAACTGCATCTTTATAATTAATGCTTCGTGAATGTTTTGGTCTAATTCTGTGATTCTTAAGTTTTCCATCGCTAAGATCATTCAACTGGAATTTTTCTTATCACTTGCTTATCCTGGACTCTTTTCTCCTTTCATAATCAATTAATTATTAAGATTTATATTGAATCTTTATCAGCTTAACGCTTTCATCACCTACGTCTACTCATCTTCATCTCACATCTTAATATCATCTCTTTTCTTATCCACTCATTCGTTGATATTTATATGGTGATGTTGACTAGGCTATTTTTGTGATTTTTTTCATTTATGTCAAGTTTTGAATCTTCTTTTTATCATAATTTCCATTCATGTTGATGCTGTTCATTGTCAAAATCTTTATGGAATATAATGTGTGAATCAGGGAGGGATGAACGGGGCTTTCTTTGTGGTGTTGTTGAGGGTTAGTCTCAGTCTTTACCAGATCCATTTCCATCTTATTTGTTGCTATGTTCTAATATTTGCTTTCTCTCCAATACAGGCTTCTATGGAAGACCATGGAGTACAGCCCAAAGAAAAGATTTATTTGCCAAGTATGTCATCTATTTTCTTTGTTTCATTTGATATCCTCACATTAACTAATTTGATTATTTTAATTGATTTAGGATGAAAAATCTTGGTCTAAACACTTACATGTATGCTCCGAAGATGATTTTAAGCATCGAGCATATTGGAGAGAGCTTTATAGCGTTGAAGAAGGTGAACAATTAGCAGCTCTGATTTCTTGTTGTAAAGAAAATGGAGTTACTTTCTATTATGCCTTGTCACCTGGTTTGGATATGGCCTATTCTAATTCTAAGGAAGTTAATTATCTTAAGAGGAAACTTGAACAAGTCTCACATTTTGGATGTGAAGCATTTGCTATCTTGTTTGATGACATAGAACCTGAAATCAGCGAAACTGATAAGGAGGTTTTCCAAAGTTTTGGTCATGCACAAGTTTCTGTGACCAATGAAGTTTACCAAAGTCTAGGTCAACCCAAATTTCTTTTCTGTCCAACAGAGTACTGTGGTTCCCGGGCTATTCCAAATGTTCATACTTCCGATTATCTTAATATCATTGGGTCTAAACTCCTTCCAGCAATTGACATTATGTGGACAGGTAATAAAGTTATCTCCAAGACGATCACTGTTCAATCCATACAAGAGCTTTCCGAAGTTTTAAAAAGAAATCCTGTAATTTGGGATAATATCCATGCCAATGATTATGACCAAAAGCGAATCTTTCTTGGACCTTATTCAGGTCGATCAACTCAACTCAATGCTCATCTTCGTGGTGTTCTTACTAATCCTAATTGTGAATATGAGCCTAATTTTATAGCCATCCATACGTTGGCCCAGTGGAGTAAATGTAACTCAGATGTTAAATGTGATAATATATCATCCGATATTAAACTGGAAACTGAAAATGAATCAGGTCCCATCGATAATATTCCTTCATGCCTAAGTGCCACAACTTATCATCCTAGAAAAGCGCTGCGTGCAGGTTTGTAGATTTAATCTTTTTCTCGTCGACGATTCTTATTAATCAATTGACTTTTCTAATTTTTCAGCGGTTGAGGCTTGGTTATCAGAATTTAACCAAACAAAAGTTGCTTATGGTAAACCAACTGATGTTATTACAACTCCTCTTGCTTCTGTCATACCCACTCTCACAATTCCACCGCCTTCTTCACTTCCTAATAGTGAAAGTGTCCTCAACGGTAATCAGAGTTTGAGTTTGGATGGTGAGAAGAAAAAGACTCTTGACTCGGCTAATGAATCTAATTTCCAGCCGATCACCAAAGAATTGGCAAACTCTTTGGTAACCCCACCGGTTATCCTTAATCCATTGGAGCCCATGGATTGTAACGCTTCACCCGCTTTATCCCCTAAACATAATTCTGATGCTCAAATGGAGGAACCCAATAAGACAGAATTAACCTCGGCTGAAGAATCAGTTACAGTTGCTTTAGACACGCCTAATGAATCCATAAATAAAGACGTTGATTCATCTGAAGAAATGCAAACTGAAAGTTCATCAGAAGAATGTGAGGAAGATACAAAAGTAGAAAGAATCAACCTCGAAGATGTTTCTCTTCTTGTTGACCTTTTCTATCTTCCGTTTGAATACGGTGCTCAGGGAGTGAGTTTTCTTTACGAATTCTATTGGCTAAGAACAAATAGTTATCTCATATCTGATGAAAGAAGACGATCCTTAGGATCCACCGATTCCCCTGAAATAATTGAATGGTTTGAAAGATCTAAAAAATTCCAAGAAATGGCAGAAACTATTGAAGGTCTTTGTTCACGTTTAGTGAGCTGTCAAAATCTCTCTTTAGTTTATGATCTTTTTCCTTATGTTTGGGACTTGAGAGGTGCAGTTGCTTTACTCAACAGTTATGTTCAATGGATGTGTAAGTCAAATACTCTAATTTATTTATCTTAGATTATTTGTCTCATATTAACTTATGATTAATTTGTATCATTATTATCTTTATTTCTCTGTAGCTCTTGGGAAAATACCAACAACACCACCGAATTCTGCATCTCCAACTTTCTCATGTAAATAATCTTATAAACACTGGATCATTGCTTGTTTACATTCTAACATTTTCTTTTCTCTTAAAGGGTTTTCTAAAGGTTATAAAGAAGCTTTCACTAGTGGAGATCAAGAACCGTGGATATTCAGGGGAGGATTGACTGGAGAACTACAAAGATTACTTCCATTAGAAAGTATCAATGATCTTTTCATATATAAATCACCTGAGTCGCCATCTAGTCATTCTTACAATATTCGCCCGTTAAAAAGTTCTGACGAGGCGATTATTTATGAGCTATACAATAAAAGTTTCTTAGAATTTTATGAGACCAGTGATAATTTTAAACAATATCCAGATCTCTTACCTGATCGGTAAGTTGACTGACTTTCTAAATTGACACAAACCTTTATCAACTATTTTCTCATTAACTGAATTACAGGTTTGTTGGAGGATTTTTAACCTTAAGTCCAGAATATTGTTTTGTTGTTGAAGATTGTTCCAAAATCGTTGGATTTGCTCTCGCTGCTTTTGATGCGAGGAAATTCGAGGAAAAACTAGAAGCTGCTTGGTTCCCCGAACTGTGCTCTAAGTATCCACGTCCAAAAGAAAAGAAAGACAAAGGAGAGACTCTAGATTCTGCTGAAGAAATGATTGTCGCCATGCACCAAGATCAAGAAGGCTCATTCCGCATTCCTGAGATTGTTTACAAAACACACCCTTCTCTCTTGCATCTAACTGTTTTACCAACAATTATCGACGCAAGTGTCCCAAAGCGTTTATTATCTCTTGTCCTTGTAGCGCTCAAAACAAATGGTAATTATACCTTCTCATTTCTTTTATTGCTTTTTTCATGTCGATCATTAAATCAATTATTTATTCTTTATTTTAGGTTCTCATGGGGTTTGTACTCGTGTTTTAAGTAGGGAGAAAGAAGTGATCGACTTTCATCTTAAATTAGGATTCCAACAGATCCAATTGTCAACGGGTGAAGAAAATTTTGACCACACTGAAATCTATCTTGGTCGAGCAATTTAATTGGCCTTTGATGCGACCATAATTTTATCTTTACTTTTTACAATAACAATCGACTGTCTCGTTATTTCACAAATCGAATGTAAAAATAACAAGTTGATGATGAAAGTGAAACAAAAATCGATATTGTATCAATAATAATACCAATGGTAATAATTAAATTTCTTTATTTGGTCAATCAAAGAAAAAACAATTAAATAAAGTTTTGTTTACGTTAAAGCGTCAAACAGGCAATTAAATAAAGAACATTGTTTACTGAACACATGATATGTTCTAGCCTGAAGATACTTACAATTAGCCTCGAGCTAAAAACTCTGGTGACAATTTTCAAAGGAACCATTAAGTTCAAATCCAACCAATGACCATCATTGTGGGAGGAAAATGAGCCTTGAAAATTAAGGTAATTGCAAAGAGATAAAGTAATGTAAACAGAAAACCAGTTCCATGTGAGTCTTCAGATTAATTGATTAACATTCTGATGCTGATTAAGATGAAAACAATTCCATCTCCATCTTAATCGCGATTATTTTCCAGTTGATCTTTTTATTCCTGGTAACCTTGTTTTCCTCTTCTCTTCATCTTCTGCAGGGCAAAAATTGTTGTATTATTGTGGCCCCTCAACTCCCAGAATCAAGAGACACGAGAGGAACTTCTTGTTTCAGTTTCTTTTGCTTTTCTATCTGTTCAGAGCTCCGCCATTTTCTTTAAATTTGTTCGCATCGTAATTGAATCACATTTCCATCTAGTTAATTGGATGAACTTCTATTTCTGTTTATCGACTATTATTTATCATTAAAAGATCCAAATGTTATCGAATTTCATAAGTTTAGTGTTGTTTTCACTTTTAATTCCAAATCAAGGTAAGATCGAGATTCTTTCATTTCTTGTATTGTGCTTTTTAAACAATTGAATTGCCATGAAACAATTAAACATTTATCTTACTAATTTGTTAACAAATCATCAGTTATTTGGTAATTTGAGTTTTATAACTTTTTTTGGTGTTCATTCAATTGAAATTGTTTATCGAATCACATGATTCACTTGTAACGGAAATTAAAACACCTCAGGCAATACAAATTAACTGCTCAAATGTTGTGAATAACCTTGGATTGTAAGAGACCTTTAATTACAGTTGCATTAGTGTTTTTCATTCATCAAACTTTTGCTGAAATTCAAAAATTTACTAATTGTCTAAAATTAATTAAAACAATTCAAGGTTTAAATTCAGTAAGAAAATTACCTCGAGATTATTGATTAACAGGTTAATCGGGTGTCTAAATTTTGGTTTTCATTTGAAACTCGTTAATCAAATATCTTGTTTTGTCAATTTTTATAATTATTTTAAATAAATTGATTCCCGTTAATATTATAATACTTGATTGTTTTGATTGATTAAATTTCTCATTCTCTTAAAGGTTATGCAACTGGGACAAAATCGAAACGTCAAGCTGATGATAATGAAGCGGAATTGTGTAGAGGGAGAACCAGCAATGAATATTTTAGATTAACTTCCGGTGACGATTGTCGGGATGTTGTAAGATGTTCAGTCCAGGGCTTACTCGCTTTAAGATGTCCTTCTGGATTAGCTTTCGACATCGAAAGACAGACTTGCGATTGGAAAAATAACGTCAAAAATTGCGCTCAATTAGAAAGTAAGTGACCATTGAAAGTTCCTCGTTGAACAATCAGACTGAAACTCTTTTCTCAAATCACATTTACAGAACCACGATTGGTATTACCTAAACTAGCAACTGATCAACCGATTTGTGACTCAGGCAAATTGGCCTGTGGCAATGATGAATGTATCGAGAAGCAATTATTCTGTGATGGTAAACCCGATTGTGCTGATGGGTCAGATGAAAATGCTTGTAGTAAGTAAAGTTTGATTGTTATTAATTGTTCAAACGTTTTAAAAATGAAATCAAAACGAAATTTTTTCATCTGTATTGATTAGCTCTTGGAAAGGATCCCAATCGCGCGCCTCCTTGTGACCCCGTCACTTGTGTGCTACCTGAATGTTGGTGCTCAGTTGATGGAACTCTGATTCCTGGTAAATTAGAACCAGAATCTGTTCCTCAAATGGTGATGATCTCTTTCGACGATGCCATTAACAATAATAACATCGATTTGTACGAAAAGTTGTTGGATAATAATCGACTAAATCCAAACGGGTGCTCTATTAAAAGTACCTTTTTCGTCTCACACAAGTATACCAACTACTCGGCTGTTCAAGAGCTCCATAGACGTGGACATGAAATGGCCGCTCATTCAATCACTCATAATGTTGATGAAAAGTATTGGACAACCGCGACTCAAGAAACATGGGCCAAAGAAATGTCTGGAGTTCGATTGATCATGGAAAGATTTGCGAACATTACTGATAATTCAATCGTCGGTGTTCGAGCTCCTGCTCTCAGAATTGGAGGTAACAATCAATTCTTCATGATGGATGAACAAGCTTTTCTCTACGATTCAACTATCACCGCTCCGCTTTCTAATCCACCCCTTTGGCCTTACACTCTTTACTTCCGAATGCCTCACAAGTGCCATGGTAACGGTCAGAATTGTCCAACTCGAACTCATCCAATTTGGGAAATAGTTATGAATGAATTAGACCGACGTGAGGATCCAAAGTTCGACGAAGAACTGTCCGGGTGCTCTATGGTTGATTCTTGCGGAAACATTTTAACGGGCGAACAGTTTTACAATTTCCTAAATCATAATTTCAATCGCCATTACAAAACTAATCGAGCTCCGTTGGGATTGTTTTTCCACGCTTCGTGGTTGAAGAATTCGCCAGAATTTCTTGACGTTTTCATCCAATGGATCGACGAAATGTTAGAGAAAAAAGATGTTTACTTTGTCACCATGACTCAGGCTCTTCAATGGATCCAAACACCCACGAAACTGGACTCAATTCAAGATTTCGAAGCCTGGAAAGAAAAGTGCACAGTCTCAGGTCAACCCCATTGCAATTTACCTCGTCAATGTCCACTCAACACTCGAGAATTACCCGGAGAAACGATTCGTCTCCATACCTGCGTTGAATGTTCTCGTAATTATCCTTGGCTCGAAGATCCGACCGGAGATTATTTCTCTTCCAAAAAGTAATCGAACTTGTGAATTGAATGTTGATCAACTTCGTGTTCTAATTATTAATACTTTCTTTTCAATAAGATTAAAATGATTGCATGTATAGTTTTTGGTTGTTTTTTCAACACAAAATTAGTTGATTGTATTTTTAGAGCAATAACAAAAATGGTTCGACAATTAACAAATTAATAATTAAAAATCGTAACAACAATTTAATTTCTAATTATTTTTAAAAATATTTGTTCATCTTTTGTGACTCTATTGTGTCAATGATTTAATTCAATTACATGATGACCTTATTAAGCTTATGATTAAAATTAATTTAATGGTTACATGATTATGGACAAGGGTAAAGCTTAGTGAATTGTGGTCAATATAAAGTAAGTTAATCAAAGAGGAACCTAATTGTAAAGTTAATTAAAGGGAACTCATGAGATAAGTTAAAAGTAACGAAAAGTTTAACAATCAGAAAATTATTTCAGTTGATATTTAAAGTCAATCGTAGTTTAGTGTTAATTGTGATAAAATGAATCTCAATTCTTATTTAGTGTTTATATTGTCAACTGTTGCTTTTCCCAAGATCCTTTTGCTTGATGTTTTGTGTCATGTTGTTGAGGAAACACAACAACAAACTGTCACCAATTACGACGAAGACTCAGATCATAATATCCACCACGACAATTTCGGAGTAATTAGAGGTCATCGAAGGCCAGTAGCAAACATTATCTACTATCCAATGATGCTCCATAACAAGGTGAGTATTCAACTGATATTGAACTTTTCATTCAATTAAAAGCGGCAATTTAACGGGGCTTTGATTAATTTTCGTTTAGAGTCCAGTTGAAGGTTCAGAGAAATCAAGTACATCACTTGGAATGGTTCATCCGATTATTTTGATCATCGCTTTGGCGATTCCATTATTAACTATTTTAGCATTTGGATCAATGTTGATGCCCGTTGTTCCGATTGTCTTGTATTTCCTCAACCTACTATTTCCTCCAGCATCGGGATAAGTGAATACTTATTACATTAAAATCTTTAAATCAATGAGAATTTATAATCATTTATGTTAAAATTGATAATGTTATTTCTTTGATTGAAATTGTAACAGTAAAATCGTGACAATTTTTTCACCATTTTATGTTTTCATTATCAATTCAAAATTATTAGTGAATTAAATTAATATATAATCTGTAAAAGTTATGATTTTGAAAACTGAGATTTTTAGATAAGGTAAAAGGTTTAAATAGGGTAATTAAAACAGAAATGACTATGAAAGGAAAACTGATTATCGGTTATGAATCATTTCCTGATCTGATTAATCGTTTAGCTCCTCTTTTCCCTGCTGGTCCTTGAGGCTTGGCAAACATTGTTCCTGTTGGATTAGAGGCACCGGGATTAGTTATGGGGTGGAGTTCATCGAGTAGATTGTTTTCACTTAGTTCATCAATATCGTCGATTTCCAATCTCTTGGCGATCTCGATTCCAAACTTATTCTTATCCTGCAATGCAGCTAATAAGGGAAGTTTACATGTTGAGTAAAGCATCTTCTCTTTCACTGGACAGCCACTCGCTGGAACCCAATAGACAAAGATGACACTTTTCAGGAAAACGTTACCATGTTGATGAGGATAAATAAAAATGATGTACCTCGGATTCTTGGTTGGCATTCGTGATCCCAGAGTTTTCACATCGAATTCACTAATAGACTGAGTAGATTCAAGTTGGATCATCTCTTTGCTCAAATCGATAGATAATTCAACAAATCCGATTGATTCTTCTTTTAATTTGAATAGCCCATCAACCGCTTCATCAGTGATTGGAAACTCAATTCCTATAATACTTTTAGACGATGAATTGACACATCGCACTAAGGCCTCTTCTCTTTTCACATTTCTCAGATCAATTTCCCGAACTGTAAGTAAATCCTCATCACCGAATTCAGCTTCACTTGAAGGCACAGCCATTTTAATGGAGTTTCAACAATTAATCAACAGTAAACAATCAAACAAATAGGAAACTGAATAAGTAAACAAATGAAAGAATAACAAGAAAAGGGTGTAGATGGCACTCGAATCTAAACAACTCACTTTAACAGAAGATGGAGACACAAAAGTTGATCAACAATTAGTAAATCAATGAGATTTTATTTCGTTTAATTTTTATTTCATCTCGATTTCCTATTCAACGATTTATTCATCATAAGTGTATCTTTAGTTGATTTCCATTTAATCAGTCATTCAATTGGGGGTGTTAATTGTTGCAAGTTTGTCGGAATAATAATCAGATTGTTTTAATTTTTCGCTGTCAAATGAACAAATGACATTTAATGCAATTAAATCACCAGAGCGAATTGTTCAATGATTATCTCGAGATGATAAGTGAATTTTAATCGGAAATGATTCAACTTTATTCTTACAAAGTCTTGAAAACACAATAATCGTGTGAAGAATCAACACCAATCCCTTGACGATGATTCGTTTAATTGCAATGAATACAAATTGATCTCATATCGAGAAGAAAATAGAGATTACCAATTGATTGTTGTTAATTAAGGTTAGTGAGATAATCATAATTTATAAATAATAATCAGATCAACAGTTAATCATTCGCGATTTGGGTTTAGAAAAGGGGAGAGAATCGGATCAAGAGAATCGAGTAATACCCGAGATCCGCAATTCACAAAGAGTTTTTTCGCTTTTTTAATATTTAATTGTAAACAAGGAAAAGATTTGATTAGAACAATTTGATTGATTTTCATCTTAAAAACGAAAGAGATGAAAAAACCAAAAAAAGATAAAAGCGAATCTCTAATCCCTCGAGTCTATTGACTCTTTCGTTTTCTCTCTCGATTCCATTCACTTTATCGGATCCAAATTCTACTCTCTCAATGAACAGTTAATCTGTTTTCTTTTTTCTGTCATTTCCTCTCTTTCTCTTTGTGTCTGGTTTTTTCTCTTTTATTTATTTTGATTAACTAAGTTGTTCTTTTAATTGTAATGAAATGTTTTCCTTCTCTTTCTTCTCAACTGCACCGAGTTTACCTAAACATCTTAAAAGTACCAATGATTTACTCATAAATGAGAAGAACTCTGATTTATCTCGATTATCATCCATTCTTAATTCTTCACCATTGGTAGAAAATATTTCGTCTAATTTAATTGAACCAGATGATAAATCGGCTTCTTCGCTCTCTTCGCCTTCCTCTTCTTCTTTGTCTTGCTCATCTTTATCATCCTTCTCACCAACATCTTCGTCTTCAACATCTTCATCCCAATCAACACAATCTTTGTCATCTTCATCTCTCTCATTGAGCTCACCTTTACCTAAGCCACAAACGAGTCAATCATCCGAATCAACTTGCCCATCATCAAGTCCGGTAGAAACACCGACAAAGCGATGCTCTTCGCCTTCTTCACTCTCATCAATTCCATCGCCATTCACAACTTCGCCTTCATCGCCTGTTTCTAGTTTCACCAAATTCGAGGAAAAGAGAAGGAATCAAGCAGAGAAACAAAACAAAACATTGCGATCGATTTTAAGAAACACCGCTCAGCGATTCGGATTAAGAGAGAGAATCTCGTCGACAACTTCAGCATCTTCTTTGTCTCCATCAACACCAACTACTCGTTCAAAGGGGAAGAATTTTTTACGACTTGAGTCATTTCCTCTTTCTTATGGAGATTTTTACAATTCGATTGGTTCCGTTGTACCATCTTGGGCTGGTGGAAACAGCAATTCGTCTACAGGGACATCAAACATTGACGATGGACCTTTGGATGATATTCAAAGACAAGTCAGTGTTGTGGCAGATCAATTGAATGAAATGAAGACAGTTGATGAAATGAGCTCAGCTGTTAATAAGTTTTACCAATCGATGATCAACCGATTTGAAGATCTTCCAATTTTCAAAGAAATTGTTCAAGTCTCAGTGGATCAACTAATCGATTACACTGAAATCAGATTACTCTCCAGCATGTGTAATACGATCTTCAATCAGATTTTAATAGAAGATGAAAGCAAAGATTTACAATTACAAAGTCAAATTCGGAATCTTAATTGGATTACAACAGATCATCTTGAACTTGATCTCGATCTCTCTAAACCGGAGATCTGTGATTACATGGATCAAGCGATCAGTCACATAATCGAAATGGGATCGAAAGGAATTCCTCTTCAAAAATTGGAATGTATATTCAACTGTTCTAAAGCTTTACTACAACTATTATATTTATCTCGTGAAGGTGAACCAGTCAGTGCTGATCTATTTTTACCTGCTCTTGTTTACACCGTAATTCAAGCCAATCCGCCATTGCTTCATTCCAATATCAAGCTGATTAATCAATTTTCCTCACCGAATCGTCTTTCCTCTGGGGAGATGAGTTATTATTTCACTAATTTGTGTTGTGCTGTTGCGTTTATTGAGAAACTTGATGGAGAATCGCTTAACCTTTCAGAGGAAGAGTTTCGTCGTTACATTAATGGAGATGAGCGACCAAACAATGGCTACCATGATCAGTTACAATTTAACAATCGGCTCAGTGAAACTTTTCGGCGAATGAACAGAAGCAACAATTTAATTGCTTCTCTTTCATCAAAGCAAAATTCCCTGGAAGAAGAGACTGAACAATTGAAAAGAACGATTATCATTGAACAAGAATCTCTCCTTTCTCAACTTAAATCAGTAACAGAATCAATGGAATCTACAGTAAACAACAGCAACAATCAAGCTCACGAATTAAGGAGAGTCGTTTTCGAATCGAGAGTCACTCAAAGTCCATTTTACTATGAATTGAATAGAACCAGCTGATGAATGGGTGTTTAGCTCATCATATTACAAAACAATAGGATCAACTTAATTCGAGCCTTTTAATTGCAAAGAAAAAATTAGCATTGCTAATCACATATACAACTTTTTTTGCTCTCTTCGTGTGTTTGCTCTTGATTAGATTGAGGGCGTTTCGCTAATTTGAATACAAATTAATTGTTATTGTTTTTCCCTTTGAATCTATTTAATTTAGGAAGGCCCAGGACAATTAATCCGTTAACAATTAACGCTCAAGGGCCATTGTTTGCTTAGTGAAACGCCAGTAAATTGAGTCAGAACATTTTTACGTAATAATTGAAAAGCTTTTTGCTTTTGTTGTTTAATTTTTACACAAACGTTGAGTTGAAAATATTTTTTTACGACAACATTTTAACTAAATAAACTCAAATAATTGATTTTTTATTAAAATTTATTCTTAATTGTTAATCTTTTACTCTAATTGTATCATTTAGTGGTGAATATAAAATAAATACCTGAATGGAATGTTAAATTTCATCGAGTTGTAATTTAGATTTAAACTTATTATGATTCGTTTGAATTGATGTTTATTTAGATCGTCTATTGATTAATGTGTACCATGGATTGGAAAATGTCCTAGAATTGAATTCACTAATATCATAAGCAGGTAAAGATGATGAAGATGAAGATGATTGTGATGCGGGAGTTGATGATGATGTCGACGAAGGCCTAATTGTCGGCCATGATTTAAAAAATTTATTTCCATTCCAATTTGATAACCTGGGATCTGTTGAAATGAACCGATGATCAGAAGCTCCAGGTAACCAGTTGTTATTCAGGCCAACGTCGGGAAATCCTCGATTATTGTAAATCCCGTCAAATCCCATGAAGGGCGTTCGTCGATTTACTGGCCAGTTCAACGATGTCGGTTTTCGAGGCAACGGGTAATCAGGAATAGGTGAGGACTCTCGTCGTTTATTATTGATCGAAATCGTCGGCGGATTGTTCGTAATTATGTCGTGAAGTGTTAATATAATTTGTACAACGAAACCTAATTTATCTCGAGATAATTGATTCAGATTATCACAGGCTTTATGATAACATGATCTTTGATACCCTCTCCAAGGACCTGAAACGAAAATAAAATTAGTTGATAATCGTCAGTTACTAACAATAATTAGCGGTCATTGTAGGTCAAGAAGAAAGAAAAAAAGAATTGAATTGTTGATGTGAACTTAAAATGAAACTTTTTTCATTTTAAATTCTCAATAATTTGAACCATTAATAGAAAACAAATAATCATCGTCATCGTTGGGCTATTAATAGTTAATTTAATTAATGGTTTTTTATTTTGCTTTTTCACCCGAACAATTAACTTTCATCAAGTCGAGGAAATTGAAAAGTTGATTGTGTTCAACATCTGATTTAATTGTTACCTGCGGGAAATTAATGATGAGAAATCAAATCTATTTAGTTACACGATTTTTGCTGTCAAGTTGTAATAATGTTTGGAAAACACAATCAACCTTAGAATTTGAATTAATTTGTTTCTATTCTCTTGTGCAATTTAGTTCTAGCAACTTACCGAGGTCAGTGATTAGAAGAGCATTTAATGGACGAACTTTTCGATTTCCATGGTACCAAAAAGACGAATGATCAGATCGTAAAAACGTTTGAGCCGAATCACGAATATCTTTTTTTCTTGTGTACATTTTATCGGGCAGATCAGCATCGAATGCGATTATCTTGTACTTGGATCCTGTATTCGTCGCATTAGCAATTCGATTCCACGATTTCTCTAACGGTTCCCAAATTGACTTATCGTAACCACGTCGCATCCAAATGGATGCAAAGTCACCACGATTTTTATTCTTTTTCACTTTTGCAGCCGCTTCCGGTGTTTCCTAAAAAAGAAATCAATTTATTTTCTACATGATCTTCAGGTCGATAATTGTTTTTTTTTTCATGTGAATAACGAGTAAGCATTTTGACTAATACCTTAATAAAATCTTCGCTGAGATCTTGACTTCCTTCAGTTGGATCCCATGTCAATATCATATCAGTTATATAAGCGCCTAAGAAATTGGCCCGTTTCCCGATTAGTTCATCGGGAATGAAGTATTCAGATACAAAAGCTTTACTTCCCCAAAGACCCTGGAAAAGATAATCGATTAATGTTAACAATTAACGTCGCCTCGTTTTCTTACCGCTTCTTCAAAGTCAAAGGCGACAAAGAATATCGAGTGATCGAGTGAGGGCTTAGATTGACCGACAAGCCGAACAAGTTCTAATAAGGCCACGATTCCAGAACCATTGTCATCGATTCCATAAGTTCCCTTGACAGTATCATAATGACCTCCCACTAGAATTATCGAATCATCCGTTTTATTACGGTTTTTACTCGGCCAAACACCGATTAAATTAACTCCATTTAATCCTAATCTAGTTGTAAACCTTTGAGCGAATGTTTCTAATCCATATTTCCAAAAATGTCCCATAATCCGATGTCGAGCTGTTTCTTTGGATTTCTCATTATCATGATGACGAGTTAAAGAGACGATAGAGAACAAAGATTCGACTGAATCTTCATTACAGATAATTGATTTTCCGATTGAATAAGTTGATCCATTTCGAGATTCATCTCTTTTAATTGCTGAAGATTCAACACTAATCAAAGGTGATGAAAGTGAAGCTAATGGTGACCCAAGAATTGACGAATAATCAACAAATCGGACAAGTTCGCTATTACGAATGTAATCAGTTGGTGGTAATGATCCTGAAGAAGAAGATGAAGATGAAAGTGCTTCACCTCCCGGTTGATTAACAATCGAATCAGTCAGAACATTTTCTGGTGTTTCACGTGGATTAATTGGAAAGAGCCAGCGATCAGATGGATCTTAAATCGTAGGTGTGAAAATGTAACAATTTGGAAAAATAATCATTGATTTGAAAGATAATTAGAAAATATAATTAGTTTAAGTGACCGGAATGGTCAATGTTTGATCGCTTCAATAATTGGCTTCTCTTTCCGTTTTTAATTAAACTTCAAGTAAGGTTACTCATGTTAGAACTGAGAAACGGTAATTAAAATTCACACTTGAAATCACCTGACGGTAATTAAACACTGACCTGAACATTAATCATACAAATCAAATTCAACAAATGGATTAACCTTGAAAGATACAGTGTGACCAAGTTGATCATTTAGAAGGATTAAAAAGATTCTGAGTTGTGTCCAAATCTAATCAATTCGAATCACCAATAGGCATTGACAACAATCAACATGTTGATTAGACAATTGGACAAGGATAAACACTGACAATCAACAAGGTTACATGGATTCGATATCATAAACTTGGATAAAAAGTTTCGATTACCGGTAACATGATATGACTATAAATAAACTGACGAATTGGAATCGATGCAATTTTGTTCGTAGATCGACTCGATTAAAGTGAGAATAAGTTTGATAAAAGGAAATCTCGAGTATCTGTTGACTGATTTTCTCAAATTATAAAATATGAGATTCGAATTGGAAACAATTTTCTGAAAAAAGAAACTGATGTGATGAGAATTATAAATATGAGAGATATTCAAATATGAAGGAAAAAAACAATTAACTTTTTACTCTTTTCAAGTGATACGAGTTATTAATAAAATAGAAGCATTTTAATTGTTGACAATTGATTAATTATGGTGGTGATTAGCATAATATACTTACATAGCGATGAAACTTTGTGTACATAGATTGACAATATCAGATAAACGAGTAGATTGAGATTCATGGTAATTGTAATTTGGTCAATGGAAGAACTTGTTGATCCAAAAGTGAATAAATAAATATGAATGGCAGAGAAACGAAATTAAAATGACTAGATGAAGGAGATTAATGGTAAGGGATTAATTAAAAGGCCACTAATCGAGCATCAAAAGTAATAATCGACATTGTGGACTATTTGTTTTCACTTCGAGACATTGAAAACTGTGACAATTGAGACACTAAAGACAAAGAGAGTTAACGTCTGGTGATCACTGAGATTAAGATTATCAGATGAATGAAACGGATAAACGAAAATAGATTAGAATCAACAGTTAATCAACACGAATGGAAAACAATGAGACACTGAAGACCAACAACAAGTGAATGAATTTTGGCCAACGAAAGAAAAGCTCAACACTAATCAGTCTCTCACAAACTGGTTTAACTTTAGTACTTTGATTGTGATCAGTGTTTTGGCTTCAGGTTCATTATTTTCTACCTTTTCAATACTGAGAACTTCTGAATACTTAACTCCCTCATCATCTCTCCTCCTCCATCATCTTCATCATCTTGCTAATTATAACTCATAATCTTCATCATCTCGTTACCTGGGAAAAGTGAAACATTTCACAGAGACAAACGGTCGACATGATTAACCGCTAAATTAATTGTCACTCATTTGGTTGGTAAACAGCGACGATCATCAAATGACACTTAGTTAATCAATTGATGAATTAATTGTGAACTTGATTCACTTCTTTTGTTAATTGTAATACAACAAAAACGTTAAATTGTTTATCAGGTCAGGTTAGGTTGATGTGAATCGAATGAATCAACTTTGATTGTTAACACAGAGAAAAGGGTGAAAACTGTATTACGATGATTTCTTTTATTGTCACAATCTATTTTAATTCAGTAATCATCATCATCATCATCATGAAAATGATGTTAATTTAGGTGTGATTATAATCATCTCTTTTTTCATAACAGTTACATTTGTATTTGTTTGATGTTGTCAACTAAAAAGCCTCGAGCTAAAAGTATCACTTTGCTTCATCATTTTATAATTTAATTTAGATTAAATTTTCTTTCAAAGTTTTTATCATCATTAATATTATCCTAATTACGACTGATCAATCATAATTATCTAATAATTACAATTCAGCTGATAAAACATCAGCCAGAAATGTAAATAACAATCTGAATTTTTAACTTTACTCGTGGTTTGTTAATTGTATTAGATTGGGTCAACTAATAGCAACAGAGTTTCATTAATTTTAATTGGTGTATCAGATCAAATAGTTAATCATTGAGTTTGATTGCAATTGTCAAGCAAAAGTAAACACCAATCAATAATTTCTTGAAAATTTGACTGTAATCATCCGAATCAGTTTTAATAGCAATTGGACACTAATAATCAATAAGAATCACCTTGATTGTTACCGGGAAATTATTGTGTTAACAATTGAATACAACAATCAAATTGAACAAATGATTAAGGGTCTTGCTAAGTGAAAAGCAATTACTTGATTGGGTAAAATTACCAACGACTTTAAAGTTACCAGCAATTTAAAGGATAATAAGTCGCAATATGTAATCAAAATTAAAGATAATTGATTAACCAATCAAATAGACGAGAGGTTAGTGAGAGTTAATTAAGATCAAATTATGATTATTAACCAACAATCAGTGGAGGAATTAGAGTAACTTGAACCGTACCAATCATACGGAATCAGTAATTAGATGTTGGATTGATAAAAGTTGTTACAATTTAACCTTCTACCTGAACAATTTGATTGTATCAACCTTAACCTTTTTGGTTGAATTGTAATTTCTTGTGTCTACACAATTGATTACTTAACTATCAACCAAATGTTTGGATTAAATTAAACCAACTGTTGATCATTGAGACGAATTAAATTGTAAATGAGTTTATAATTGTTGTGATTAAATTGAACTAACAACTAACAAAAAGTTGATTAGAAATAAAACAAATAAAAGCCTTGAATTGATTGTTACTGAAAAGATAATTCCAAATGGTCAGTTGGTACAATTGAAATGAATTAATTAAAATTTTAATTCACATCGTAAAATACAAATTGTGAAACATTATGACGGCTTTTAAGAAGCAATTTGAATGCAAATTTGAGTAAATGAGAGATTAACTTCCTGGACCAAAGTGGTCAGAACTTTATCTTCCGTCTAGTTGTTTCTTTTCCCACCCAATGAGTTAACTGGACTCTTAGCACTTTAGCACCGACTCTTAACTTCGGTTAGGTCATTAACTTTTCATTGTTTCCATAAACGAAACTTTCAACTCTTGAATTGTTCCTCAGCATCACAAGTAATCAAGAAATCTGGACAACCATGAAAACCACATGAGCTTCATTGTAATCAAGTGAACAAGTTGTGACAAGATGGATGATGAAAAGATGATGACCGTAACTGGATTTTGTTTCTCTTCATGTTCATCAATGAAATCAGTTCAAATATCATCTTGACCATGAGAGGTAAAAGTGGTAACAATTAATAACTATTTTCTACTCTTTTACTTTCTTTAAATTGTGAAACATTTCATCGGAAAAAATTAACTATTAAAGGATAGAAATGTTTTTTTATCGTTATTAAATTAAATCGGATAAGACAAGAATAAACAATAAGTCAACAATGGCAGTTAAAGCGATGATCATTTGGTTAACGGCTCGAGTTTTGTTTTAGCATAGTAGTGGTACGACTTAAGGCCATTCTTTATTGGATGAGACGAGAGCAAATTAGTTGGCTAATTGCATTTTGATTATGAGCATTGATTAGAGTTGATCCATCAACGATTCGAGACTTGGTTCAATTAAAGATTAACCAATTTTTACAATTTAATGTGCGCTCGGAAAAATGAATCCATAAAGTAATCAACAAAGTTATCGATTGGCTTGACCTGCAATGAGAAAGGATTGTTATTATTAAAAGTCGAATCTTTTTTTGGTGAATGAAACTCACAATAAATGGAATCGAACCAAGTCCGATAAAAACTGTTGTCCATTTGGCTTTCGATCGGTTAATATGAGAATAGCGAGTTAGTGCAATTAAAGAAGCGGCACAAATACGATTAATCGTGAAACCTAAAGAAAAGATGATCATTTGATTGATTAATCATTGCCAATAATGTAATTTGTTTCTTTCTACAATCAACTGATGGATTAAACAATCAACAAAATGAATAAATTCAGATAAATCAGCTTCTAATCTTATTCAAGGTTTTTCGATAAAAATAATAACTCATCTTTCGTATGTCAACAAATTGAATGAATGGCTTTCAGGTTATGGGTTGAAATGGATTCTGGTGATGATTTCATAGTTGACTGAATCTCTAAGTACATTTTCAAGCCTCATGATATCTCTTAAGACCCATGGTTGTTTCAAGAAATCTAATCATGAAACAGAAACTATTCATAAGTTAAATGTTTCAAAACAATCATTTAGTCATCAATTTATGATTAGTTTCCACATCATGATAACCATAATCATTAAAATTAATAACTTGACAACAGGTTAACATTATTATAACTTCAATTTTTGTCATTTTGACATGATTGTGATTATAATAATCACCATTAGCCGAAGTTGCAATGAAACCAAGAAAAACAAGGTTATTTGTTGAACAAATTGCCTCTAAATTCAATGGAATCAGTTAACCAACAATCATCATGAGGGATAAAATGAAATAGAAGAAGCAAATTAACTCGATTGAGAATTGATGATAAAAGACATAGTTAATTAGGATGAACAATCAATTAAATGGTGCTATTAAATTACCATTGTTGGTTAATTAAAATTGATAATTGTCGTTTCTCAGATGGTTTGTCCTTAATTGAGACCAAAACAAGACAATGGGACAAACAATCAAATCGAAGGAAACAAAAAATTAGATAATGATAATTATCCGATTTCTTCTGATTCAATACCTTGGCAACTTGATTGGGTTAAGCAATTAATGAGGTGTAATAAACATTTGATTTGCCTTAAATGATAATTTGGTTAGTGAAAGAAAAGTAAATAAGTAATTACAATAAATACGATAAACATTATGAGATTAATTGTTAACCTCTCCCACTAATGAACTAATCGTTAAATGAGCTGATCTATTGTGCAGTTATCGTATTAAGAGTTATTATTTCACTAGATTTTGTAATGGTAATAAAAATAATTAGTTATTAATATAATGATGTTTGAGGAAAATAATAATAAGGCGGATAATATCAATCTCATGATTACTCTATTATTTAGTGATGTTTCTCTTTTGAATAATTCAGTTCTGTGAACTTCATATCGATCTGAACAGAAATAAAGCCCAGAGGAAATATGAAGAGAAGAAAAAAAAGAAAAGAATAATTTGAAGGTTGAAACCTGCATGTTACCGTATAATTGGGAATGAGATTGATATGCAAAGACCATATTATCATGTTCTGTTGGAAATTCAGCTCAATTGACCGTCAATTGGTTTTCCTTTTCAAGGTGAGGCTCAAAGGAATCAAGAAACATGGTGAAGGTGGAGAAGGTGAATAAACCTCATTCATCCTTCAACAACTTATCGATTATCAAGAGTGACATGGATAAACTTTGGGTGGAAGAATAGGAATAAGCCAATAGTCTAGTGATTAATTGATTGTGATAAAAAAAAGAAATAGTTTGAGCCGAACCTGGAATGATCACCGAGGCCAAACTTTGCCAAACCAAAGTATCGACCAGAGTGTTTAGTATTTTACGTTTTTTCAATGAATCGCTTTCAAAGGGTAACTGAGGATAGAAAATTGAAATAATTGTTGTTAGAATGGACAAATTGGACCAGCAATTAAGTACCTTTGATTGTTTGTAGCATTTGTCCGCTGTATCTGCCAAGACGTAACCAGAGGCAACAACGTAGCTCAGTTTGACCCAATTAACATGAACCAAAGCTCTGAACGATTCACCAACCTCATTGGCATAACCTTGATAGTCAAGGAGACAGGAAGATAATAAATAGAAACGAGTATTAGGCTCAGAATGGAAAAGAGGTTGGCTAATAAAAGACAAAAAGCTGAAGGATAAGAAAAGTAACAAAATTAACTCTTCCCAAAGTGAGAAAGAGTGAGAATTGGTAATGTGAATGGTGAGAAACATTGAGTTAGTTCAATTGTCGCGATTTAAATGACAGAGAAACAGAAAATAAAATAGTTTACCTAATAAACGGATCGGTGAATTTCTGTAGAGATCAACCTGTGTATCGTCTTGATTGCCACTCGATTCCATTAAGATCGAAACAAAGTAACAAACAATCAGCAGAGTTCCAGTGAAAATATAAACATAAACAAAAAGTGTTTCTCTTGGAGATGAAACAATCACATGGTTGCTCTTCTCTTCTTTCTCCCTTTTGCTCTTTCTTTTTCTTTTCTTTCTCTCGCTCTCTCAGTTATTCTTTTTCTTCTGTGTAATTTCTTGTTCTGTTAATGCCGGTTATTTTCTATTAATCATAATAATTTATGTTCTTTTCCATAATTTGATTGCTTCGTATTTGCAAGAGAACCACCAGTGAAATAAAATCAGTTTTTGTTGTTTTTATTTGCCAGTTTAAGTTTTAGACTTTGATTATTTCTCTCAGTGATTCTTTCGGTTGGAAATATCTGGACCACAGAGTGACAACTAATATCTACTGACCAATGGCCTCCAACAACAACCAAGTTGTTCTGAAAGACAATACTGTCCATTATTGCCTTTACCCGGATTTCAGTTTGATTTCGGATGAATCAACTCACATCGATCATCTTAAAGACTATATTGTTGATTGTTTCAATAAATTGAGTGATCTTCTTAAAGATTATCTTTGGCATTTTGAAGAATTCAATTTACGCCCTGTTGATTCGTCATCTGATCAAGGTTTGTAATTCTCTTACTAGATTATTCAATCGATTGGTTAATTCTTTTTCTATTTGCCTTTCCTCTATTGTCTGTCATTCCATCTTCGAGACTTTTTCTATCTAAATTTGATTCTCTTTTCTTTACAACAAATAGTTGCACATATCGAAGGATTTACCTGTTATGAGGATAATGTCGAAGACGAATGGTTCATCGTGTATCTGCTTATTAAATTAACTCAACTCGATTCTAAGTTAGTGATTAGTGTTAAAGACTCAGATGGACAATTTTTGCTCATTGAAGCTGCTGAATATTTACCCAAATGGGCCGAGCCCGAGATTAGTGACCAACGGGTGTTTATATTCAACGGAGAAGTTCATTTAATTCCACCCAGTGTAATACCTCAGACCAAAAACATTTGCGACTCGTCCATTGACATTACTCAAGCTTTATCGGTTATACGAGATGAAGGGAAAAAAACCAAATGCGCAGAGAAAATTCAGTATTCTATTCGTCGACGGATCACCATGTTTCCTATGCAAATTACCACTCAAAAACATCGAGCTCAGTGTTTCATTCCTGCAGGAGTGGCGATGTTGCTCAGTCATCAACCCAACTTAATCTCATGGGCTGTGCGAGCTTTTTATCATCGAGACTTGAAGGACTTTCAGGCCATAAGATCAATGAAATATTTTCCACCAGAAACTCGTGTTAAAAGAAACGTTACTTTTACCAAGTGTTTGTATGCTCAAGCGATTAGCCAAAAATATGATCCTGATCCAAAGATTGGCTGGAATTTGCCTCCAAGAGAATCGCCATTATTTAAATCTTACGATTTAGGTGTTAAGATTGCCTGTGGCTTTGAAATTCTAATTAGTCGGGTAAAAGCGACCAATTCTTGTGATGAAACATCACCAATCTCAACCGAGAAATGCAATGAAAAACTTTGGGTGAAAATGGTCAAAAGCTTGGAGGATAAAGGTTATTTCAAAGATAATATCCAAGGATCTCGACGATACAAAGAGTTACTTAATAAAGCTTATGATTTCTATCGCTCATCAATGGAATCCTCGAAAGACTCAGTCGCTTGTGATGAAGACATTGGACAACGAGTTTTAAAATTGGTTAAAACTGTTTCTGTTGATTACGATCGTTTAAAGCGCGAAGAGAGCTCACTTGAACCTGAAGACAGTGATGATTGGATTAATATAAGTCAACAAAAATTAGAAGATGTATTGATTGGTCAATTTCTGAACGATAAAGATCTGAATGAAAATCTTGCTGAAAAGATCCCTGAAGCCTTTAAAACTTTCATAAACTACGATGATGTTGGAATCGAAGGAGCTGAAATTCCTGTTGATAATTTAAGACCAAACATTACTCACGATTTAGAGCCAATTAAATTTGATGAAGATAAATTTGGTGATGCATTGAAAAATATTCTCTCATTCCCATTGCCATCGACAGAATCATCTTCATCTTCATCCGGTATGTCCGATTATGAGATGGAAAGTGCGCCCGATGAAAAGGATAGTTCTGATAGCGACGGAGACAATCCTACTTTTCGCATTCTAACTCCAGTAAAGAGTTTATCTAAGACTAAGAAAGTGACCAAACGAAAGAAACATAAGAATAATAAGAGCAACTCAACAAATCCGATGTTCAAAGACATGAAACATTACATGGAAGCGATTGATAGAGAGCTGGATAAAACTTTGGTTGGTAAAAGTTTCGAGAGAAAACCCAAAAGTAACAACGACCAAGTGAAAATTGGTGAGCCTCCACTGGCGACTTGTGATGAAGATGAAGATCTGGATGATACAGATAACGAATCGACCCTTCCGCCCGTCGACCCAGAACTCACTGCCTTAAAAAACATTCTCGAATCGTTCGATAGTCAGAAAGGTTTGCCTGGACCAGGATCCAATTTACTCTCTCTGATGGGAGTTCATCTTCCTCGTGATTCTTCATCATCCTCACAACCTAAATAAGAGATAAACAAACAGAACAACCTTGTATTCAGGTTTACATTTGATTCTCGAAATTTGGAGGGTTAGTTAAAATTAACCACAAACAAGTAAACATTCTCGTTCCATACTGTTAATGTTCATCATCATTTTCTCAACTCACTAAATTATTTTACAAACAAACTCTCGAAGAAAAAGAGAAAGTTCCATCCAGAAGAGTAGAAAGATAATGATAATAATCCAAACAAATCTGATTCTGCAATTTAACCTACATTTCAATTCATCTTAATGATCCGTTTTACCTTGACTGTTTTGCTTCCTCCCTCTTTCCTCTTGTTAATGTTTCTGTTGCTCCACCATAATCATTGTCATTATCATCAATATCTTTCATACAATTGACAAATTATTTTCCGACATTAAGATCAAATTGATTAAATTGAAACAGAAATGGTTTTTTTATTGTTCATTGAACGAAATTACATCCATTCAATTGACTTGATTCAATCAATACAAAAAGTCTTAATTGTCATTTACGAAATGTCAAACCAATTAACTATTTCTAAATGACTTGATGATATTTGTGTTTATTTGTTTGTTTTTTTTGTATAAATCACAATCAGTTGTGTATAAAAAATATCAAGAGCTATGAAAATGTCACTAAATAAAAAACGTACTACAAGAAAAATGATATGATTTTGTTGTTGTTGTTTCTTGATTTGTACAAATTTGTGCTAATTAAATGTTTTAATTCTGCTTATTGTTTAGCTATATACTTGTTCATCAAATTGAGAATCACTGGTAACACTGATTCGGGTTTTTTGCCTTTGATTTCCCTCGTTGGTAAATGAGACGCGAATTCGTCGCATTTGCTTGTTCCCCATTCCAGTTCGTGGTCACAGAAAAGATCTAAGATGTCTCCTCGAAGGTTCCTCATCGCTTTATGAGTGTATTCAGTTTGGTTAGGAGGACATTTGTTTTCGATTGCTGATTTCGAGCATTGTTCCAATTTACTTAGATAACTGAAAATTGTATTGAAAAAATAAATTAATCGTTTAGAAAATTAAAGTTGACACAGTAGCAAAAATCGAGGAGAAAATAAAAAACTGCGAGTAAATTGATTTGATCTCGATTGTTACAATTCAATTCGGGTTAAATTGGTGGAATTGTAGTAGTAAGTCACAACAATTAGAAATTAATGAAAAACAATTTTATATAAAAAGAATAATTAAATTCGATCTTTTTGTCTCGATTATGGAAAAGTTCAGATTCAGGTTGGTTTTTTTGACTCGAACTTTGGTCAATTGATATTGACAAACAATCGCATTGAATTTACTCACCAGCAAGACAACGGGATCCATTCGGGCTTCTTGGTTTTCGGGACAAGCATAAAGTTTTCAATAACATCATGAGTACAAACATCCAAGTCTTTTTTGGTCGCAGTCAAACAATCAGAGTTTTTCAGGTATTCTGATTCATGGAGAAGTGAATGGAAATGTTATCAATGATTTTCGTTGGTTAATTGAAACGAGTAAACAAAATGATCAATAGTTACTGACCTTCGACACCTTTTTTTGAGGCACATCGTTCCTTCAATGACTTCAATGGACCTCGAAGCATAATGTTGATGTATTGACGTGCGAATGGTTTGACACAACGATTATTATATTGCCGTATGCAAACTTCTGCTTCTTTTGATGTTCTATTGGATTGATTGTAAAGAGAATTTAATTTCAATTGAATCAACAATAATCACCAAGAGCTACTTACTTGCACTGTTGAAGAACCTGTTCCTCTGTCGTAGCAAATGTATAATTAGGGTCACCATACCCGAATAACCGTTTGGCACATTGGTCAAGCGAATCGATATCACAACTGTCCGTCTTATCACCTTGTACGGCCATCGAGTAGTTAATTACAAAGCAAGATGATATCACAATGATTCCGATTGTTTTGATGAGATCCATGTTGTTTTCCATGTTATTTTTGTTCCAGGTATTTGGTTGATCAATTTAATACCAACAAAGAAATTAAGTTTACTCTCAGGCAGAGTTTTCGATGATTAGTAAATTAATCTCTCGATTCAACTATTATGTGAAAGAAAAAGACTCGATGTTGTCTCTATGAGATGTTGTCGATAAATGAACGAGCCTTTTGGTGACAAAAAAAGAGACACAAAACTTTTGACTTAATTATTGTACCGAAAGGCACAACAAGTTGAACCAGAAAATCGTCGAGTTAATTGTTTGATTTTCAAATCAACTTTATGTCCAAATTGAACTGAAACTTTTTCTTTCACTACAATTAAATGTTGACGAAAGAGGGAAAGATACTAAGCAATTACAATTAAATAGTGATAATGACAACAACGACTGTTGATGTTGATCTTTTTGATTTTCGGTTACAATTAACATTCTCGCACTACAAGGAGGAGATAAATACTTCATTGTGGAGGGTTAATCGTATTGGGATTAGATTCAAGGTGAGAAGGTGGTGGTGGTGGAGAAAATATTGTTGGTATTGGAAGGAAGGAGGAAGAAGCTTTTAGAGGAGGAGGAAGAGGAGGAAGATCGAGAGAAAGATCAAGAGAAAGTTACAGAACGTTGAACAAGGACAGTTAATCGTTAGATTGATTGTTTAAGGTCACAGAATTAATTCCATATTGACCATGGTTATTGGTAATTAGTTTGATTGCAATAAAGATTATCAGTCATTTTAGACATTCAACAATTAGTGTGCCACTCAAATTGTCTCAAGTTAATGATGATCATTTTTACTTGGTTTTGCTCATTTTTCATCCAATTTATCTGATTATTTCATTTCTCATTTCAGGTCATAATGATAATGATTAAGTGATAATCAATTTACCTAATTGGACCAAAAAGTTCAATTGAATAGTCAATCAAATCTAAATTCAATTTAATTAGAAAGTAAGTTGGTAAAGTTCAGATTGATCAAGTTCAATGACTAGAAAGAATATTATTTGATCAAAATCCTCTAACTAATACAGATAATTATCGTAAAATGATTGATAAAATTCAAATCTAATCATTGTTTTTCTGTCACAATTAAACAATCAATATCAACCGATTGTTAATTTGATTAATTGATTCGCAAAACGTTTGCTGCGCAAACGCTTTTGAATTAATTAGTTTATTTGTTTACTTTTATTTTTTTGCTTCGCTGGTTTTACTCGGTTGATCTTGAAATTGATCAACAATGAGATTCAAATTAGTATTAACTTTATTGTTTTTATCGCAATTTAACTTTATCGCTTCGTACATCATTGGACATGATGTTGGTCCTCGACTGATTGTTGTTTCATTTGATGGATTCAGAGGTGACTATTTATCCCCAACTTTGACACCGACACTTTGGTCAATCAAAGCAAACGGAGTGACTGGTTCCATGTACCCGCTGTTTGCGAGTAAAACGTTTCCCAATCATTTCTCAATTGCCACTGGTCTTTATGAAGAGTCACATGGAATCGTCGATAATGAAATGTATGATCCAGAATTCGATGAGATTTTTGATAAAAGCATCACTGATTCCAAATGGTGGGATAATGGCTACTCTTTACCTCTCTGGGTGAGTTGAAATCTTTTCATGATTAAATGATTGATGTACGATTCTCACCATAGATCGCCAACGAACTCGCAGGTCATAAAAGCGGTGTAATAATGTGGCCTGGGTGTTGTTCTGAATACCATGGACTCACTGCTTCGTACATGCACAAGTACAATGGGTCAATGAGTCTCGAAGAACGAGCGGACATTCTGTTCGATTGGATGACCCGACCCAAAGATGCTGCGAATCTCGTGTTTCTCTACATCAATCAGCCCGATACTTTGGCCATGTTTATGGGCCTTATTCGAGTAAAGTTCTGAAAACTGTCAGAGCCACAGACAAATTCGCAGCCTATTTACTTAAAGGCCTTGCAGACAGAAGATTATTAGAAGATACAAATATTATATTTCTAAGCGATCATGGAATGACTCAAGTTAATCATCATAATACAGTTAATTTAACGCGAGTTCTGGACACCAGTTTATTCCGTTCATTCGGAGAATCTCAAGCAATCGGTATTCTTCCTGAGGAAGGTAAATTTGATCAAGTTTACTCGATGCTCTTGAAAAACGCTCCAATTCATCACTATAAAGTTTATCTTAAGTCGCAAGTTCCTCATGAATATTTCTACAGGTAAATCCGGAATTTTTTTCTTCGTCAATCATTTTTGACGTTTGCGTTTTCTTTTCTCAGAGATCATCGTCGTATTATGCCAATCGTCGTCGAAGCTGAGCCTGGATATGAGGTCACTTTCTCTACATGGGTCCATCGAACATCAGCCTGGGGCAATCATGGTAATAATAATACTCAACCTGATATGAGATCTCTTTTCCTTGGAATTGGCCCCAATTTCAAACAAGGCTACGAATTAACTCATCGATCATTTTTCAATATTGATCTTTACCCAATTATGGCCCAAATCCTGAATATCGATACTGGTGATTATCATTACAATGGAACAGCTCAATTAACTAAATCTTTTCTATGCTAATTAAGACAAACTCATGTGATAAACTTGTTGTCATGTTTATTTTTCAATACTGAAGATTATTAATTTTTCAATTATTAATGCCAACAAATCAATTAAGTGAGCGGAATTAAAATTTCCAATAACCTAATTTTATACCAATCTAATAGTTTCATTGCCGATATTTGTTGAGGGTTAAGCAAACCCAAGATAAACAATTCAATTCGATTATCAGAAGCTCATTATCTTTAAACTCGTTAATCAATTAAGATTATTTTCTCGTTTTCCCCTGAACATCACATGAGCAATTCAATTTTTTCTCGATATTTTCACTGAGGCTGAAAAAGTAAATGGTTTAGTTATTGACTTTAAAGCGATTAAAATTCTTTGCTTATGATTAATGAGAAATCTAAGTAAATACTTAAATTACTTTTAATTGTTATTAAGCAAATGCTCAATTTTTGGAAATATAAACTACAATTTGTACAAAAATTCTAGAGAATTAATTTTCATTTCTCTTTCACACATTTATCATTATGATAACTTCTCTTTGGTCATTTTCCAGCTTCTTTCTTAGACTTATCATCATCTGAACTGTCACTCGAGCTTGATGAGTCCGATGTGTCGGAGCTTTCGGAGAGATCTTGTAGAATTATTTTATTCTTAACTCTAATCTCCTCCAATCGATCTCTAAAAGAAGTAAAATTAAAAGAATTTATGAATGATCTTAATTATCGACGGATGAAAATCAAACTTACCGAAGATTTTGAGACACTTTCTTTGTCTCACATAAATAAACTGCTTTCGAAATCACCGAGACATCGTCATAGGCACAAGCAGTTTTCACAACTTCGACGAGATCTTTTCCCGTTCCATGTACAATCACAATATCAACGAAATCTCTCATCGTTTGAAACCTTTGAAAATAAATAAATTTACATAGAAAAATTAACCGACAAATATTAGATGATTAACTTTTATTCTGAGGGAATCAATCCACTTACGATGGTTGACCGTTAATTTGGTTTTTCAATGTTCTTAAAAGTTGTAACGTTTTCACCGCTTTGGTAAAATCTTTACTGAGAGTGAAAGCCTTCAAACATTCGTCGAATATTTTGACGTCAAAACTATTCAGGAATAAAGAAACAATTAGTAAATTGGAAACTAAGAATCAAATGAAAAATAATCTGAAAAACTTTAATTAAATGGACTCACTTATTTCCCTCGTTTGGGTTCCTTGAATTAACTATTTTACTTTCAATGAATCGCAGAATCTCAGAAATAGTGTTGTTTACGTGGAGCTGAATATCTTCAGGGTACAGTTTTTTAGATAAAATTTCCAGAAACTTAATAATGCAGTCCTGAGAGTAGACATACTCGAATAGAATAAAGTCTGAGCATATTTGTGGGATATATCGATCAGCTTGATAAAGTTCAATTGTTTCCAAAAGTTCGATAAGTGTTTTTGTATCAGGAACGTAAAAATTTGGAACATATTTGTAGTAAATTTCCATAGTTTTGTCAATTGATTCACTTTTAATTATCAATTTGAGAAAATTATTACTGAAAAAACAAAAAAAAAGAATAAGTTATTCAATCAATTACCAGTAAAAAGACGAAAATGTCAGTCGACTTACTAGTAACGACCTTCAGAGTCGGTGGTTTCAAAAAGCAAATAATTCTTATGGGATGTAACTAAATCGTGCAATTTGTAGGCCAATTGAACATCAGATAATATATTAGAACAAATGTTCATTGCAGTATTAAAAAAAAGCGCTGAAATATAAAAAAGTTAACAAATTAGAAACGATAGAGAGATGGAATTGAAATTCACTTACTGTCTTTTTCGTGCCTCATGGTGAGTTCCTTGTTTCCAATTTCTGCTAAGATTTCTTCTAATATTCTTGGTCGAATGTTATTGCCATTGGTGTAAATCCTGAGTAGATCGTTGTAAATTCCTAAACTTGGCTCAATTTTCAATTTCTTCAACTCTCCCATTAGCCCTCGGGCCTTTTCTCTCGTCTGTGTATTGGCTTTACACCTTGCGAGGATATCGAACATATTGGAGAAAGTAGTCAAGTTCGGAGCTACTTTATTTTTGTTCATATCGTCGATCACATTCATCATTGCTGACCAGCGATTTTCAAACGACTGCTCACGAATACAAGTAGATATCATTGCATTATAGCCTTCGATGGTAAGTGAGATGTTATCTCTCTTCACTTTATCGTAGAGTTGTAAGGCTCTTTCAATGGATGAATGTTTGCAAAGACCGGCAATCATTATGCTAAAAGCTTCGCAGTCTTTATCTTCGATCGAGTCGAAAACTTCAAAGGCGAAATCTGAAACCCAAATGGAGTCTTGAGGTTTTTCTGAAATGAATTTTTCTCTCAAGTCCCAATCAGCTGGTTCAAGACTATTGAAATAACAGACCAGTTGAAGTAATTTTTTTTTCGAATCATCCGAAATTTTTCCATCTTTAGATCTGATACTTTTAAAAGCGGTGATTGAATTATCAATCTGATTGCTTTCGATGGCATATTCGAGATCTTGTTCAGTCAAGTCCATCGTCTCATCAAAAAGATCTTTGAAGTGAAAAGCTTCAACTTTCGGCTCAGCTTCATCCCGATTGAAAAGATGTGGAAATTTGGCCATAAAAAATTTGGCAGCTTTGATTCCAGATTCTTTGGACAAAGAATAGACTAATTTCTGGTGTCTATTATTGGGTATCAAAAAGGGATCATCGATGTATTTGAGAGCTGGTGCCGTTGAATCCTAATGTAAATGAGAAATAAAAAGTACCCAGAATATTAGACACTCATATTAGCAGATAATAATAAAAAAACTACTTACGATTCCAACTGTCGATGAAAGAGCTTTGAGGATGTCGGTATTAGTCCTGTAAACGAGAATAAATCAATTAGAATATGGTTTTGAACAAAATTAGAATCAACTCACCTTGGTATTCGCTTAGGGATAATTATCTCTTCATGTTCAGATGCTAAAGAGAAATTAGTTGCTTGATTGGAGACTAAATTCCGAGTGAAACTGAAAAATAAATTATTTCTTTTCCAAGGAATCAGCTTTACACATTGATTGACCATAATCACAGAACAACAATCAACAATTAACAAACCATAAAATGTAAACAAATGAGAACAATGTTGAATCAAATCACCCTGAGTTTCAGTGAAATTGATGGAAGTTTATGTTAAGGGGATGAGATTTGACCTTAAGAGACGAATCAACAAGTTTGACCGTTTTCAACGATAAAAACAAAACAAGAAATTATAATTCAAGAATTAAATTAATCAAAATGTAAGAAAACGTGTGAACGGTTAAGCAAATTTAGAATTTCATAACAGCGATGAATCGATTCTATGAAATGATCGATAAGTGAAAAAGGATCGATTGATCTCCATATGAATTAAGTAAGTTGGATAAAGTTCAATGATTAAAATTTGATCAAAATTCTCTATCTAATTCAGATAATTATCGTAAAATGATTGATAAAATTCAAATCTAATCATTGGTTTTCTGTCACAGTTAAACAATCAATATCAACCGATTGTTGTTGATCTTTTTGATTTTCGGTTACAATTAACATTCTCACACTACAAGGAGGAGATAAATACTTCATTGTGGAGGGTTAATCGTATGGGATTAGATTCAGGTGAGAAGGTGGTGGTGGTGGAGAAAATATTGTTGGTATTGGAAGGAAGGAGGAAGAAGCTTAGAGGAGGAGGAAGAGGAGGAAGATCGAGAGAAAGATCAAGAGAAAGTTACAGAACGTTGAACAAGGACAGTTAATCGTTAGATTGATTGTTTAAGGTCACAGAATTAATTCCATATTGACCATGGTTATTGGTAATTAGTTTGATTGCAATAAAGATTATCAGTCATTTTAGACATTCAACAATTAGTGTGCCACTCAAATTGTCTCAAGTTAATGATTGTCAAAAGACAATACAAGTTAATGATGATCATTTTTACTTGGTTTTGCTCATTTTTCATCCAATTTATCTGATTATTTCATTTCTCATTTCAGGTCATAATGATAATGATTAAGTGATAATCAATTTACCTAATTGGACCAAAAAGTTCAATTGAATAGTCAATCAAATCTAAATTCAATTTAATTAGAAAGTAAGTTGGGTAAAGTTCAATGCCTAGAATCAATATTCAGCATTAAGCATGATGTTTGTCCCCGATTGATTGTTGTTTCTTAGGCTCTTTGGTTGTTTTTCTTTCAGTGAATCGCAGAATCTCAGAAATAGTGTTGTTTACGTGGAGCTGAATATCTTCAGGGTACAGTTTTTTAGATAAAATTTGTAGAAATTTAACCATACAGTCCTGAGAGTAGAAATACTCGAATGCAATAAAATCTGAGCATATTTGTGGTATATATTCATCAGCTTCATAAATTTCAATTGTTTCCAAAAGTTCGATCAGATTTTTTGTATCAGGAACAAAAAAATACGGAACATATTTGTCGTAAATTTCCATAGTTTTGTCAATTGATTCACTTTTAATGATCAATTTGAAAAAATTATTACTGAAATAAACAAAAAAAAAGAATAAGTTATTTACCAGTAAAAGACGAAAATGTCAGTCGACTTACTAGTAACGACCTTCAGAGTCGGTGGTTTCAAAAAGCAAAAAATTATTATGGGATGTAACCAAATCATGTAATTTGTAGGCCAATTGAACATCAGATAATATATTAGAACAAATGTTCATTGCAGTATTAAAAAAAAGCGCTGAAATATAAAATAGTTAAAAAATTAGAAACGATAGAGAGATGGAATTGAAATTCACTTACTGTCTTTTTCGTGCCTCATGGTGAGTTCCTTGTTTCCAATTTCTTCTAAGATTTCTTCTAATATTCTTGGTCGAATGTTATTGCCATTGGTATAAATCCTGAGTAGATCATTGAAAATTCCTAAACTTGGCTCAATTTTCAATTTCTTCAACTCTCCCATTAGCCCTCGGGCCTTTTCTCTCGTTTGTGTATTGGCTTTACACCTTGAGAGGATATTGAAAATATTGGAGAAAGTAGTCAAGTTTGGAGCTACTTTATTTAAGTTCATATCGTCGATCACATTCATGATTGCTGACCATCTATTTTCAAATGTCTGCTCACGAATACAAGTTGATATGATTGCATTATAGCCTTCGATGGTAAGTGAGATGTTATCTCTTTTCACTTCATCATAGAGCTGTAAGGCTCTTTCAATGGATGAATGTTTGCAAAGGCCGGCAATCATTATGCTAAAAGCTTCGCCGTCTTTATTCTTGATTGAGTTGAAAACTTCAAAGGCGAAATCTGAAACCCAAATGGAGTCTTGAGGTTTTTCTGAAATGAATTTTTCTCTCAAGTCCCAATCAGCTGGTTCAAGACTGTTGAAATAGCAGATTAATTGAAGTAAATTTTTTTTCAAATCATCTGAAATTTTTCCATCTTTAGATGACACACTTTTAAAAGCGGTGATTGAATTATCTACTTGATTGTTTTTGATGGAATACTCGAGATCTTTTTCAGTCAAGTCCATCGTCTCATCAAATAGATCTTTGAAGTGAAAAGCTTCAACTTTTGGTTCAGCTTCATCCCGATTGAAAAGATGTGGAAATTTGGCCATAAAAAATTTGGCAGCTTTGATTCCAGATTCTTTGGACAAAGAATAAACTAGTTTCTGATGTCTATTGTTGGGTATCAAAAATGGATCATCTATGAATTTGAGAGCTGGTGCCGTTGAATCCTAATGTAAAGAAGGAAAGTAAATAGAATATTTTAATCGTTTGATATAAGTCAGACCTCTGGTATTATACTTTATTAAAATTACTCACCATGCCAACTGTTGATGAAAGAGCTGTAAGGATGTCGGTGCCATTCCTTTAAATGAAAACAAATCAATTAGATTGGTTTGAGCAAAGTTAAAGGTTTTATAATCAACTCACCTTGGTATTCGCTCAGGGATAATTATTTGTTGATGATCAGATGAGGAATTAGCTAAATTTCGCACGAAACCGAAAAACAAATTGTTTATTTTCAGAGGAACCAGCTTTAAATATTTATTGGCCATAATCAACAATCAATAATTCAAGAATTAAACAAAAAGAAAACGTGTGAAAGGTTGAGCAAATTTAGAATTTCATAACAGCGATGAATCGATTCTATGAAATGATCGATAATAAGTGAAAAAGGATCGATTGATTTCCATATGCATTAAGTGTAACGTGTTAACTGTTTCGCTGTTTTCCCATTAAATTGGTCATCATGGAAAGAAAAGGTGATTTTAAACTGAGACAATATTTAGAATTGGAACGACACATTCAAGAAAAATGGGAGAATGAGAAAATATTCGAAGAAGATGCTCCAAGTTCTCGTGATAAAAGCTCCAAGAGCAAATTTCTCGCCACTTTCCCTTATCCCTACATGAATGGACAACTTCATCTCGGACACTCGTTCTCTTTTTCCAAAGCTGAGGTAAGTTTAATCTCCAGCTTATTGATTATCGTTTTCGTTGAATTGCCGTTTATCAGATCAACTATTCTTCCTGTTTCTATTAGTTTTCCATTGGTTACCAGCGTCTCAAAAACAAACACTGTTTGTTTCCTTTCGGTTTCCACTGTACCGGTATGCCCATAAAAGCTTGTGCAGACAAATTAAAGAGAGAAATTGAACTCTATGGTAATCCACCGTATTTCCTGAAGAAGAAGAAGTGACTGTTGATGATAAAGAAGATGAGATTATTATCAAAGATAAAGCAAAGGGAAAGAAGAGTAAAGCAGTGGCTAAAAGTGGTTCTACCAAGTATCAATGGCAAATTATGGCATCTTTAGGGCTAAAGGAAGAGGAGATTGTTAAATTTACGGATGCAAAATATTGGTTAACTCATTTCCCTCAACTTTGTAGCAGAGATTTGAAAAAGTTTGGTGCTCATATCGATTGGAGGAGATCTTTCATCACCACAGACGTTAATCCTTATTATGATTCCTTTGTCAGGTGGCAATTTCTTCGACTTAAGAGCAAAAACAAAGTGAAATATGGTAAAAGATATTGTATTTTTTCACCTAAAGATGGTCAGCCCTGTATGGATCACGATCGGGCAACTGGGGAAGGCGTTGGCCCTCAAGAATATACGTTAGTAAAGATGCAACTTGTTGGTTCGCCACCAGCTAAATTAGCCAAAGCTTTGCCTAAAACTAATTTATCAGACAAAATTTTCTTGGTGGCAGCTACTTTAAGACCAGAAACTATGTATGGACAAACCAATTGTTGGCTAAGACCTGATTTGAAATATGTCGCCGTCCTTTCTGATCAAAGCATAACTAAACAATCAGAAGTTTACATTTGTACTGCTCGAGCTGCAAGGAACATGTTTTACCAAGGATTAGTTCAAGAGGGTCAAATCGTTGAGTTGATTGGTACAGATCTTCTTGGGTGCAAACTTAGAGCTCCTTTAACTAGCCACGAGTTTATTTATGCTCTTCCCATGTTAACTATTAAAGATAATAAAGGTACCGGCGTTGTTACTAGTGTTCCATCCGATTCTCCTGATGACTTTGCCGCTCTTCGAGACATCAAGAAAAAACCAGCTCTTCGAGAAAAGTATGGAATTAAAGATGAAATGGTTTTACCATATGATCCTATTCCTATTATTGAAATTCCTGATTTTGGTAATTTATGTGCTGTAACAGTTTGTGACCAATTGAAGATCCAAAGTCAAAATGATACGGAAAAACTGGCCGAAGCCAAGGAAAAGGTTTATCTCAAAGGCTTTTACGAAGGTGTGATGACCATTGGCCCTTATAAAGGGTCTAAAGTCTGTGACATAAAGAAGGCAATTCAGAAAGAATTGGTTACCTCTGGTGAGGCCATGATTTACATGGAACCTGAAAAACAAGTTGTTTCTCGGTCTGGTGACGAATGTGTTGTAGCTAATTGTGACCAATGGTACCTCGATTATGGCGAAGAAGAATGGAAATCAATCACCAAAAAGTGTCTTGCCAATTTAGAAACTTTTTCAGATGAAGTTCGTAAAAACTTTGAGTCCATTTTAGATTGGCTTCATGAGTATGCTTGTTCGCGTACTTATGGGCTAGGTACCAAATTGCCTTGGGACGAGAAATGGTTAATCGAATCCCTTTCCGATTCTACTATTTACATGGCTTATTACACCATTTGTCATTTACTCCATAAAGACATTTATGGTAAAGAGCCTGCATTTGGGATCGAGGCTTCGAAAATGTATCCTGAAGTTTGGGACTACATTTTCCTGGCTGATAAACCTTATCCAGCTGAAGTCGGGATCCCCAAGGAAAAATTGGATCGTCTTCGTGAAGAATTTCAGTACTGGTATGGTGTCGATTTACGTTGTTCAGGAAAAGATTTGATCGCTAACCATTTAACTTTCTTCATGTATAATCATTGTGCTATTTGGGAGAATGAACCTGACAAATGGCCGAAGGGAATCAGAGTAACTGGACACTTACTTTTAAACAATGAGAAAATGTCAAAATCAACTGGTAACTTTATGACTTTGGAACAAGCGATCAAAAAATATAGTGCTGATGGTGTGCGATTTGCTTTAGCCGATGCCGGTGATACAGTTGAAGACGCTAATTTCCTTGAGAAACAAGCAGATACTGGACTGTTGCGATTGTTCAATTTCATGGAATGGACTAAAGAAATGCTTTCTTCATCTACTAAATTACGAGACGAAAACAGTTCATCTCTTTCCTATTTCCCTGATCAAGCTTTCAATAATCAAATGAATTATTTAATTGGTGAAACCAATTCTCATTATAAATCAACAATGTTTAAAGAAGCTTTGAAAACGGGATTTTTTGAATATCAAGATGCTCGTGACAAATATCGTGAACTATGTGGATCCTCTGGAATGAGTAGAAAGTTAGTCATGAAATTCATCGAAACTCAGGCCATTATCCTCAGCCCGATTTGTCCTCATATTTGTGAAGCCGTTTGGTCTCTTCTGAAAAGGGTAAATTTCGACTTTTAATTTTCTGCTTCATTGTAATAATCGATTTTTTGCATCTTTTTAGGAAAAGCCCTCAATTAAAAACTCCATCATGAAAGCGAGTTGGCCACCAACCGAACCTGTGAGCCTCGTTGTTAGACAATCATTAGATTATCTATTCGAAGCGTGTCATTCATTCAGAGTTCGTCTGAAAACTTATTTGACTCAGAAAAATAAAGGAAACAAAGGAGAGAAAATAAACCGAGCGACTCATGGTGTTATTTATGTCGCTAAAAAGTTTCCCCAATGGCAGGCATTGATTATATCGACGCTGCATGATCTTCATCTCGAGAATGGATTAACTCTTCCCGAAAATTCTGTGATTGCTCAGAAATTGGCGCAACTTAATGACCTGAAGAAGTACATGAAAAAGGCGATGCCTTTTGCCGAAACTCGACGAAAAATGCTTATTACTCAAGGAGATCAAGTTTTCAATCAAACTGCTCCATTTGATGAGTTTGCAGTTCTTAATGAGAACATTAAATATCTTCAGTCAACACTTGATCTTGAGGAATTGCAAGTTAAATATGCTGATTGTGCTGAATCAAAGATCCAAGAAGAATCTTGTCCACTCGAACCATACATTGTTTATCGAAATGACCCATCGATAGTTATGAATGTGATCAACAATCAGCCTTACAAACCTTTTTTCAATTTGAAGGTTCCAGTTTATGATGGAGACAATATCGATCGAGTCACTTCAAGGATTTTAGCTGAAAGTAAAAATATCAAAGGTCAGTTTCTTTAAAGAAAACTTGAAAACTTTCAAGATAATAAGATTAATTTATTATCTCCCAACAGATTCGTCTTCTATTTCTATTTACCATTATTCTGATCCAATTATGGGACCACGTCACTTACCTAATCTCGATAAGCCTCTAGAAAACTTACAATTAATCAACAATGGATCAACAATAACTTTCACCAAAGAAGCTAATTGCGAAAAAGTCTTTCTCAAAAAGCGGACCGAAACTGTTGAGATTGGCCACAATTTAGTTTATTGGGTAAACGATAATTAAGTATTTCCCTCGGGTGTCCTAATGCAAATAAATTTTTAAAATATTCATTAAAATCTTTGTCCAAGTATTCTTGTTGCCGAATCCTCGAAGAGTTGATTAAATTTCGTGTCGATTTTTCAAGATAATTGGCTTGATTTATTTGACATTTAAAACAGACAAATGCTTAACTTGGTAAATGATTGATCTCAATCAACGAGTCTTGACTGTGATAAAAAGTTTTTATTCGATGAAAAGAAATAGGGATATAATGGGAAAAGAAAATAATGAAATAATTATTGGGGTGTTGGCCTCCTGAGATCCAGAACAAAAACCTGCAAAATTGATGAGAAACATGAAAAGAGAAAGAAAATCAATGAACATGATTCAATTTGAGTGTTTAAATAATTTGTGTAATTAATAGAAATAAAAAAACTTACGGATCCGTCACTAGCTGATGCTCCGACTTTATCACCTTTTGCATTCCAACAAACTTCAAAAATGCCACCGGTTCCTTTATATGAATTAATCAGCTGTCCGTTTGATGTTGACCAAATATGTACCCATTTGTCAAATGATCCCGATGCTAAGAATTTACCATCGGGTGAAAATGAAACTGAATAAACAGGTTCAGTGTGTTTGGTTAAGTTGTACAGACAAATTCCTCTGTCAATTTCCCAGAGTCGGACAGAGGAGTCGAAGGAGGCACTGGCTAAGATAGTTGTGTAAGGTGACCATTTAATTGTATAGATCTCTTTGCTGTGAGCTTGTAAATCGTGTATACACTTGTCATGTTTCATAGACCAAATTTTCAGGGTCATATCGTCCGAACAGGAAGCAAGAAAGTTTCCTTGTGGATCCCATTTGATTGCGTTAACTTCATTAGTGTGTCCAGTAAATGTTTTGATGGGTCGATCACAGCCTAATTTACAAACATGAATACACTGATCAGTTGAACAAGAAGCAAATGATGTATTAGACTGCCAATCAACATCTAGTGCAGGAGCAGAATGGAAAGCAAACTGTTGGGTACAAAGACCGGTAGATGCATCCCAAATGATTGTTGTCTTATCAACACCGGCCGACAAAATGTAATTTCCTTTTTTGTTCCATTTAAGGGCAAAAATAGGACCTTTATGCTGGCCGAGAGTAGATGCCAATCGCCCACTGGTAGTCCAAATACGTGCAAACCCATCATAAGATCCAGTTGCCAATAATGTGCCATCCGAGTTCCAATCCAATGATGTTACATCTTTGTTAGAAGGAACTTCAGTTCCATCTCTTTGAATACAATGTCTCAATACCATCTGATTGACAACTGAATTTGCATTATAATTCAAGTCCCAGATTCTGGCTGTGCTGTCACCTGAGCCTGAAGCTAGAAAATCGGATGATGGGTTCCAAGCACAGATGAAAACTTCCGATTCATGACCTCTTAAAATAGTAACTTTAGAGTTTGATATTTCTATAGAACTACCATTTTCATCGGTATTCAGTACCTCATCAGGAGCAGGAGCTGCCGGTGGCATTGATGAACCTGAACCAGTAACTGTTGGTAAACTTGGTGTAGTATCCATTGGCTGTGGAGCATTAGATGAATTAGATGATGATAATGAAGGTGCCTGTTGGTTGCCTGTTGAATTAAAATGCAACAAGAGGGAAGAGCAAAGAAAGATAAATATGCAAAATGTCAAAGAATGAATATAAACAAAAACAAGAGAAAATTTGTGTTACCTGAAGCGGGATTCGCAGAAGCAGATGAAGATGGACCCTGAGCTGAATCACTAGATTCTGTTTTAATCACTACTGCTGCAGACTTTGAATTGGAAGATGATGCAGATCCTGAAGTCCCATTTGTATTGTTAGTAGCAGCATTGCTGTTGATTAATTGTTGCTGCTTCTGCGGAACAATGTCTGGTAGAACAGCGTCAATAAGAGACAAAGATTCAATTGTTCTTTCGTTTCCATCTTCACCAATACTGATCTCTGCTTCGGTATATTGGAGTCCTTTTTGGATTATATTAAGCAATGCTGATGGCGGAACAAGTGATCCATTAATGTTGGATGAGTTGATGTGTGATTCAATTCCAAATGTATAAGCGGAGTGAACAAAACCAGATTCTTGTAGATACCGATACACAAGGTAATTAACTTCATCACTACTAAAGGACATGGTGTGAGCTCTGACTAATGCTCATTAAAGTATAAAGTATAAATTGGTTTGAATAAATAAATTGTCAAAACTGATAAATAACAATAAAAGAAAAGACAAAACTTTCATTTTCTAAACATCGATATAAATCGTTCATTCGTATGGAATAAAAGATCGATTTTCTACTAAGTTTATCGATTTTTAAAAGCGATGAGAAGAAAGAAAGAAAGACAGACAGAGAAAAATAACAAAAAGTCCAAGTAATCGATTCATAGATCGAACAAAACAATATTATCGATCATTATACTGAAATAAAAATCGTTTATTTTTTCTTAGATTTTTCAATTTCATTGGTTGTTTTTTAAACGCGCCAATTGTGAATTCAAATGCAAATTAATGATAATTTTCAATCATTTGATTAATAGTTAATGATGGATCTCAAGGGCTTTTCTATTAACTGAAAAACCAAATTAAACTCGGTTAATGTTGATTAAAATATCAGCTGGTTGGTTAATTGTCAGCTGATTGCGAAAAATAACCGAGCTTTACCTTTTCCATTAACTTTTTGCCGTAGCTTCCACTGTGCTTTTCAAATAACCAACAAGTAATCTAATCGTAGTGATGATTAGATAATCTTATCTAAAAAACTCACCATAATTCAGATTAATCAAATTGGTTTAAAAAAAATTAGTTAATGGAAAAGCCCTTCAATTAGATTTTATCATTGACTGGTTTTCTGACTGGTTATCAGTTCATTTTTATGAGTATATTCATACAATTACATTGTATATTTAATTATGGTTTATTTGAGTCTCCTAACATTTCCGTGTTTAAATTGTTACAATCAATTTTAATCCATGAAAAATTAGATTAAGTTTGTTGAATTTTTGTCATGTCCTTTCATATGTTACATTTTCTTTATTACACTTGAACTTTAGTTTCGATAAATGATTGTTCTTAAATTGACTCTTTTGATTATTACGTTTGATATTGTCATTAATATTAATATTCTTAATATTTTACCAAAGACTAGCTAAGAATAGTTGATTGAAGCAATTGTTTTGAGTTTATATTAATAGATGTGTTTCATTTTTGGAGCAAAAAGATTGAGTTTTGGTTTGAAATGTTTTTCAATCGATTAATTACAATTAACGTGCAATCGCGATTGGTTTTGTTGAGCAACTTTGAATCGAAACAGCGTCTCCAGCGATATTGATCAAACACTGAGCCTGAGGGTAAAGAAAATAGAAAGAATAAAGTATGAGTTTGAATGCGAATAGAATCAAATTAATCAAACCTGATTTTTGTGTGGATTGTGAACGAGAACACATTGAGTCAAATGTAGAGAGACCATCGCATTTCCACTTAAACTCGCGACATGAGCACGAACGATGGCGAAAACTTCACTGAGAAAACTGTGAATGAAGCCATTGAGACCACCACTTTCACGAATACTTGTTGTCTCTCGAATAAAAAAGAAATCCAAGTTTCCAAGATATTTGTGAATATGAGCACCGGGTATGTAACTTAGTGGAGTTAATTCAATTCCGTTTGACTCGGATAAGGCTTCGGATGGAGTGAAACTTTCCCGCTTCAAATCATCTAAATCTTCTTGATTATTTCCATGATCATCGTCCATAGTGAATAATAATTCATCACATGAATCGTTTGCTGAAAGAGTCCGACGTCGTCGATATGTTGATGTAGGAGGCAAGTACAGGCTTCCTTTGCCCATGGAACCGAGAGTTGTTGATCCAACGATTCCGATAGCACTTCCAAGAACTGTGACTTGGACTAAATCTTGTTCAGGTAAATCAACGTGAAATTTTATGTCCGTCAGGCAACAAGGTACAAGGCGACGCAGTTTAACGAAAAGTCCTTGAATAATCCAATCGAACTGTTGTCCAAACTGTTTAATCGCAATGAGTTTAACTCTGTGAACTTGAGCAAATGTTTGTAGGACACCAGAGAAATGACCAGACAGTCCAGGCATAGTTTCAGTATTACAGATTTCGTAGCCTTTAGGAACATCTGAGTCGATCATGAGTGAAATTATGTCCGCATCTTCTGTATCGTCGACTTCTAGGACAACACAACCATCCTTGCTCCCTAAGAATTGCTCGAGATCTTTTTTCTTTCCGTAGTTATCAACATATTCCAATTCTTTGTCACTTTCTGCTATTTTGGTTCCATTTTTTTCACCCTCTCCTTCCGAAGGTTCTCGCTCTTCATGCGGAATGTCAGTCAAGCCGTAATGTTCTCGATTTCTGGACATACTTTCTAAAATTAATTTTTGAATCGCATTCAAATCCGTAGTTTTAACTCCCTTTCCAGATGATATTTGTGGTGGATCGGGTGGTGGTAAGGCACCTACATAAGAACCTGTTCCAGTCTGAGGAAAAATCGACAAGAATTAATGGAAATGTTCAGTTACCTGAAAGTGATGAAATTATTTTCTATTTACATGTATTTCATCTCTTAATTGTACTTACAGCTAAAGCAATCAACATGTTTTCTCCGAATGATATTTGTACTTTCAATCCGAAGATTGCATTCATTCCTTTTACTTTAACCTTACTAAGTAATTGTCGATGCAATTCATGTTCCAGAAAAGGTAAGCTCTGATTAAGAAAAAAAGAAAATGAAAAAATAAATTAACATGAGAATCAATTGTAACCTATCCAAAAGTTTAAATCTCATGATTAGTTACATCACTTAGCTCCTTGGCACATTGCTCTCCTTTACTATCTCTCTTATTACGACAAACTCGAGCCTGGATGAGGCAACCACGACCAACAATTGGTATGTTACTTGGAGGCTCAATTGTCATGAACAAAACATCAGAGACTTTGGCTTTCTTACAAATTCTACAATTGAGCAACGATGAATGAAACGGTACACTTGATTCTGGATAAGGAATATGGCAAATGCTGCAATTTGATGTTGAAGAAGGTTGTTGATAATCTGAATTCTGGTGAGTTCGTGATGTTTTACTAGTGTCTGCTTTGGTTGTGGAGAGAATCGGGTTCGAAGGTACAGTCGATGATGGTGCTGTTGAGCCTCCTACAGCTGATTGGTTTGTAGAAGATAAATTACTTTCATGGTCACTCTTTGATTTCTCGGTCACTGAACCTCGATTAGAAACCATATCATGTTCTCCACCTCGAGACAGAACAACAGCAGTCCCACTGGCCGAAAGTATAACAACATTATCGCTGAAATCAGAGAGAAAAACAGATGAAATAAATAACTAAACATTTTCGTTATTCTTTAACAAACCAGATATAAGTGGCCTCAGAATAGCCCAGAACAGCGTTACAAGCTAAACTACGGCAATGGCTTCTAATTTCTTTTCTTAATTCCATCCACCACGCATCACGAGTTTCTGGATCTTCTGGACAGTTGATGTGATCTAAAAGTTTTACAGACCGCGAAGAAACTGTTCCTCCGATGTGAGCGATGAATCCAGGAGGAAATTGTTTCATGGTTATAAAAGGATATTCCTGAGAAAAAAATGAGATATTAACAATTAATAACTCGACGATGCCACATAAATAAAATCACATGTTGATTGTTTAGTTTATAAGCGTTTTGGTGTTTATCAAACAATAACAACATTTCAATACTTACGAGAAGATGAAGATTTTCAGGCGAAATCATAAATTTGACATTAGTTTTTCCAACACTTCCACAATTGCTACTGTGACTGCTACTGGGCTTGGTTGGTGTGGTTGACAGATCGGGATCGGAAGAACCTCGTCGATGAAGTTGTCCCATACCTACTTTAGTCGGAGATCCAATTTTATTGCTCGTTGATGGGAAATTGTGAGTATGTGTACCATTTGTATTAATTAAGTTACTTTCGAAGTTTTTGTCCAGTGGATTTACAAATGATGTTGGTGAAGTAGAATTGGGTATCACTATTGCATCCTTATTAGTGGTAAGACTGGAATTTGGTGCATAACTGTTGTTGTTGGAGATATTGATAGAACCGGAGGTTTGTTTATTAATCGTCAGAGTATTAATGGCGGTCATTGGTGCACTGGAAGGTACAGCTGATGATGATGATAACCTGGGTGATATTGAAAAGTTATGAGATGAAGGTGAATAGAAGTATGGTGATTGTGGCAGTGGATCAATTTCAATTAAATCCTCAAAATCATTGGAGTGCGATGTTAACCAACGTAAAGGATGATTAGCAATAGAAGATGTAACAGCGTTTTGTGAAGCAAATGATTTCGATGGCGATGGAGAAACAGGAAGAGGATGATGGGTTGGCTCAAAGGTGAAATGTCTATCGTTATAAGAGTCTAAAGAAACAGGCAGAACAACAGAAGGGGTTTGAACTAATCGATTAGGAGCTGATGAAAAGCCCGAAGGTGTAGTTGGTTGGGAAGCAACTCGTTTGAGAGCGGGTTTAGAGGTTAGAATGGCCCGAGAAGAAGAAGCAGTCGTCGAGTGACGATGTTTCTTGTCTAAAAAAAGATCAGTCTCTGCATCTTTAGATAAACCTATTCGCAGTTTAGGAAGCTTAATTGATCCACTGGAACCTACGTTTGTGCTGGAAGATGAATTTTTCTTGAGACTAACAGCGACTCCGCTGTTACTTCCTCCGCTCGTTCCTCCTTTACTACTTCGAGTTAACTTACAAAACCAATTACATAATTTTGGAGATGAGGTGAAAATGAAAACAGGAGATGAAGAGCGGGAAGGTTGAGATGAAGGTGAAGATGAAAGAGGATACGAGTGATGAGGATAAAAAGGTATTTCGATATCTGATAGGAATGCAACTGGGATCATGTGAGTTTGTAAGGAAGAAGCTAATTTGGTTTGATCGCAAGGAAAGCAAGTCCCGATTAAAGACTCTGGTTGATGCTTAGTAGATGAAAGTTTTTCACAAAATCTTCATGAAAAGCAGCAATTAGACACACAAGAGGCAAAGCAGAGACCAGAGAGACACAGAATGTGATTTTGTATGATTAATGAAATCGACAACCGGACAACCATCAGTTAATATAAGCATCGTATGAAGATTAGAGCGATAATCATCATGGTATTTAATCATCATTTAATATGACAGAATAACACCAAGAAAAAGGAAAAGAAAATGCAATTTGATGAAAGGAAGGAAGAGAGGAAAAGAGGAAAAGACGAAAGGAACGAAAGAAATACCCAAAAGTCAGATAAGCAAATGATTATAATGAAGATTATTAACAAATAAATAAAGAAATCAAAATAAATTGACGGAAATCTGATCAGTAAGAAAGTGAATTCTGGGAAAATGAATGAATAACAAACGAACCAAGGATCAAATTATCGAAATAAGGATAGAAAGAAAATGATAGGCAAAGGATGAAGATGATTGAAAAATTGTTCTTACTCTTCATTCAAGGTGGAAGATTGAGCTTGAGAAGATGAACCGAGTTGAGTTCGTCCATGTTGATATCGAGCAATATTATTGTCGATCTTTGTTAGAATTACAGCAGTTCCAATGCCTCTCACGACGATACCAGATTCGCCTTCAAGGTCAAAATATTGTTGATACCTGAAGTTTATTCGTGAAAAGAAAAGAAGAGAAGGTTCAGAACAATAAGAAAAGAAAAAGAAAGGTTTCTTTTTCGACAATATTTCATGAGTTACTCCCTTTTCTGAATAATATGTATCATTGAACAAAAAGAAACTCAAATGATTAATTATTGTTTGGAGAATAATTGTTCAGAAACTGATGTTTCTTTTGTTAACAAAAAAGAAAATTGTATAGATGAAGGAAAATATTCATTCACTTTCATGAGAGCTCAGAAATCAAGATGAATATTATTAGTAGTTAGAAGAAATATAAACATGAGTCAAAATTACCCAACAACAGAATTTCCGCCAAGTTCCAGAGCTTTGAGACCAATTTTTCTTTTCACTTCGCCAGATAATTTGGAGAAAAGAGTTTGTCTCGCTTCGTTACTTGCTCTTGGCGTACGAATTTTATCAATCCATTGATATTCTGGATCATCATTAACAACCAATTCTTCGACAAATCCAAGAATCGCCTGACAAACATAACCATGAGGTACACTGTGAGAGTAGAAGAAGCGAACACCACAAGAAGACTGACGATATCGATTGGAATCGGAGAAAAGATCAACTTTGACTGCACAATGAACTTCACCACGAATCCCATGCATTGTGTCATAGATGGGGAACCAGCCCCACATGGCATGAACTGAATCTTTGTAGAGCAATGGATTAAGATCAATGTAGACCTTCCCAATGGCATCATTAGCAGAGTAGGTATCATAATCCATAATCCGGATTTGAAGTGGTTCATCTTGAAGCTCCTCGTCGTCTACCTCAAATCTGAAACAGTCCGAGTTCCAACATGGGTTCAATGAATGACGATAAACCTCAGTTTTATAAGTGGTGTTACCTAATTTAACCTGGTGAAAAGAAGAAATGAGAATCGATTAAATTGAAGCCACAATCAACCGATTGATATTCACCTCAACAAAAGCATCGGAAGTATCAGATGATTTGTCCATCACTGGTAAATTGCGTCCAGCGATTATTCGCACTTTTACTTTACCCGGCATAATGTTTGATTATTTACAGTCACTAAGTAAGTATTAGTAGAATACAAATTTCAATTAAAGGAAAACATTGTTCTAAGTGAACAGGAATAACAATTAAAGATGATTAAAGATTGAATAAAAAAAATAGCAAAACAAAAGATCAAAAACAATCAATGGAGTAGTTAATCATGTTGAGTATCACATGGGTTACCAATCCACAATTTGACCGACCGATTGAGCAAAATAATACCAACAAAACGAGTTAATTGTAACATTAAGTAAACTAAAGGACTATATCAATTTGGCAGTCGGATTGTGATTAACTTCAGTAGCTTTGGTAGCCACTCAATACCAGAGGAATTGTTGTCATGGTGGTTATCACTTAATGAGAGATTAAATTGTGTTACTTGAGATCAGTCGGTGAAAATAATGGTGATGATTACGATGAAGATGAAGGAGATGATGATGGTTTTCAATTTAATGACGAGAGGAAGAAGAAGATTTAAAAATACAATCAAAAAGATTCACAATAATCTTACATCTAATTTTTTCTTCTCTTAAAATCACAAAAAGAAACAAGAAAAAGAAAGAGAAAACTTTCTCTGTCTTCACATGTGTAATTCTGTCTGCTTTTCCTCTCATATGGTGAAGTCAACAACTTTATCTCCTGCCTTTGAAGAGTAAGGTTGAAATTTCTCCTTTTCCTTTTTGACCCTATAGTGTCTTGACAGTGACTATCATACCGTGGGACTAGTTCCAATTTGGGAAAATAAATATTTTTAACGTGATTAAACAACGATAACTGACATCAAACTCCTTTCACTGTGAATTATTAGATAATCTGTTCCCTTATTGTCATCTACCTTTCATCATTGAGACTGGCATCACTGTGACCCTCTACATATAAATCAACCAAGTGCGAGAAGACAAATATACAAAGACGACAGGTATCAACAAAAACAAAATGACATCTAGAAAAAAGGTAAGAAACACAATTAAAGACCAAAAACAAATACCCCTGTGAATAAATGTACTCATAAACAAATGTACTTAATAAAAAAAAAAGCAGTTACTAACAAATGTATTTCAAAAACCATAATCTTTAACAGATCATACCCAAATGCCCATCGTCAGAGGAAACGGACAAAGTCCGCTACTCTGAGGCGATAGATCGCATGAGAAAAGCATTTGGAAATGAAAATGATAAAAAGCCAGAAAGAGACCAAATTATGAAAAACCTGAAAGAAACTAACGCTATTCTGCTTGAAGAAGATATGTCGCTTATCAAACAAGCGATGGCTAACCCAAGAGATGAAAAAGGTAATTTGATAACAGATAAACAACTGGGCTTTCTTCGGGCAAATATCAAGATAATGGAAAAACACATCAGAGGTGTGAAAGCTAACGCCGAACCTGCGGTCGCTGTAGAAGAAGACTCGGAAGACCCAACCGACTCCTCGGAAGATGAACTACTTGATACAATTCAACCTAAGAAGAAAAAAATAAAAAGATCAATGAATATCGAAACAAAACAAATAACACCCAAGAATATCCCAGCCAATTGGTGGCCATGGAAAATGACACAACGATACTTCCGATTAATAATAAATGGCGATGAAAAAGAGAGAACAGTTAACGCAATAACTGAAATAATCTCAAAGCTACAACGTACGTACTCATTCAAAGTGATATGCTGGAAAAAATACACTCTGATAATCACATACTCAGAAAAAGATCGAGACGAACTACAAGAGAAAATAAAATCCAAAACATTAACAACGGAAATTCCAGAATGGCGAAGACCGGCAATTAAAATTCTCTTCATGAAACCACCAGTAGAAGAATCCTGGAACAATTACATAGACCGAATAATGCGATTAAATGGTTTCAAAGATAATAAACAATACAAATTGAAATCATATTTCGCCATGACAGAAGGAAAATACGGAGTTGTTATTGAAGTAAGCCCAGCGATTAGATCAGCCATCGAGCAAATCTCTAAAGGTAGAATCTCAGTTGGTTACACGTTCCTATCAGCCAGAGACAATTTTGATGTGATCAACTGTCGACTATGTCACAGATTTGGTCACACCAGAAACAAGTGCAACAACCAGTCCAGATGCACCAAGTGCGCTGGAAGACACACGATAAAAAATTGCACCTCGCAAGAAATTAAATGTGCGTCATGCGAAAAAACCGATCACTCAGCCTACTCCAGAAACTGCCCATTGTATCGAAGCGAACTGCAAATGGCAATCTCGCTGATCGACTATCAATATGATTATCTGATGATGTGAAAAGCTAGCCCCAAACTGGGTTCGCCGCACGAAAACAACAATTAAGATTGTAGCATCGAAATGATAATAACAATGATGGTTCAGAATACAATTAACATAAGGATGAGAAAATATTCCAATCCAAAAAGATAAAAGAAACAATGAGAAAAAGAAAAAGAAAACAATTAAAAAGAATTAACAAGTAATTAACAAGTAATTAAAACTAAGACTAATCCCAAAAGGATTAACAATTCAAATCAACATTGTATCTCACTTAAAACGAATAAATAAACTGAAACTTTACACAAAATAATCCTAATCCCACTCAAGGGCAAATAATTAACTGAAAGATGTATCTTAAATTAGCACTTGCAAATAAAAACAATAAAAGGCTGTCACTTTCCGAACTAATCCAAAAATCATTAGAAACAAACAATTAAGGAAAAACTGACACATTTTCAAATAAAGTCAAAGTTGAAGAACACTCGCAATAGACAACAAACAGTCAAACCTGAGTGTCAACCTGAATTGAGAAAGTGTACAACTCAAACTCTAAACAAAGTTAATAAACAACAATGGACTTAACAGTTGAAGAATTAATGTTAAAATTAAAACAGAATGAGCTCCTTAGTGAAAAGTTTCTAGAAAAGTGTCCTGACACTGAATCCATAAGAGAATTTCTTAGTGACATAGTGAACATGAACCAGGGAGACCTGAAAAATAAATGGAACCCGAATCTTCAGCTGCTAACAGGGGCAAATATATTCACCGCATATCTCACTCAACAAGATCATGAATCGGAAGCTGTACTAATCCAACAACGAATTCTACAAATGATATCAGAGACCGAATCAGAGGACGAAGAGATAGAAGCCGATTTCATAGATGAAGATATTGTAATCTATCACCCGATCAAGAAAAAATGGGATCCTACAGAATTTTACAGCTCAAGAATTGTTGAAACACTGAAAGGTCAACGGAAAAAGACTCATGTGCTTCGAAAACCAATGACAACAGACATTATTGAAAAAATGTTCTCGGAAACACCACCGGAAGTACAAATGGCAATACTAGGCTGGTACGTAATGAGCGGGACCACGAGCTACAACAGAGAACTAGAAGATGAAATAAAAAACGAGCTGAGAAGGATTGTAAGCTACTTGGAGGTTAAAAAAGATGACGACGGATTAGCAACAGTTACCATTTTTATTAAAAAACAGGAAGATTATGAAAAATTGAAAAAATGTTCCCCGACAATTAAAGTAACAACACACGGGGTTAATTTAATTGGCAAAGCCCGATTTGGACTATGTTACACATGCTCAACCCTGTATCAAGGGTGGCATCCAAAACACGAAAGGGCAAAAGCAGTTTAGGCCGTAGCTTTAACAACACTCGGGAAATCCTTTGAACATTGATAAAAAACTAATGAACCAGGAGTATAACATAATAGAAACTCCTCCATAGAATCATGTATGTCCCCATTATTTATTTCATAATAAAGCTCATCAGAAGCACGTAAATTAATCACCGTATGCCAACCAATTTTTTCATCACCAACCTCAGGCAAATGAAAACGATCACTCACAGTCTTCCCATTCCTCTTGAATAAAGGGAAGATACTAGTAAACCCGCAGCGGTAGAAATTCTTAACAGAATCGCCTAAACAAACAGTAAAATCTTCCTCAATCAACACCTCAACGTCTTCATCATCGAATAAATCAGGGTTCATATGAAAAACAAGAATCTCAGGTAAATGCACCACCTCAACATCTTCCAATGAGCGGAAACGACTACCGCAAACAGAACCATTCACCTTACGAGGACAGGTCAAAGTCAACTCATCAACCCAGGATGAAACCTCGTGAATAGCATCGCTGAGAAGAAACTTCTGGCCCTTGTCACAATAGCTAGTACGAAGGTTAAAAACAGGGAAACTGTAAACGAAAGGCTGATCCGTAGGACGACAATGGCGACAAATGAACTTCCCTTGTATGGTAATCATGAATAAATCATGATACAACTTGTGGTCCTGCACCAATTTTTTGACCAAATCAAAATAAACCACATACTCGGTACCACCGGGAGTAGAATACTGAGAAGCAACAAACTCAGAAAAATGTCGCAAAAGTCGGGTTTGATGCTCGTCAAGATCAATATCATTAGTGGGCTTCACCTTAGGAGGCAATCGAACGACCTTGTTAGGCCACAACTTCCTCTCTAATCCAGGCGGCAAATTCTTAATGGTGAAGTTATCGACGAATGAGGCCTTTCGAACATGACGATAATACTCATAAAGACAACAAGTCCAGAGATAACGAGTCTCACCAACGACCGACAACACATTTTTATCAAGAGGTGGTCTTATTGTACCACGATTAACCTCACCAGCGGCCATGAAAAAACATTGGAAAAGAATCTTTATGAAAAGACGAGAATGGAAAAGCGGTACAAGAGCAGCATTGAGGAAACAATGACCCCTCCAATTAGGCAAGGGAACGACCTGTTTGGGCTAAAGAAAGAAGAAAACAAAATAAGTAAAATGAACAAGTTGTTGTGTAAACGCTAGCTCCAAACTGAGGTCGCGACTCACCAGAATAAGACGGGGACAACCACAAACCACTGAACGAAGTAAATGATAACAGGCCATATCATAGGCACGGGAAAAAGATACGTCCACCCCATGACCGTGAACCAACTCGCCGTTATGAATAAACTCAACCCGACAAAGATACAAACAATCAGCTTCACGCTGATGCCGACAGTAAAAGTACTTAACATCTTTTATATCGAGGAAAGAAAGAGAAAGAAACTCTCTTTCCAAATTCTGCTTGGACCCACGGGCAAATGAACAATTCAAACATTCAGAAACCACCTGGCAACGAGCCTGGAGGGGAATTGCAACCTGCTTGAAGAAAGACGGTATACCAGCCATTCTGAACCTAGAAATAGAGGAGAAAAGAAAAACTCAAAATGAAAGTAAAATTTATACACGTGAATGCAGCCAAAAACTTTGAATCAACACGAAAAGCAATAGTACACACAATCAAAAGTTACAGCGAAATAACCTCAATTAGTGAACCAAACATCAAGTGTACAACTAAACACATCAACAACTACAATGTTTTTTGCAAGAAGAAACAAGCGCTAGTGTGTTCATTGGACTGGACGGTTAAACCAATATTTAACAAAAGTGACTCGGTATGTGCAGCCATGATAAAAGAAATAAACACATTGGTGGTAACAGTGTACATCAACCCATGTGGAAATATGAACAACGAAAAGAACAACTATCAAGTGATGGGGATCATTCGAGAACTCAGCGAAAACTACAAGGGTCAAAACATAGTGTTTATGGGTGATTGGAACACAACATCCGAGGTATGGCAGGCAAACAAGTCCAAATATCACCCAAGTGAAAAGAGAAGGTTGATAATGGAGAAATGGCTGAAAGACTACAACCTCAGACCAATATGCAACAACTTTAACACAACCTACAAAACATCTGATAATGTACTCGACATGATATTCGTAACAAAAAACATCGAAGTCATCGAAAACAAACTACTAAACGACCAACACTCAGACCACTACAAAATTAGCAGCATCATGACAATGAGCAAGGCCACAGAGAAAAAGATACAAATAAAGAAAAAACACTTTGGATCATGGAAACTCAAAATAAAAGAAATGAACACGAACGAAGAGAAACTAAACAAAGAATCAGCGCTGATCAAAAACTGTAAATCAATAATCAACTTCCCTGATATTCATGGCAAATGGGTTTACTCATGGAAAAAGAAAAATAAACTCAGAAGATTAGTCCAACTGAAAAGAAAATTAAGAAGAAAACAAATCAGAACAGCGGAAGAAGATGATAAATTAAGAAACACCGAACGAGAAATAAATAGAAAAATTAAAACCTTCTCGATCAGTGCTAAACTAAGGGCAGCGAAAGACTCGACAACGCTTTGGAAGACAATCAACAGACACCTCATCAACAAACCAATGAAGATAGATTGGACTGACGAGAAGCTCTTGGAGAGTAGAAACGAATGGCTCAAAAACATGAGCACACACAAACCAAAGTACAAAGACAACGTAATTGGAGTAAAGGGAAAACTGAAAGAAAACGAAAAATTATTAATACAGAGAATGAAATTTAAGACATCAAGTCTAACAGCTGACACTTTCACAGCGGCCACTTGGACGCGTTTCTTCGACAACAACAAAGAAAAAATCATCAGAGTAATTGAAAAGATATTTGAAATTTCACATGTACCGAATATGGTAACTACCCTAGGATGCGGATTCGTAATGAAAGCGGATGGTGAATCGGTGAGAATGGTGCGATCACCTAATTTCCTCTACAAAATAATTGACAAACTACTAACGAATAGACTAATGGAGATTGCCAATGACTTCCTATTAGAGGAAACGCAATTTGGATTCTGTGAAAACAAGAGAAGAGAAGACTATTTCTACGAGGTAAAGAAACACAAAAATTTCGAACAATCAACGATTATCAAAATAGACGTTAAAAAAGCATTCGATTGTGTAAACCTAGCCCCAATCTGGGTTCGGCTGGGAACCATCGCTGGAAAATCGACGATCACTCTACTCCAATCAGCATATACGAATAGATGGTTAACTTACTACACGGGAAAAAGAAAACTCTACATGAAAGACGAATCCAATGCAGCTCAAGGAACATCTACATCACCGATTTTATTCATCTTCGCACTAGATTACGCAATAAGAAGAATAAGAGCCAAAGGAATATTCGTGATAGCCTTCGCGGATGACATGATAATGATAGTGGACCCAAAGGATACGAAAGAAGCAATAGAAACAGCGGGAAATGAACTGAAAAAGATTGACTTGGTAATAAACGAGAAGAAAACAGAAATTCATCACCCAACGAGACAATGGATGGAGATCATTGGCTTTGAATTACCGAGAGGCAACACAATGAGTCACGAAATAAAACAACAAATGAACAAAACATTCGAAGAAGAAATATTCCCAAAATTGTCCAAAAATTGGCCGGACATAATAAAACTGAGAAACAATGTTAAAAAACTACTAGTACAATCGATGTTTATGAACAAGATGTACAAACATGTACTATGGGCGGTGGGAAACGACAACCGACTGATAGAAATGATACAACAGATTGGAACTCTACTAAACCGATTCCTAAACAGAAGCATCCAAACAAACAGATGGTTACACATAATCGAAGGATATACCAACGTAGTGGAACAAGCAATCGCATATGACTACGAATGGCATTGGAGAAAGAACGGCAAGAATGAAGACGGAATAGAATGGACATCGACAGAAAACACACCAATAGACAAAATTCAATGGCGAATCAAAGACCTAAAAAGACAGAAGATTAAGTATAAAACTTATTATCAAACAGGTGAAGGTGGAATACTGATCGAAAAACAAACAAAAACGAACACTAATTATATTAAACTTTCTATCCCCGAGGTGAATAATCCCTTTCAATTAATACTAATAGGTCTAAGGTGGCTGATAGAAAAATATGGAAACGGAGGAACAACAATTGAACTTGATGAACGATCATCTCGATACCTGGAGGGAAACTCAACCTTTGCCAAAGGAGTGAGACTACTAATGATGCAACAAGGTGAATGGACCTTTACCAAATACAGGGATCCGTGGGACTGGAGAGAAATAGCAGTTGAGGAAATTGAATACTCCGGGAAACTCAACAACCAGTTGGCACAAAACCTGATAATAAAAAGGAAAACGAGAGAAAAAATGAATCAATTGTACGCCAAAGGTAAATCACAGTTCAACATATTCAACTTTGACCTGAAGGATAAACTCACCGAGAAAAAGATATGGCTGATGCGGAAAATAACCGGATTCAAATACAGATTAACTTGCTGTGGGAAAAAATACCAACCAGTGGGACACTACGTGACACAATGCCGATGGATAGAAAAGGAAATACCGGAAATAAAAGAAATTTTCATGAAAAAAATCACAGAATGGAATAAAACAGAAACAAACAAAGTAATCAAATTGTATAATCTACTTAAAGAGAAAAAGCCAAATGTAACAACCGGTCGATGAACATATGACCGATAGAGAGCAGCACATCGAGGCTGCTCAGTCATATGACCTCATATGACGACCGTAAGGGTCACAATCAAATAAATTTCCTCATAAACAACCAGAAGCTAAGAAATTTAAATTAACTCATTTAATTAGTTACTTAATTTGCTCTCATCTCGATTCAATTGATTAGTGGAAATGTGATATCATCATCATTTTGTTTCTTTAAATCATGTTGTCTCATATTTTTCATGTTCCCACAGGAAAGAAATGAATGTTTCCTTTTTGTCTTCCATCAAATCCACATAAACTTTCCCATCTTTAGTTGGATGTTGGTTTAGATTAATATTCATTTGGTTTTCCAATTCCGAACTAATTGTCTTTTCATCTAATTTATCATAATTGTACAATTTAGTGGATTGATTGGTAAGTAGATTGTTTTTTATATTTGTTTACACTTTTATTGTTAACATGTTCCATTGTTGTGTATAAGTATTGGTAATTATTAATTTTAATACTCTCACTTTCCGGTGCATTGAGATTTCAACCATTTGTAATGTATCTTATTGTAATTATTTTGACTAATTAGCTGACTAATAACGTTTAAGAGTGATAATTAGTCCTTTTCCTTTCAATTATTTTGTTGATCAACTGCTTGAATATCTTTTTGTTTAATGTCACACTTTTCTTTTTGCTTTTTCTTTTTTTGTTTAATTTTTGCAGCATTTAAGGGTAACCGATATCTACAATCAATTGTTTTACAACCACTCACCTTAATCTCATCTCACAATCATCGTCGACAACAACCACCACCACCACAAAAACAATTAAATCCAAAAATTCGACCTCACGGTTTATGTTTTGTCAACAAGAGAGGTAACAGTAACTAAGATGGATAAGGAAAACTCAAATGATGATCTCGGATCAACTTCATATGTTTGTCCTCTTTGTGAAAAGATCGCTGAGAATCCAGTCCAGAACAATTGTGGATGCATTTATTGTTCTAAATGCGCCGAGAAATGTGTAACAGAATCAATTAAATGCCCTAAATGTGATAAGCCATTGTCCATTGGAACATTGAGCAAACTAAGCATAGTGAAGATGAGAGTCTTCAAAACATCGACTATGAAAAGAAAATACTCTTGTCTGGGAATCTCGGCGGGCGAAGAAACTGTAATTCCAACTACGAGTGTTAGTGGGACCATTGCGAGTTCTCTAAGCACCATCACTCCACCAACTGCGACAATAACTAATTCTATTGTTGCTTGTATTGCCTCAAATTCTGGTTCTGGTTCTGGAGTTGAATCTCATTCTGAATTTTCTGATAGAAAACGTGCGAGAATTGAGGCAACCGGTAATAGAGAAGAGGTTGTTAACTTGGAAAATTTACTTTCGCTACCATCAATCAAGGAGAGAGAAGATAAAAAAATCAGTAAAGAAATTCTCGATTTACTCAGTAAACCAACTGCAAAAGATAAATTGGTTATTGAGAAATTCCAATCAGTTGGAGGTGGTCAAGTTCAAGAGTTTTGTCCCCATGGGACCAGAGAGGATTGTAAAAGAGTGACTTCATTACAAACTTGTGACAAACTTCATTTCAAGAAAATCATCCAGAAGCACACTGATGAATCGTTAGGAGATTGTTCATTTCTCAATACCTGTTTCCATATGGATAGTTGTAAATACGTTCACTATGAAGTTGATATGGGAACAGTTAAAAGTAAAAAAGATCGAAAAGAAGAACTTGTGCCTGATCGAAGATTCAACGATACTTTGAGGAATCCACAATGGATTCAATGTGATCTGAGGACATTTGATGTCTCAATTTTGGGCAAATTCGATGTAATCATGGCTGATCCTCCTTGGGATATTCATATGGATCTTCCGTATGGAACCATGTCTGATGAAGAGATGAGACAACTCAATATTCCGTGTCTTCAAGACAAAGGATTGTTGTTCCTTTGGGTCACTGGCCGTGCCATGGAACTGGGTCGAGAATGCCTTGAACTGTGGGGCTATGAGAGATGTGATGAAATAATTTGGGTGAAAACAAATCAGCTGCAAAGAATCATTCGAACGGGTAGAACTGGACATTGGCTAAACCATGGGAAAGAACATTGTTTAGTTGGTATAAAAGGTGAACCAGAAAATCTGAATCGTGGTTTGGATTGTGATGTTATAGTGGCTGAAGTGCGAGCTACAAGCCACAAACCTGATGAAATTTACGGTATTATTGAACGATTGTCTCCCGGGACCAAGAAGATTGAACTTTTCGGCCGAACCCACAATCTACAACCAAACTGGATTACCCTTGGAAATCAATTGCCTGGGGTCTGTTTGCATGAGGAACAATTGTTAACCGCTTTCGCCGTTCGTTATCCAAATCGAGTGTCTGAGCTGAAAAAGTTATCCTAAAGATCAAAAAATAAACATAAGTGCTTACAGAATAAGTTTGGTGCTCACCAGTGACAAAGAACGTTTTCCAATTTACATTTTAATTTTCGAATGAAAAAGTAAATAATTTATCGATCGATATTTTTATTTCTTTCTACCCTCTATCTCTCTTTCACCAATCTTTTTCTCTAAATCTTGTACTAACTCATACTTGATTAAGTTTAATTACTAATAATTGTATTTATTTGAATATCGTTTGCAGGTTTAAACGAGCGATCACTCACTTATTAGAGGAAACATTTTGGCTCAAACAAACGCCTCTTTGGGTTAATTTCTGATCTCAACACGCATTTTTGATCTTTACTACCGTTTTTTAATTGTCTCACCCGCTCTTAACTCTCCCTCGATGCATATTTTATATCAACCTCTTGTCTACTATATAAGACAAATCAAACTTGCAAAAAGTATCATTCAACTGTCAACAGTCATCAACAAAACAATTCTTTCAAAAACTCTTAGTCTCTTTTTCATCAATTTTCATCATGAATCAATTTGTTGCCATCGCTTTCTTTGCTCTTGTAGCCATCGCTAGTGCTTACAACCACGCTGACGGTGGTCACAGTACCATCAACCGACACCAAGATGTTAGTGGAAAGTACGATTTCGGTTACCATATTAATGACCCTTGGGGATCATCCAACTACCGACAAGAATCTGGTGATGGTTGGGGTAATGTCCACGGTTCATATGGTCTTAAACTTGCCGATGGTCGTCACCGAACTGTGAACTATGTTGCCGACAAAAGTGGATTCCGAGTTAAATTGGACTCCAACGAACCATCTGTTGGCTCAGTCGACTCTGCTGATGCCATCTACAATGGTGCTGACCCTGCTGGTCACAGCCACACTCATGTTGTCTCAGGACACAAAGGAGGTCATCATGAAGGCTCATGGGAAGGTGGATATGAACACCAACAACATGTCCCTCACCAACAACATGGCCACGACTCATGGAACAAGAAAGACTCATGGAAACATGAAACCAAACACGACAATTGGGGTAAACACTAAGATGATTTCTAAATGGCCTCAACTTCAATACTCTCATCCCTTTTAATTTCCCTTTCTTACTTCCTTTGTAAACTTTATTTTAATTCCGAATCCTGTCCATCATCATCATCTTCATTTCCATCATCTTCATTGCTCCCCCTTCTCTCTTTCTCACTCACTCCACATTCGAAAAGTCAATGCTCAATTATTGTTGGTACCTTTTAAATGATGGAATACATTTAATCATCACCACAGCGGATTGAAAAGTTTTCCTCCATCACTTTAATTGTCATCCACATCAATTTAAGGGTTGATTGCATCACTTCATTCAAAACAATTCACCTTCGCTTTGACTTCGCACTTCGCTGGTTCAGACGAAACACAACGAAAAACATCAACACCAAGTGATCAGGGTTATTTATGATAATTAAATACAATCAAAAATCACTGATTTGACTGTAAATTAGCAAATTAGATAAAGTTAAATTAGTATGTAACATTGTTATGTAAAATAGAAAAACCATAATTTTGTTATTTTAATAAAGAATTAAGCCAATTTAAAATATCGGAAAATTTATTTCGTTTCTAATTTACAAAAGAATTAATTATTAGACAATTAGATGTTTCCTGTCGATTATGATTGCAGATTAAAAGATAATCAATTAATTGATTGATAAAAAATCATAATTATTTCTCTTTTTATTGAATATTTATATTAGTAGTTAATGTTATCAAAATTGATTGAAGAGACAAACACAATCACTCACACACCTTATTACACAATACGGTAATTAAATTAATTATAAACGATATCGTAATAAATCACCTTAAATTGTTAATTACAATTAAGGAAGGAAAGGAATGATAAACGAAATGAAAAGGGAAAAAGTTAAACCAAATGCGGAACCAGAAAGAGAATCAATTGACTTGATTAGAATCTAAGTCCACTCACGTAGTAACAATTAATTCAATAGAATGTGATGATCGGTAATGTATTAGTCTTAATTGTCTCTTTTTTGGAATCCTGATTGTGTAAATATCACATAATTTTCATTAATAATCATAATTGGTAATGTAAATATTGTTAAAAAGATTGATTAAATTAGCAAACAATTAACTGATTCTATGAATGAGAATTAACAAAGCAAAAAATAAATGAATTTTAAAGTGTCTATGTCCTACTAATTGTTGTTGATCATTTCAAAGGAAGATGAAGTGACATTAATTGTCAACTAACATTCACTTTCAATTTCAAGGGTATCGTTATTATTAGAATCATGATCATGATTAAATCATGTGAAGGTTTTCATCTTTTCTCAAGTTAATTGACTAACACATCAATTGATTATCATCACTGCATAATGGGTTCGTTGTATCCTTCGGCTGTGTCTTTATCGTTGACATAATCAGATCGATTTCGTTGCCTTGACCACTTGAGATAAGTTGGACGGATCAACACGTCGTTGTACAAAAACATGCCGATCAACAGTAAGGAGAATCCACCCAATTGAATCCCATCGACTTTTTCCCAGCTCAGAGCAACTCCAACGATTTTAATAACAATCGTACGAATCGAATCTAAAACAGTTCGAGTTGTCGCTGAGATTTGTTTGGTCACAGAAACTCCGGCGAAATTGAAGAAAGCGATCGAAATAATTGTTCCTGTAATTGGATTGAACAAAATAATAGAATAAGTTCAATTTGGTACAAATCATTTCATTTCTTATCATTTGATTAACGCCTTCAAATTTAATTGTTCTGAGAAATTAAGGATCAGATAATTTAATCGACTTCTAGTATTCCCATTGAGTGCAACTCTAATTAGATCAAATGACCGAGATTCAAATGAGATAAACTGAGCATAGAAATTGAGAGGAACTGGATGATGGATCGAAAAAATAATCTGATTGTAATTAAATGTCACCGAGATTCTCATAGTTATTTGTCTGTTGTCTTGACATTTAATCTAATCTTTAACTCAATTTGGGTTAATCCTTCAATGTACTGAGGGAACATTCAACTGTTTAATGTAATTGGTTTGCTTAATTAAATCACATTGAGAAAAAGGTTTAAAATGTAATTGTAGTTGATTGCTGTCAATTGAATTCGTTAATTCAACTTGTATTTGAATGGAGAGTCAAAGCAATTGTAAGAAATTATGTTTCATTGATCTCATCATCTTATTCAATGAATAAAATGTGATTCCCATGAGATGAAATGTTTCACATGTTCAGAAACCAAACTCGAGTTTGAAGAAATCGACTAAATTGGAAAAATGTCTATTAAAACAATTGATTGTTTTTCATCAATAAATATCAGTTGAATGCGTAATTGTAATTATATTGAAGTAGTGATTCAATTCAAACTGAAATCTAAAACAAATATTATACTAATTAAATGATTCTGATGAGTCTCTCATTTGATTGTATGTGGAGATGATTTCAAATAAAAAGTGATTACAATGTTAATTGGTTTCTTAATGAGTAGAGAGAATGGTGAATCTAATTATTACCTGAAAACCCACAAGCGACTTGCCAATTGTTTTTGATTTGATACCAAGCGTCAATTGCATCTTCGATTTGACCATTTGGATTATTGAAAACACCATTTCCAACTTTGATAAAATACATTGGCACCAAAAGAATCGCCATGGTGACAAACCCGAAGAAACCTTCCCAGCCGACGACTTGAAGAGGCGAAACTCTTTGAGAATTGACAAACTTTTCCTCCAAGACCATTTGAGCTGCTGTAACGATTTGAGCCAAGATGATTAGCACATCTCCAATTATGATATTATTTGTGTCCTTTGAAGCTGAATTGGATGAGATCATATCTGAAACTCCAACGATAGTTAGCCCAACAATAACGAAACCAATTCCAGTATATTCGTAGGCCTTTAGCTTACGTTTAAGGAAGACGACGGACATGATGGCAGTGAAAATGATTAGAGATCCTCGTAACATTTGGAAACTCGAGGCATAAGTTAAGTTGAGACCAACGTACATCGTTGAAGTGGCCAGTAGATCACAGAGAGCGGGTAAAGCGAAAACGGATCTCTTGAAATCTCTGTTACCAGAAATGGAAGGCGGTAGTTGGTCTTCGGTGTAATCTTTCCTCATGTAGTACATGTAAAGTATTCTGAAACCCAGAAGACAACTGAGTTCACCTAAAAACATTCCCAATGCTTGAACATAAGGATGATTGAATTCACGCTCGACTCCATCACGTCCCGCTGAGTGACTGCGATCGGCCCATCTAAATGCAACGAGAAAATGAATCAATTCTGTTAATTTCTTTCTTATCGTTTCAGTCCAAGGATAATAAAGTTACATTATGATCAATGTTTTAAGTGAGTTTCGACTTCAAATCATATCAATGGAATCAATTACTTTCTTCTCAAGTAGTAGAGCCCAATTCTGATTACCTTTTATTACATCGATAGCTAACAAACTCTTGAGATCTAATTGATTTCTACAACTTTTCTCATTTATAACAATCGTTATTCACTTATTTGATTTCTTCAATTTGCCAGAATTTAGCACCGATAAACTTTTCAAGAGTTCAGAGAAAATATTTGTTTTTTCTTTCTCAATATAATCACAATTGATTATTGAAACTTTCTTTTAATCCTCCAACCCGGAAATGATTTGCATCTCGATTAATGTTCAGATTAACCGATTGACAAACTATTTGGGCTGAACCAAAAACGATCAAAGCAATAACCAAGTTGAGGCTTTGGATTAACAAACAACATCCACATCATCAACAGTATTTATTGTTGATTTAGAGACACTCTAATCATTAACACATCTGCTGGTGTTGTTCATTAGTTAATGTCAACAATTAATCGGTAAAAGTAATTTGATTGTCAATTAGAAACTAATTTCGAATGCAAATTAACACAATTCACTCAACTTTTAGTAGGAAGAATTAACTAAAAAGTAAATCAATTTTTTCCTTAAACTCAATTAGAAGGTTGTTGGTAACTAATGGCGATAATTTGGCAATATAATTGCTAATATTTTCTGTGGGCGTTAATGATTAATGAAAAAAGAAAAAATTGTTTCAATTGAAAAAGTGAAAAGATTTGATTGTTTATCTTAAAAGGAGAGAAACAAGTTAAAGGGTGAAAGGTGAACGGAAAGGTAACCGACTTACTTGGTTGCTAGAGTGTTGAGAGAGCCCGTGGTGACCATTACCACCGCCAAGAATGTTTGGTAAGCCGTGAATCCCATCGTTTGTTGGGTCAATTAGCTGGTGATGAGAGAGGAAAATGTGTAGTCTCGTAATTAGAAAGGAAAAGTGAGCTGAAAACTGAGACTCTTTTTGTTGTGTTTCTCTGATGAGCACATGTAAGGCAACGACTATCACAATATTTGATTCGGTTGAGTATCAAATCCAATTAACGGTGATGATTGTCTTGGTGATGAAGATGACAAGTGATTAAGGAACATTAAACAATAAACAATTAAAATATAACCAAAAAAAGGGAGATTGTTTCATCCAAAGGTGAGATTTAGGAGAGAGCTACTAAACAGAGAGATGGAGAGACAACTTGTTGAAGAGAAGATGATGATGAGAGAGATAAAGAAAGAGAGACTTGTTTGAAAGAGAAAGAGAGATGAAAGGGAGATGCAAAAGAGAGAACAAGCATTTAATAGATGATGATGATGATGGAAGATAAAATATGATTCAATTCTCAGATACTGAAACTATTTCAAAATAAATGATTGATGTGAATTAAAACAACAATCAACTGAAACCTTGGGCAATTAAAGAGAAAAACTTTTCTGTCTTTGTCTGTCTATTTTCCCTCATCCCTCCGACTTACGCCTTAACTTGAGCACTGATGCAGTTTGACCAGGTAAACTTTTCGATTGGAATCGTTGCCTCCCTTGCGATTTCTTTATCTCATCATCAACTCGAAATGCCGATGATTTAGTGGCCATTTTGATTCTTCTTCTTTGAATAGTTCGAGTGAAGGTAACGCGAGGAATTTACGACGAATCGAAAAGTATGAAGACCAAATGGTTAGATGAACAATAAATGATCTAAAGTAATGAGATAAACTGAATCTCGTTCGTTTCGATACAATTAATCGCAAATTGTGATCAGTTTCTGAACTTTTGACTATTCATGGGAGTAACTGATTCTCTGTCCTGATATTTAGTTCCAATCATTTACCGGAATTGTTTCAATCTTCATGATAAAATCAAATTGAATAGAAATTTTTGAGAGATAAACAATTAAACGATGTAATAATCAAGTCGATGATTAAGACAAGAGGCTGTTAATTAGTAACTTAAAATTGGAATTATGAAAATTAATAGCTGACTATCGAGAAAATTGTTAATCAACTATCGTCATAATTTGCTGAATTGACAACAATTAATTAGATTGTTCTGTTAACACTTAAATAATCTCATGGATTACAGAATGTTATAATTTGAATCGATTACTGATTAATCATCAAGTTGAGAGTTCACAATGAGAGAGTAAATAACGGGACCAGAATTTTCATTTAATCTCAACAATTAACTTGTTCTTTAAATGAAGTCAACTGTTTATTCTGTGGTTCTAATCAAACTGGAAAATAATCAATCATAAAAACAATTAACTGATTGGCTCAAATCTCTGTTAGTGTTTTTAAATTTTATTTGGTTTAATCATTTATCCCAATTAAATGATTATTAACAATTAAACTGTTTTCTTTTCGCAAATCAAAAGCACGTTAAACAGGATGAAAGCAAAACTAGTCTTTCCAACTAAAATCTCAACCATTAAAAAGCAAATTATCATAATTAATTTTCAATCACTTTCCTTTTATTTATTTTCCAAGATTAATTAAAGATTTAATTTTCTTTCAATTTAAGTTCAGTATCGATACTTTTCTATCTGATCTCTACTATCCGATATTCATTTGGTTTTCATTTGGTTTTCATTTGTAACTCGAAACCTATATTGTTGTCATTTTGTCTGAAAGGTTGATTGTTTTACTTTTCTGAATTTGTGAAATTTATTCAATTAAAAGTCATGGCTTTAATGGGCTTTGGTGATTTCAACGATATGTTCGGTCATGTTGATAGAATGATGAACAACATAATGAGAATTCATGCTGATCCATTTGGTATGATGGAACCCATGATGCCGATGCCTGGATTAACCAATATGGCTGGTGGATCCTTTGTTTCTTCTTCTTCTGTGGTGATTACTAGTGATGGGACTGGTCGACCTCAAGTCTATCAGGCCACTAGGACAGCAAGATATGGCCCAGGAGGTGTTGCAGAAACCCAAGAATCGGTTAGAGACTCTGCTTCTGGCTTACAAAAATTGGCGATTGGTCATCATATTAATGATCGTGGTCATGTTATGGAAAAAAGTAAAAATTGGTATACTGGGGAAGAAGAGGAAAAAGATGAACTAATTAATCTGGACGAGGAAGAGCAACAATCCTTTGAAGATGAGTGGAAAACTCGTATGTACTCTCATCAACACCGAGGATATAATGGTGATCGAGCATTAACTTCAGGCCAAGGTTCAACTCCTTTAGCAATTACTGCAGGACCTTCAACATCTGGTGAGTCGAGTAGCTCACATTATTATCCACAACAACAACAACAACAACAACAGCATCAAAACCGACATTTGCACCAAAATCAATACCAAAATCTACACCAAAATCTTCACCAGAATCTACACCAAAATCTTCATCATCATCACCAACAGCATCAGCAACATCGGGCCTACAATCATCCTCAACAACTTCGAGGTGAAATTAATGCTACAAGTTCCAGATGCGATCCTGATATTGAAATAATTAGTGGACCAGGTCGAACCCAGAGTTACCATCAACAACCAGTAGCTAGTTCATCTCAGCAATCAACATCTCGACATAGAGTCCCTTCTAAGCAACGAAGTAAAAAAGATAAAAAACCTTACAAAAGGTCAAGTAACAAAAACGCTGACCAACAACATTAGTTTCACCTGAAGAGCAAGTAAAACAAAACCAAACCAAAATATTTAAATCTCTTGATTGTAAACAAAACCTAAACGAATTGGAAAAGGTTCTTTTTGTTGGGGTTAATTCAATATTGTATTCGATCTACTCATCGTCACCTTAACGGAATTGTAATTGTGAGACTTATCGTTCTCATGTGACACACATACCGAGTTTTAAACATGGTACATCATTCTACCTTATCAATTATCTTCTTTCTCTTTCTATTTGTGATTAAATGTTCTCTTAACGAGTTTCAGATGGGTCTTTTTTAATTGATTAGTAAACTCATTTTAGAGAAAACATTGGTGTCATTTTCATTTATTTCGATCCTAAGCTAATACTCTCTATAGATCCGAGAAGTTTCTAGAATTTTCTATTGATATTGTTACACATCACTAAAGAGAAAATACTTGATCTGAATTCTAATCAAACAAAAGTTAATGTGTTTGCAGAAATACAAGTCGGTAAGTTGATCAAATGGATAAGATTTTAAACTAAACGGGATTCTATCAACTCTATCATTCTATCAACAAGGCAAATCAACCAAAGAGACAAAAGCATCTTGACAAACATAATTTTCTTTTATGTTTTTGTTTAAAAATTGTACAAATTTCATTTGGAAACAATTTAAATGCACGAAATCAGTATCAAAAGACTCAACACACATTTGAGCTTTTATTTGCTTGACATGGTCTTAAACCGACATTGTAATGGAAGAATTTTAGTTCTAGAAAGTGAATTTCATGAGAGCAGAACTTTCGAGAAAAATTCAATGTTGTCATTTAGCCTCTTCTTTGACTTTTTTCGTACCAGTGCTTTTTTCTTTCGCTTTCGCAACTAAATCAGTCAACTTTCCTTCTTGGGCCAACGTCTTAAGAACTTCAACGATTAATGGTAGATAATTGTGTTTACGACGAATATTCTCAACCTGAAACAATCAAAAGTTACGAGGAAAAACCATTACAATTAGTAAAAGAAAATAGATTCTTGTTAAATTACCTTATATTTTCTCATTTTAACTTCTTCCTCTTCGATTTGCATTTTGAGTTGACTAATCTCAACGTTTTTTGTATCAGAATCAAAAGCAGGATCAGTCAATTGTTTTTGTAGCTCTTCTAACTGACGCTCAAATAACATCTTTCGATCGCTAATAAGGGCAAGTAAATTGAAAAGAATTTCTCCTTCACTATACTTTTGAATTCGCTTTTGAATAACAGGTTTTGCGACATCAGTCCATTCAGTGCCTTCGGCGATAGCACCCAAATCAATTGGACCATCCTTAAGACCATCTAATTCATACAATCGACCTTCAAATGGGATGTAAGCCACAAAGTGGAAAACATCTTCATCTTTAGCAGTAGTTTTGAAATCAAATTCAAACATTTGTTGACGGGCAAACGAATTATGGACTTCTCTGATCTGGTCGCAGTTACTTAAGGCCAGTCCTTTCATTGCTGGATCAAAAGACGAACTGAATTCCCTAAATGCTGTTAAAGTGGGACCAAGATTAACATCCGAGTGAAAACAGTTCAATAAAACACTCAGAATAGCTTGTGTAGCACAGGCATTATTGATAACTTGTTTAGCGAAAAACATTTTTTCCAATCGCGAATCTCGAACGATACTTCCGGAAGGTTCTTCTCCTGGTAACCATTTAAATAAGAAAATAAGTCCATGAATCGGTCTAAAGGGACAAGTGTAAAAAGACATTATTAGCATCGATATTACTTGAGATAAACATTCTTTCGCTGGAAAATTAGAATTTCCAGTCACTTGAGACTTACTTGAGAGGCTCGAAGTTTTCTTGGTTCAAGCTCCATAATTCTTCGACTTGAATACCGGTAACACCTGAGATGACAATTAGAAATTAAAAACATACAGTGAATGAAATGATTGGTAATAAATGAAGGAAACCACAAATCGGCATGGAAATTGGCTTAAGTTATAGTTCACAGGCAATCGACGAGTTCAATGACAATTCAATCAAGACCGACTCTCGGCCTCTTACAAATAAATCACTCAAATGCATTTAAATTGATTGATTGGTCAGTGAAATAATTAGAAAAAAATTAGTCTTACCAAAGCTTCTGATCAACTCAGTGAAAACTCCTGGATCACTTTCAATTAAACACCAATCACCAGCGGATGACATTATCAATTGGGAGAAATAAGAGAGAGACTATCGAGCGAAGATGCCAAATTAACAATTTTCCTCTGAATTGTTCGATCAACAATTAACCCAAACAATTATGAAAAGAACAACAATTTTTGCTTCAAAAGTGATTACTAATTCTTTTATTTTCATCTGTAAGATAATCGATGAAACCGCTTCCAATCGATGTATCGCTTTTCCTAACAACAAATTCACTTTTTTAGTTTTCCGATTTGATCAATTCTCAATCTCTTTTTAATCAACTTAACAAATCGAAAGTTTTGCTCAATTAAAATTGCTTTTTCTCTTCAATTCATTGAGATCTTTAATTTATTCTTAAGATTGATTCAATTGAATTTCCTCATGTACAGTTAGTCATTTCGTCGAGTTTTTTTAATCTACAAAAGATTCAATTTGAATCATAATTTCATTCATTTATTTTATGGACATTTGAGTTCTAAGGTTGAATAAATGTAAATCTGATTCTAATTTCGTTGCAAAGTCAATTTGATATCATCTTATTGTATTTATATTTTTCTACCTACGTTTCTGTTACAAAGACACTCAATTAACATAAGCAAACAATTAATCAATAATTCGCAAAATATATGACAAATTTGAGAAAATTTAACTACCGAAAGTTTTAAATGTCCAAAGAAACGACAAATCAAAAGTTAATCACTTTAATTGCTTTTGTTTTTATTGAAAATTGATTGATTTAAATGCGAATACAATCCCCAGTGACTATCGCCATCTATTGGCGAATGGAGAGAATGTCAGAGTTTCTCTTTTTTAGACTCTGTTGACCTTCCTGATTCCTCAAAGTTGTTGTTAATTTTTCTTTGATTTGATTATTAATTTGATTAAATTGTCAAGATGAGTAAGATGATTGCCAAATTACCTCAACGTAAGTATCAAATTACTATTTGTTTGTTTGAATTGACCAGAAAATGCGTTTATCTTTGTCTTTTCTGTCTCTCAATCTTGTGTTTACATATTTCAATGATGATAATAATGACTATATTATATTCCAATTGCTTGTAATTTGTTTCTTCAGTAATCAACCAGGCCAAGCCTGTGGTCAGCGCTAATCTTGGTCGTTTCATGCATTACGCTAAAGTCGAAATGGCTCCACCACATCCCGGTGAAATCCCTCAAATATTCAGAGATGCTGGAAAGCTTTTCAAAGGAGCTGCTTCAGGAAGATGGGCTCAAGTATCTGTAAAGAAGCAATAGTCAACACAGTAATCACTGCAGAGGTAATCTGTTGGTTTTTCATCGGCGAAATCATCGGAAAACGTTCACTCGTTGGTTATAAAGTTTAAATTTATCAAGTAGAGGATGTGTTAAAGTGTATTCCATAGATAAGTAATAAATAACCTCTAGATTGTCTCTTAAATGTGTTTTAATTTTCATCATCTTATTTCGTACTTGTCTTAAAAGCTTTTCAATTTCTATTAGCGTGGAGATTCGGTTGAAAATGGTTTTAACTCAAACAAATAAATCGCGAAATCAAAAATGACATGTAATATTTATCGATTTTCTCAGTTATGTTATTTGCAAGTGATACTTTTTATGTTCTCGGAATTTACACAATTACTCAATTGTTGCAGTACAAGTTTATCTAGATCATTATTGTTGGAATATTGAAAAGATGATGTATGCGTGCCCTTGATTGATCTTTTTCGAAATCTAATTGTCTTTTTAAATCCCAAAGACTCCACTGTTCCCTTATAAGATCTTGTGTCTACCCTTTCATCCTTCCTCTTTTCTGTTGGTAATTTATTTATCATCAAACCACTAATCTAATGGCTTTTCACCACTTTAATTGAAACTGTTGATCTGATTAACCTCATCACTCTAAAGGTTTGTTTAATTTACAACTAAAATACGATATCTATTTACATGTAACATTTTTTTTCTATTCTTTTACTCTTTCAGATGAAACGAGAATCTTGATCCTCATGGAAAAAGTGATGAATTATTCTCAATCCTTCAACAGCGAAAAAACTGATGAATTAATTTTACTTTGTAATAATTACTCAATTGTTTAGAGATTTGATAGACTGGGACCTGATTGTGATGATTAACCATCCAATGGACTTGATCTAAGATGCAAATCTTTAATCAAACAGATCGAGAAAAGCTCATTTTCAAGGAAGAGAGAGAGGTGATAATGACAACCTTACTCTTCATCATCTCTATGGAAAATGTTTATCAGCGAGATGAAAATGACGATGATGGAGATGATTGAGAAGATGAGGAGGGAAGCAGAAAAGGAACAAGAAAAGAAATGATAATCCTCGTGATAAAGGAGGCAGAGAATAAGGAGCAAAGCGAGAAACAGAAAACAGTTAAGTCGAAAACAAGATGATCTAGAAAATGAAGATGAATTCGAAGTGAAAAGGAATCAAATGGGGTTTCAGATGTATCATCAAAGAATCAGAAGTAATCAGAAAAAATATAAAGAGAAAAGGAAAAGCAAAGGAATATGATGAAGAGAAAGCCAAGAATCACAGGGTAACGAGCTAAGAGGAAGAAGATGAAGATGCGAAGACGAAAAGAAGAAAAAAATGGAAAGATGTTTATACTGTTTGGTTGTAAAAGGCAAAAGCAGCAAGTTGACTGTGATTCCCTAATCAATACTCATACAACTTCGTATGAAACATCGACCAGTCATCAATCATTGTCAAATGCTGGCAACAAGGGAGAGGCAGAGGAGAGAGAGAGAGAGCGAATCTCTTCTCTATCATCATGTTGTATTTTCTCGGTAAAAATGAGTCTCATATTCGAGAGACAGAGATGATGATGAAGAAATCACAGGGATAAGGAGGAACAATTTGGAGGTGAAAGAAAAAAATTAAAACACAAAGATGAATTGGGACTTAATTCGATTCTGCAGATCTCTGGGTATGTTCTTAACAAGCAAGAGATCGAAAACCCATCATTTCTTTTCTATTCTTTCCTCTATTCTTTTCTGTTCCATTGAACAGAAAGTTATCATCATCTTATCACTTCCTTTCCAACATTTCGAACATTTCACTCATTCGGCGATATTAACGCTTCTATTGATCATTTTCAGATGAAATCATCACCATTCCAACCACTTATCATTCTCTCTGGATATAATGTCTTCAGCTAATTCGTCCATTTATTGCATGGTATTCACAGGAATTACGGTTAACTATTTTCGTCTATTCTAATTACCTTTCGTCACTTTGAAGCTCTTCAAGGTGAATGTTATTTAGCTTCCATTTTCCATTCAAAACGCAGAAATACTTTTAATTAATTGGATATTGTTTTCCATATAATGTTCATCCTCTATGTTTCAACTTAATTTAATCCTCAATTGTGTAACTTAATGTAGTTGGCTAATCAAACAAAATGTTAACATGACAAAGTCTTAATCAACAACTAAATATATGGTTAATTTTTTCATTATTCACTGGTAACTCAACTATTAAATACTGAATGAGAAACCCCGTTGGGCTCATCAATCTAATTGCAAATTTAGTTATCCCAAAGTAAATCACTAAAAAAATAAATTGATGATCATGATTTAGGTGATTTAGAGCGTTAATCAAGGTGAAAGGAAGATGATGAAGATAATAAAAAAATACACATGAATAAACTTCTCAAGATGGATCTCTCTGTGTATGAATAAGATATTGACACGCTAACCAAAGATCAACATGGGAGATGATAAAGTCTAGATTGTAAAATAATCAAGCTGATGATGATAATCATCCTCATCATCATCATCATTGGGTGTGTTAAATTGTGCTAATCATAAGAATGAGAAATAATTGTTATGTTATTGTTTTCATTCTTAACTTATTAGACTCACAGAGTTTCATCTTCATCTTTGTCATGCTAATCCATTGATTCCTCCCTCAATCTAATTCATCATCGTCATCATCAGTCTTTCATCTTTCGTCTTCCCTTATTCTTAGTGTTTATCATATCTCTCTCTCTCTCTCTCTCTCTCTCTCTCTCTCTCTCTCTCTCTCTCTCTCTCTCTCTCTCTCTTCTATCAATTATATCTCTCGCTCTCCAAGTTTTAATCTCTTCATTAGTTAAACATTATTGTTGAATTTTCATCTTTTCATTTTTAATCTTTCTTATTAATCTAATCCTCTCCATGATTAGTTATCAAAACCATTTTCTTTATTTTGATTAATAAGAAATATAAGCTTTTAATACATTTTACTGTTTACCGATTCAACTAATGTCTAATTACGAAATATCCTTAACTGGAAATTAAATTTCTAATTAAAATCCCAATCAAAAAGCGATTAACTAACAATTGATCAAAGTAAATAAATTTTTTTCTGGTTAAAATATCGACTTTTTTGCCAATGAATATGCCAATAAACTAATTCCATTCGATAATAACCACTAATAACAATTGAATTGCGACTGATTAGATTTACAAATCCCTCATTTCACCTTAAATTTTTTTAAATCAATTGATCAAAAGGCTGCAGTTTATTGTCAGGGAGATTGTAGTTGATTTTAATTATTCAATGGAGATACGAATCATTTAAATATTGAAAAGTAATGTGAATTTTCATTGATTGAATATTTCCTGTTTTCTTGTGAGTTAACTCATTAACACTTTTAAATGTTTATCTTTATGACATTAATTAGATTGTCAATTAATCATCCAGACAACTGTTGAAATGATTAGACTAATGATAAAACATGACATTTCGATACAAAAACCAGAGATATTTTTGTTTTCTAAGATCTTATTGGTAAAGTCATTTGAATATTGACCAAAATCAGAAATGAAGCATTTCAATTGACGGAAAAGATTGATAAGATGCTGAAGGAATGATATAGATGATAGAGAAGATGAAGTGACATTTACAATCGATCATCGAAAAAAAATCAAATTTCCCTTCGAGCGGATTTCAAGTCACATTCAATTCATTTGAATCTTTATCATCGACAGACAACAACAATTTACATCCCTTGGCAATTGAATAAACAAAACCATGGAACAGTGAGAATATCAGAATCAGAATAAAATGAAAATGAAAACGAAAACAATTCAGCTCATGAAACTGAATCGAAATGTAGTAGATTCTTTTGTTAACTAAATTAATTAACTTTCCACTAAATGAAATACGAGTCAGCATTTTGTCAGTCATTTTAATTGATTCTAAATGAGTGAAACTTATCAAGACATTATTTATACTCGATAAAGTGGATTGGTTGTTTGAAAATCAATCAGAATTCACGGAAAATTAAGTTTCTGATTGATAAAGTAAAAGTCATTTCTATATTTGCAGGAATTAAGGGATAACTGTAGTGGTTGGGAGATGCTCAGGGTGATGAGGAATAAGATGACTTTAGATTTGGAGAAATAGAAAAAGGAAACTTTTTCATTCATTTTGTTATTATTTCGGTTGTTCCATTTATTGGATGCTTTTGATACTTGTGATGAAGATGAAGATGAAGATGATAATCTAGTTCATCATCTTGAAAACTCCAAATGGTTATGATAAAATTGATCGATGAGGATTAAATGCTAAGTTACATCAGAGTGAAGCTTTTACAAGAAACTTTTTTGTCTCTTATTGATTTCATATTGTTGATAATCTAATTCAATTGAAACGATCAATTTTGTTTCAAGTAATCAATTCAATCATATCAATAGCAAATACAATCAAATGAAACAATTTGTTGTTGAATAAAAAAACTTCTGATCCTGAAGATTCTGATCAATCTGAAATCAATTGGAATGAAATAAGTTACCATTAACTCAGTTCATTGATTAAATTTGTTGTTCAGTTGTTATAATTGATTATAATTAATACTTTGTTTAACTTGTTGATTGAAATGATTAATGGTTTTTTGTTGTTGTAATTGTTGATTTGATTCACAGATTTGATTTTTTATCAACCATCATCATAATACTTATTTTGTTGATAGTTAAGGGAAAGTAAGATGGCTTCACAACTGATTCTTAATCATAATCATCATCAATCAACTTAATCATATAGTTGACCTACTGAATTTCATGATAATTAGTTAATTGGTGGAAAAATAAAGATCGAGTTTTGTAGTAACTTAATTCATAATAACAATTGTTTCTTTTCTATATGTTTACCTTTTTTCTGATTAAATTGATTAACCTGATTAACGAAACTTAGAGAAACAAAAAAAAAGAAATCAAAATACTAATTATCAACAAATGATTAGCAGTAATTTTAAAGTTCAATAGACTTTTATCACAATTAAGATCAGAATAGGTTAAATAGTAATAGAAATTTACTTAAATGTCTCTTAATTGTCACTAATCAAAAGTTGTTTTGATCTATTGATGAGTAATTACAATAGTCGATACTTTCTTTTATTGTTGATTAGTCGAGCTCATTGGATTGAATCAATTAATCAGTTGGTTCTTGATGATAATCATCATGGCGATAGAAATAAATAAGATCTGTGACCATTGTCCAGTACAGAAAATCACATTTCCTCCTTAATCATCAGATGAATACATTTTTTGTCCCATTCTTATCTAACCTTATCCTTTGATCGCGATGAAACTGATGATAAAGATGATGATGACATTAGAGATGATTAAGATGAAGCAAATAATTTGTTAAATTATCTGTTTCTTGATGATTACACGATTGTCCAGCAAAGGAGAGAAGCACAATCAATATGAGTGAAAAGGTTCATTCTTATTCTTCATCATCTCGATCTCTTTTTTCATCCTAAATTGATGATAAAAGGTAATCCATCAATCCAGTGACAATCAAATAACACTGAGAAACATCATCATTATCTCCTTGATCATCATAATAATCTCGCCTTCAATTAATAGACCTCCAGGTTTCATCATTAACCTCACCTCCCGAAAGACTGATACGTGAAAATGAACATTCTCACTCTCATCAAATCTCATCATCATTATCATCATGTTTATCACCTCAGTTTGATCTTCACTAGTATCAAGGTATCATTGTCACTCTAATTCAACACGATATAACTATTATTATCTTCAAGATCAATGATTTGAGATGATGATAAAAAGATGGAGATGAAGATGAAGATGAGCAAATTAAAATGATATGAAAATTATGGTTTTTATTGTCTCATCAACTGACACTGGTCAAGATTGACTTGAAGATCGCGAAGATTAAAAAGTTTTCATCATCTTTTCAGCTGAGTGATCAAAGTAAACAAACTTATTATCCTCATCATCATAATGATGGTCATTCTCATTCTCATGATGAAATATACAAACAATACAAATATGCTACTGACCATAGATTCTCAAATGATTGTTGCTCCAATGATTCTGATTCTGAATTTTTTCCATGGGAATCATTAGTTCGTCTTCGAAATACTTTTCATCTCTATAAGAATTGATGATAATGCGCATCATTGAATCATTTCTCTTAATATCATCTTCTCTGTCCTCATCATGATCATCTCTCTCTCTCTCTCTCTCTTCTTCTTCCTTATACTTTTTCCATTCTTAATGCTACCTTTCAATGAGTAGAAAAAATCTCATCTTTTTTCATTCTTGTTCTCATCATGATCATCATGATATCTTCAAGATAATACAATCATCATCTATAGGCTTTTATTCACCAATGACAAATAACACAATCAAAATAAACTACAATTAAATGGAAATCAATTTTCCATTGATACACTTGTATGGGATATTATACTTAATTGTTGTTGATTTAAGCGATGAGTAGGAGATAATAGTTACTGTTATGTCTTTAATTTGCTAAATTGTTTCCGGATGTAAGGATTTCTCTCGATAGTAATTCAATCTCAAGTAAATTGTAAATTGTTGTTAATTAGAATCAATTGTCGCTTCAATGGTTTTTAATCCTTTTTTATCTTATGTAATGATTAACATTGAATTATTTACTTTTACACCTAATTGTCTTCCTTAAACAACTATTTAAACTAATTTCAGAAAAACAATTTGAATAATATTAAATTAAGAATAGAGATTAACTTTTTGCAATTAACAATTCCCTTGATTACGATTATTGTGTTTGTTTGTTGTTTCAGTCACTGAGATTAATGGTTAACCTTTGGGTTTATTAAATCATTTAATTAACATACAATTAACCTGGATTACAATTAATAGTTTGATCAAAAATTACAAATTCATTTAACAATGTTATTCAAATTAATCTTTAGCTTCAATGCTGAATTAAGGGGAAACATTCAATTAGTTGTTTATAATTCGGGTCATTTGGTTACTCAGAACACTAATGTTGAATTCATATTGGAATTAAATTCGACTCGTCGTCATCATCGGAATCATCATCGTCGTCTTCAAATTGATTTCTAATTGACGAAACTCTCCCGATCATTTTCATGTCCGTTGGTTTTGTTTCGTCGATTTCAACCAAATCTTTCACTTTATTTGGGAGTTGATTGTAAATCATTGCGGGCAATTGATCGTTGCAACGATAAACTAAATCGGACCAAATTATTTTTTCCTGAGAGAAACAGAAAACTCCCAACCTTCCACCTTTGAGACTATTATCGAACAAGTTACCAGAATCAGCGACTAGTAAACCGCCTTCGTAAATTCGTAATCTAATGAGACCGATTTTGGGTCGATGAATAAGTGACCATCTATACGCAGTTTTCTCTTTCCATCCGACATTTCGAGGATCTTTCCACAGTAAAGAGACTTGATTCGTTGTATTACCTGTGTGCCAGAGGGAGTTTCTCATGATCTCCCCTGGCCCCGTAGTCGATTGAACAAGTTTCAGTTGAATTCCAGGTGAAGCGACTGCTCTGAAAGGCGTCGGTCTCCAATAAGTTTGTGCTGCTTTTTTCCACATGACTGTGTAAAAGTTGCGATTATCTTGGTAGCTAAAGATGAACCCAATGTAATCATCATCGATATTGGCTTCGACGAACATGGTTCCCTCAAAGTCGACCCCAGCAAATGCGTGATAGCCCACAGCTAGACCTGGGTCCGAATTGAGAGTTTGCACAATTTCAGCTCCTTGTGAATAGACTACCCAATGAGGGTCAATTTGAGAATTACCTTCCGGGTCAAGTGGTATTGTTGCAAATGACCGGAAGTCGGTGACATAGATAAATTTATTGTCCGGACAAACATCATCTGTATCTGATACTCCATCCCCATCTGTATCATTGCGACAAGAATCACCAACACCTGATCCTGTAATTGAATCGCGTTGATCAGGATTATAAACTAGAGGACAATTGTCTAATGAATTAGGTAATCCATCACCATCAATATCATTATCACATATATCACCTAATCCATCACCATCAGTATCTAATTGATCAGCATTGGAAATTGTTCGACAATTATCTCGATTATCTTGTATTCCATCTGAATCAATGTCTGATGTTGATTCACATGCATTGCCCACCAGATCTCTATCATCGTCCAATTGATCCGGATTATGCAAATTAGGACAATTATCACAAGAATCTCCTATACCATCAGCATCTTTATCTGACTGATTAGGGTTATGAACAAATGGACAATTATCAGCTGATCCAATTATCCCATCATTGTCAATATCATCATCACAAACATCACCCAATCCATCAGAGTCTGAGTCAAGTTGATTAGGATTTGATTTGGTTGGACAATTGTCACAAACATCACCATAACTATCATCATCAAGATCTTTCTGGTCTGAATTACCTTTTAGTGGACAATTATCCTGAAAATCAATCAGCAAATAAAAAATTAAGTTCAATCAAAAAAATCAAATTATTATCTATCATTACAAACAGATACACGTTGCAGGTTTCGAGTCAAGATCATAATTATTATATTGTTGGTTCACTGATTGTAATGAGGATTAAATTGATTTTGTAGGCTGAAAGATCAATGGGTTAATAGTAATGGCAAATATAAAATCTAATTAAATGAAGAAAAAAACTGATTTGAAATAATTAAGAAAAAAAGTTGATCTGTTGAGAGTAAAAGAAATGACAAAATAAGCTCGATACTTACAAGCTTGTTAATCACTCCGTCGTTATCCGCATCTTCATCACAAATGTCACCTTTTCCATCGGAATCAGCATCTTCTTGACCATTGTTAGGGATCAATGGACAATTGTCCTGAAAGATTCACCATTTAATGGAAGCAAAAAATTAGAAACAAAAAAGGAACAATCCAGTTGATATACTTAATTTAAAAGTTTAGAGAAAAAAATCTAGCAAATAATCAACGATTGTCTTCACAATTAACTATTTATTTAAAACTTACCTTCAACCGCATTGTAATTTGATACATAAAATAATCATTGAGTTGACTTTTAGTTAATTAATTAATTACCTGTTTACATCTAATTGAGTTACAAGCAAGCGGATTGTCGGGCCAACCGTCCATGTCTCTATCTACTCCACAATTGTGTCCATCTCCTGCCCATCCTGGTTCGCACTGTTTGTGATCAATTAGTTTAAGTATTAATAATAACTGAATTTGTGCTAATTATTGATTTCGCCTAATTACCCGACATGAGTATCTGTTTTCAGATCTTAGTTTATAGCAATTTGCATTCGAGTGACAAACGGTAATTCCATCAGGACAAGTTTTGACTGATTGAGGGAAACATCCAACTGATTGATTACCTTTAAAACCAGGTAAACAATCACCACAAACAATTCGATTTGCTGATAGATTTATACAACGAGAATTGGGCTTACAACCTCCGTTCGATTTATCTTCACAACGATTTGTAACTGAACATATCTGTTCAAAATCCAAGCAAAGTTCAAGTTTTTAATTATTGAACATCTTTCTACTCAGTTTTATCGAATAGATTCAATTTTATCTCACCTGTTTGCTGTTTCTAGCAAAATCAAGTCCGATTCCCTTGATTTGATTACCAGACTGACCACTCGGACAAGGATCACAAACAAATCCAGGAGATAAATTAGTGCAAACGACACCGATTGCACAAGGATTTGCTAAACTACATTCGTCGATATCTTGGCAATTAAGACCATTTCCTGTGAATCCTGGTGGACATGAGCCACAAGTGAATCCTTGAGATGATTCTGGTAAATCAATGCAATTGACTTCAGGGAAACAGGGATTATCTTTGCAAGAAACTTTTCTTTTATCTAAAGAGTCAATAATTAATTAAATAAGTGTTGTAATAGTAAACTAACCAACCAGCAAATTCATGGTTGGGCCTCATTCTTCCCTCTAATTACCTCTATCATCACACTATCAACATAATTAACTTACCTGAGCGACAAAGATCACATTGTTCAAGAATTTGCCTCAAAGCCTTAGTCTCTTGAGTCTAATCAAACGAAATCAACAGAAAAGAACTTGTTGAAAGAAGAAAAAATCACAATCCAACTACAATTTACCTGTTGATCAATTGAAACAATTGCATCTCTTACAGTTTTGTCCAATTGAATCAATGTTCTGCTTAACAGAGCAACACCTCGATTAAGGGATGATGAGGATGATGTTGATGAAGAAGATGCTAATCTACAAGAAGATGATTCGTTTAATGAGTCATCTGATCCGAAACAAGGTAATGCAGTTGATTGGATATTCCGAGCGACCAAATAATATGGTGGTGCTGATGCAGTTGGACAAGATTCTTTTTCCAAAACATCGAAAATTGTTATTCCTTTTTCAATAATCACTTTGATCTTTTTTTCCCTCTCCTAATCATTAAATTGAATCAACAAATTGCTCGTTAGTTTAATTATCACTTATCAGATCAAACTAAGTCTTACCACAATTATCGTATCTTCACCAGGGACAATGTTTTCAAATGGACTTCGCTCCAACTTCATAGATCCAAACGCTTGACACTCAGCAAATACCCAAACTTTGATTTGATCATCGCGATTTATCTTGGACTTAGTTTCCAACCATTCAAAGTAAATCAACAACGATTTATGATGAGAAGTACGATTAACCGTGGGAATGGGCAACGACCATAGATCTCGATCCTTCGCCTCAGGTCGTTTCACAGAAATTGCAAATAATGAATTTTTACGATCCAAATATAATTCGATTGATCTTTCCCCATTAATTAATCGAAATAATCTTTGAGAATCCAAATTCGAAGTTGCTCTCCATGGGGGTTTGATATTTTTCAAAACAATGGAAAAGTTTCCACGATAATTGAGTATCTTTTCAAATTCGAGTGATACCTCTACAATTAAGTGGTAATTCAATTTAATTAAACAAATTTTCAATTCAAATCATTACTTACTTTCATCTTTAATCAATGATCCATTTGAGATTGATAAAATCAGAGATGTAAATATAATTAAGATAATCATGATTAAAGGACAGACACTCACCAGCTATTGGAAAGTAAACTTAACTTGAGCTCGAAGTGAACTAATTTAGACTTAATTGCTATTCCAGTTGAGCCGATAATTAAAGTGATGATAACATTAACATATTTAGCAAAAAATATTTGAATGCAGAGAGATTTTAATCATGGGAATGATGTTTTTTTACAGTTGACTATTTAACTAAATCAAAACTAATCAATCATAATTAAAGTCAATCGATATTTTAAAATAAAAATGTATACAATAAAATGTATTGCTTGATTTCGGGTCAATACTCAACCGAAAATCTTCAGATTATAAATATCATCAAGTTCTTAATAACTAAATGTTGACAAGTGAAAATAATGAAAAGAAGTTCATATCGTTCTGTATTTTTACCCATGAAATAGTCAGAAGAAAGGGGAATAATGTATCAATGAGTTAAGAAAATTCTGGTCAGTTTTTTTCTACAATAATCGCTCGTACGAGTTGCTTGCAATTATCGATACATAAAAATGTAACAATTATTTTCGCATTTCCACGAAAATTGTGCCAATGTATAAACTAAACTATTACATGTAAATATAATAATTAAAGTTATCAAAATGATACTTGATCCTTAATTAAAATGACAATCTAAACGATGAAAATAAGAAGTGAAGAATATTAATAAAAAATGAGCTGTTAAACTTTTAATTAGTCGCATCTCATGAAATTAGTCAGTTAAACACTTTGATGAATCAAGTCATTAATTAGGAAATTAATTCAATTTGATATTAGAAATTAAAAAATTCTCACCTTGATTCGTTTTCTAAGGAAAGAGATTTTATCATCCACCCATTTAGATACCTTCATATTATCTCTCTCTCTCTCTCTCTCTCTCGCTCACTCGCTCAATTCTCCCTCCTCTTCCTATTTCTGCCTTTTCTGATTTCATCGAAATTATATTTATCTAGGAAATGGATTCTCTTCACTGATCTTGATTCCTTTTCCTTTAAGAAACCGATTCTTCAGCTAATCTATTCTTGGATACGCTGCAGTGATTTTCAAGCGTGAAACATTCACTGTCATCATCTTCCTCCTCCTTCCAACCCTCGTCATCACCTTCATAAGCTGAGGTTTGACTACAATGCAGGTATGATGATGATGATGATGATTGTTGGTGATGCTTCATGTTGATAAATTGAGGTAAGAAAATTGACTCCGCGAAGAGATCGCAAAATCTTTCATTTATTTTCTCATTCTCTTCACTCTCACTCTCTCATCTTCATCCTGATTGCGAAAGATGCTATCATCATGATTACTAATCATTGTCAACTTTTCTATTGTTAACCAAAGTAATTATTGGTTTATCATCAACCTGATCGCTTCCCAACACTGACCTTTTCCCGTTTCATGTTCAATTCGCTTTTTCCTCTTTTGGCAAATAATTGGTACATTTTGGCTCATTGTTTGTTTGTTACTCAATAATTATTTTAATTAATATCGTGAGAGATATAATAATGTTCCCAACATCTACAAGTTATTTCTATGCATCATTTTTGTTTGTTTTTCATTTGATACCTTGTACATGGAGAGAAATAGATGAGAAGATACATTAGTCAGGCATCTTAATTGCCCGATTTCTCCAGGTAGAGATTCAAGTAAGACTTTAGAGATTCGAGGAGAAGGAGGAAAAGGTGAAGGGAAGGAGAGACCATATAGTACACAGAATGTTCGCTATGTGTAGAGATAGAGAAAAGTTTGTTAGAAATAAACGGGAAGAGGAAAAAGAAAAGATAGGAAATTACATTGAAAGAGAGAAGAAAAGATACAGAAGAGAATGTAGATGATGAGGACTAAGATTTATCAGTGACAATAAAATGGCCACTTTAGGACTTTTCTTGGTGTATTTGTGTGAGTTGAGAAAGAAAGATAGTTTATTTTGTTTATATTATAATTCGTAATAAAAACGCAAAAGTCGATGGATGCGTTTTTTGTTCATTTTCAATTGAGATGCTTTGAGATGAGACGATGTTGATGATAATAATGATAATGTTCATTTAGGTGAAGTCTTTAATTGTTGAAGATTTTAGTATCTTGATATTATGACTTATCTTTCAAAATCCTATGTTCTCCAGCTATTGAAGCTGTGCTGTTGGGCATGGATGCGTAATTACGGATTTGATTTAATGCAATTAATTGGTTAGGAAATGTACCGCTTGATTTAAATTCCATGGATGATTTTAAGTCCATATTATGAACCTGTCCAGTTCCAGGTTTGGCAAAGCCAAAGGTGTCATAAGGGAAATAAGCCGCTGCTACAGCGTTTCGAGCATTGGATAACATACTAGCTGATTGTATGGGTGTAAAGGCTGAGGCAGAGGAAACGGGCTTAATATCTACACCATAAGATAAAATATCATCAGAAGATCCGTTGTGACCATTCGTGGTAGCTGGTTGACCGTTGCCATTTATCCCTCCTACTACAGATGTGCTACTTGATGTGTTGATACTGTTATTAGCGGAGTGGTGCTGAGAATTTGCTGAACCTGTTGATGAGGTTGACCCGTGTCGATGTCCATCAACATCTGACCTTGAATGGTGAAAACGAGATGAAATATCATTGGATGAGCTTAAAGGGCTGCCAAGGAGACAAGAGTTACTCTGATGATGATGTGTCACTGGGTTTAAGCCAGGAGGTGGATGATGATGATTTGATGCCTGAGAATGATGATGAGAGTGATGAGGATGATGAGGGTGGTGAGGTGATGAGGATGAGAAAGTTCATGGAGATCAGGACTTGCTCCAGGACCATTAGAACCATTTACTTTGGTTGAACTATTATTGGAACTAGAAGTACCGTTTGTGGCACTATTGTTACTACTGGTTGAGTCTCTATTACTGCCGTTTACGCCGCTGGCACTATTGTTAGAGTTGGTGGTGTTATTTGAGTTATTGTTGTTAGCTTGGTTATTGGTACTATTATTATTGGCAGATGAAGTTGAGTTCCAACCATAGTGACTTTCAGGGCCTCCGCTACCATTACCTGGAGATCGACCAATGAGACCAGCAGCGGCCGCGGCTGCGGCTGCGGCTGCAGAAACGGCAACTGCAGCAGCATTTGCAGCAGCGACCGAAGATGCGGATGATGATGAGGCTGATGAAGATCCGGATGAACGTTTGTCAGGACGATCGGAATGCTTCTGCATATGCTTGGCTAGATACGTTTCCTGAGTGTAACTTTTGCCACAAAATTGACAAATGTGAGTTTTGAGGTGTTTCGATTCTTTATGTTTTGGAATATGATCTAAAAGAGCCGTTTCGTCGACGAAACATTTATAACATGAGTTACATTTGTAAGGTTTATCTGTTTGATGACATCGTGAGTGCGATTGTAAGTTCGATAACTGTGAGAATGCCTTACTACAGCCACCATGACGACATTTATAAGGTTTGTCACCGGTGTGGGTTCGAATGTGTTGTTGGAGATGAGATAGTTGAGTGAACTTTCTGGAACACATTTCACATCGGTAGGGTTTAATACCAAGATGAATGCGTGTGTGTTGTGAAAGGTAAGAGGAGTTTGCGAATGATTTGGAGCACTGGGAACATTTATAAGGTTTAGGTTCTCTCATATGAATCTGAGTGTGGAGCTGCATATCTGCTTTAGATCCAAATACCTGTTGAAAATAATCAAGAAAATCGTAGCAAAGTTACAACAACAATTTAATCAATAAAGGACCGAATTCTGAATACGAAAGTAAATGAAACATCAGAAATACAAAAACTTTAGAACTTTAAAAAAAAGTTCATCTGAGCTTGAAAGCTAAGAGATGAATCTATTCACAAAAGTTTCTATTTTTCCTTTACATGCTGATTAGAAAACTGTGTTGCTTAACTGTATTTGTCAGTTGTAAACAATAACATTGAACTCTATTGACAGGATTTGATGGCGATGATAAAAGTTTAAATTGAAACTGGAATGATAAACATGTATCAACAGAAACAATCTAAAGGGAGAATAAGTTTATCTTCATGGATTCCATTGGAATCCTATGAGAATGGAGAAAAAAGTATCCGCCTTGACTGATGGGTTATATAGATTCATTTCGATGTCTTAGATGAAAAAAAGAATAAGAAAGAGAAGAGAGAGAGAGAGAGAGAGAGAGAAGGAAGAAAAAATGTTCCAATTGCAGCCTATATGTGGAAGTTCACTTTCTTACGAGCAATTTTCTTCTTCAATGATGGAATAGTAATAATAATAATTGTAAGCAAAAAGAAGAACTTCCTATTTATCTATTATAAGCATCGAATATCTTTTTTCGGTATCAAAGAGTTTTGAATGATAAGCGAAGGATAATTTGTGAGTCGGATAAAATAACTTCTACCTGAGGACACATTTTGCACTGATACTTCCGACCTGTACCGTTGGTTGTTGGATTGTTGGGCATAGAGGTTTTGACCGGCTGAGGAACGACCAGGACAGATTGGTGAGGGGGAGCAGATGATGGACTCGAATTCGCTGCACTCCGGTTACTGTATAGACTATGGTGAATTGTGGGCGATGTGTCCAGTCCACTGGAACCCGATCGACTTTCCTCCACACTGTTGGGGCCTGAATAAGTTTGGTAATCTTAAGAATCGAGGCAAAAAAGAGCGGTAAAAGGTGAATAAAGAGATAATCATTGTTGGGAAAATGTAAGAAGAGATAATATAAATTGTAATTCAATTGATTCGATAGTTTTCACTGATTTGATGATCAACAAGCGAAAAGAAAAAAACCGATCGATAGAACAAAAGAAAGTAAAAAGAACAACTTGACACAACAATTAACCGAACATTAAGAAGAAGATGAAAACATTGATGAATCTCTTGAAATGAACAGAGTTTCATGAGACCAAAACGATTGCATAACATGTGATTAGATAGAATCTTCGATAGATCGAGTCTCTTATTCGATCTATCGAACGAAACAATTCCAAAGGAAATTGAACATTTGCCTTTAATCACAATTCAATCGACAACTTAATTGTATTTCTTCACTCAAATTTCATATTCTTTTCCTTGAACTCTCTTTAACGATTCATTCATTTCTCATGACAGTTCGATTGATTTTTCGTTTTCTATCCTCAACAGCCTTTGAATTGGTGTTTTCTCACAAGAAATCAATTGAAATCACCTTCTTACCATCATTACTATTGCCCAGTGATTTAAATTTGGGTTGATGAAGAAAGTTTTTCAATTTGAACAACGATATCACAGGAGTAGCTGTTGCACTGGAATGATTGGCATTATTAGTATTTGAGTGGACCGTTGATTGATTGTTACTATTAATTAATGATGTTGATAGATTTGAATTGATTGACCCAGCAAACCTGTTATGGTTCAATCCATTGTCGTGTGGATGGTGATGGTGATTATTACTACTATTATGATGACCGTTATGACCACTGTTATTGGAAGACCCATTTACAGTTGAATTATTACCATTGACATTACTACTGTTGTTTGTGTTGTTGTTAACTGAACAAAGGTGATTGGTTGAGGAATGACTTGTAGACGGAACTGGTAAACCAATTGAACCAAATAAACTGATTGATGAATCAGGTTCGTGAGACACACTCAGAGAGCCATCTTTCATAAAGTCCATCATCATGTCATGAAGCATTCAAAGTAAAATCCAATTCAAATCAATACTTGAGACTCGAATAGCGAGCAATCAAATGTTACGATCAGTTGTTTACCATCACTGACCCAACAGGAAATCAACTAATCGAGCAGATGATGGCGATTCTAATAATAATGATGATATTATTCAACACGATTGGTGAGGATCCACAAGTTTTGGTTTAATTATTATTCGAGTCTTAATTACTATTGAGCTTATTGCTTTTCGAAAGATAATCACTGAATTTGATGATTTTGACAGGAAATAAAAGAGGCAAAGGGACTGAAAATTTCTCTCGCAACACTAAAAGTCCCAAAATCCATGATGAGATATCAATCTCATCTCAACAGAAACTTAATGAGTCGATTATTATCTCAAAATGGTTTGATGTTAATCAATTTCACTATTGGACCGAAGATTTCGTATCGCTGATTAGTCGCTTAGTAAATGTTGATTGTTAGTTAGCGAATGTTGGAACAATAGAATAAAAAATGGAATAATTGAAGATGATAATGATGATGATTAGGAAGAAAACATCTAGAAGAAAACAAAGGATGATGACAATGATGAAAGCACGATGAGCATCACGATTCTTAGAATATAATTACTAATGAGATTGTTTGGAAAAAGTTAAACCTTTTTTTGCAACTCGAAATTGGAATAAAAAGTAACAGGAAAAAAATGATAATCAATTTTCTTTGTTTCTTTGTATCCCTTTTCTTTCCTATCTCCATCTTTCTCTCTCTTTCCTTTTCTTCCTTTTCTTCTTCTTCTCTCTTTCTCTCAACCATTTTTGTTGGACCTCAAAATTAAATAGACTTAAGCTCCTCCTCTACTCAAGAATTGAGCTTTTCTATAGGTTAGTGGAAAGAGAGAGAGAAGATGAAGGAAATTAGTGGAAGGATGAGAGAGAGAGAGAGAGAGAGAGAGAGAAAGAGAGAGAGATGAAGAGAAAGAAAAAGTAAATGAAAACTAAGAGAATTGTGTAAAAGAATGAGATGTTTTTTATGAAAAAGAGTAAAAGATGAAAAAGATGGAGGAAGAAACGATGAGGATGAAGATGAAAAGGAACAAAAGTGAGAATTGAAACTATGGATACATGAATTTTGGAGCTCGTTTTTTATTCGCCCAAAAGAAATAGGAAAACCTGAAAACTCTGTGAGTCGAAATTAATCAGCCGAAGGCAATTAACATGAAAAGAAAATATTATTACAAAAAAGCAGCAAACAAATGAAAGAGTAAAAATGAGAAGATGAAAACAAAAATGGAGGAAAATCGAGAGAGAGAAAAGCAAGTGGATGAATCGAAAGCTTAAAGAAGATGAAAATGATTGGAAATTGAATAAGATGAAACAAGGAACATAAGGTTACGTTATAAATTAACGGAGAAAGTGAAGGAAACGGATGAGAGGAATTCAATCGAATCTCTTGTTCCTTTTTTGTAACATAATCAAAATCGATGGGGAGAGTTAAGGGTTGGGTTAAAGGGTTGAAATGAAGATGAAGATGAAGATAAAGATGAAGATGCTTTGAGTGAGCTGTTTGCCCTTGCCCTTGACAATCAAATGTAACATAAGGGGAGAGACATTGAAATGATGTAATACAATGAAGAGGAAGATAAGAAGGAAACAAGAAAAAGCTAAGAAAGGAAAAGATGAAGAGAAAGGATGAAAAGAGAGATGAAAGGATGATGATGAAAAGAGGAAGTAAAGTATAAGAAAAGTGCAATTCAAGGTATATCCCGATTATTGGGCGATCAGTTTAACCCTTCCACGCACTTCTAATGTAATCTAAACACGTCGCAATTTAATAGATTGAATCATTACATTCAATTAGATGCAACGGTACTTTGATACCTGGGGCATTGGGCTACAGACATATTGAGACACAAAAGCATCGACAATATCCTTAAACCTTTTTTTCTTCACTTTTTCTTCTTCTTCTGTTTTTTTTTGTGGTTCTTTTCTCTTCATCCTTTTTGATATGATGTGAAATCGCATCATATGTTCTTGTTGTGCTAACCCTTTCATGGAATAGAAAAAAAGTTGCAAAAAAAGTATTGAGCCAAACCCTTTTTTCCTCTCGAAAAAAACTCGACTTACCATAAGATGGCGGATATCGAATATATTTAGTATCAGATGTTTTCTATTCTGATATTCGAATGATATTAATGATGGTCGTCGTTATGAGTGCAGGAGGAGGAGGAGATGAGCAATTGATGAATGAATCATTGTAACAGTTATTTCTCAGCATTTCTCAATATACTCATCATTATTCTGAGTATAATTATCCTGATAAGATGATTGCGCATAAACACAAGGTGAACACACAGAGTGAATATTAACTCGAAACAAAAGAGTTGAATTGGAATTGATTGTTGTTATTGTTGGTTGAATGTTGATCAGTCCATTTGAATGAGAACAGAACTGAAACTCAGGGAGAAATGAACTACACTTGGAATCACTTATTAGACTTATTTTTGTTTCTAATATTTTCTATCGCATTTTCAACGCAGGTAAGATGATGACAATGGTGATGCTTTTCCACTACAATCACAGTTATCAAGGTGAAAATTAGTAAAGCAAAAAATGAAACATTTTTTATCACTGACTGTTGGAATTGGATTACAAGGCTTAGTGTTCAATTCAAGGGTAAGGAGTCAAGTTTTTTAGGGAGGAGGTGGATGAGGATGAGGATGAGGATGAAAGAAAGACAAAGAGATGAAGAGAGAGGGATAGAGAGGGATAGAGAGAAAAGAAAGAGCCTTACAAGAAATTAAAGGCTAAATTGATCAAATTAAGAAGAGGGGAAAGTAAATACAATTCGAATCTATGCAAATCAGCCAATCAGAGGTGAAGAAAGGGGAACATGAGCCCATGAGATTGCGTCGATTTTATAAAATAAAAAGAGTTTGATAAAAAAAGATGAAGGAAAATAAGGGAATTAGAGGGAGGAAGAGAAGAGAAGAGAGAGAAAAGAGAGAAAAGGGTTAAAACGAATCAAGATATTGATTGTTTTCTACTCTTTCGGGCAACTTTCACTTCTCTTCTTCGTCCTCATCTTCATCTTCATTATTCTCGAATTGACTGTTGTCTTTTCTCTCTCTTTTTCTCTTTCATAGTTTACATGATATTTCATTAGCTTTTTTCATCATCTCTTGATGATCCATTTTGTTCAAAAAAGTCGAACCTTTTTTATTCTCATTTTCATTCGAATTCAGATTTCAAAGAATTTTTTCTGTTGAGGATAATCAGTTTTCTGTTTACTTTTTTGTTTATTCCTCTTTCAATTGTCTGTGTTTTTTTTTCCATTACATTGATTCATCATGTTCATCAATTAATTGTGTTTACTTTTCTATCTTCGCAGGATAATCATTTTTTCTGTTGATCATCCTGAAAATTTTCTTGTGAATTTCTCATCAATAACCAAATTATTGAGAACATAAGTGACCATTGGAAAGAAAATCATTTCTAAGTATTTAATGGACATTGTGATGAAGAAAAAAAAATGAAATTGATTGCGTGATGATTATCGATGAATGGATATCATCATGAGAAAGTGATTATATCGACAAGTTTTCCACACGCGGAGAAATATTGATCTTAAATGTGAGATAACTGGTGAGGCTCGTGATTAATTTTCAATGAGGAGGAAGAGGAAAATCATCTCAACCCAAGTATTCACGCGATATTAAAATATCCGATTGATTATCATGTTAATTATCGATAATCAAGTCCAATCAGTTTACATTATTAAGAACAAACTAACACGGTGATAAATGATTCGGACTTAAGTCTAAAGTGAGTTGCCTTTTATTACAGAAAAAATTTGTACTAATCTTTGATTTTCTCATTCACAGTCAGCTGGATCGCCTTGATGATGTTACCAATTGGAATTATAATCAACTAATTTTTAAACGAACAAATTGAAGATCCTCATGAATGAGAATATGATCAAGTCTTAATGAGCAAAAATTCTTCTTTCTCTCTTTTGCTTCGGTATCAACCATTTATATCGAAACTTGTTACATCTTTTCTCTTCATACTTGCTTGTTTTATCTCTTCATTATCTTCTTCAGTTCTGTTAATTTGCTGCTCATGAGCAAGAATCTTCTATGAATTCACTCATTCAGGCGACTGAGTCGTTCCAAGGTTATCATCAGTACTCACCAAGAACGAGATCTTCTCTCTCACCCTCAACAGGATCTTCTCACATCTTTTTTCAAGGTAGTTATTACATCATTAAGATTAACTCAAACTGTGTTGGTCTTACTGTTTGATATACCTGTCAGGGAAAAGGACAATCAGGTTGACCACAAGTCATAATCACCACTGTCAACGATCAATCATAATGAGTGACCATCAACAAGACAATTAATCTCATGAAGGCATGGCCAGTGAAAGACTATACAAGTAACTCATTTCTATTCAGGAATGAACCAAAATTTTATCGTCAATTCATTTTGTTCAATTGAAAAGAGGGAAATTGATTCAAACGTTATGATTAAGTTTGATTATCAACTAATCATTTAGTAGTTAAACCGGTTACTCTGTAAAGAGATCATTTTCTTTCCTTTTCCCATTACCTTTTTATTTGATTAGAAATTACAATTAAGTAACAATTATCATTTCCATTGAACATCAAGTGATTTAAATTCACACTTTGATTGCATGAAACTCGTGCTGATGAAATAACATGAACAACGATAGAAATAGAAATACTTTTATGATGAATGAAAAGGTAAACAATCAACAGATTAATAAGAAACATTATCAAGTTTTCATGATAATTAATAAGTCATATTCTGGTAGTTCATGTGATGATTTGTATATTTGTATGAAAAGTTTCCGACATAGTGATTAGCACTATCATGAAAATTGATCAGAAAAAGTCAAATTAAACCAAGTTTGTTTGAGAACATTAATCAGTCCAACTTGATTATAATCAATTTATTCCAATCAAGGTTATCATGTTGTCGATGGCTGCTGATTTAGTTCTGTCAGTTATATCACCAAAAGATAACTTATTAACTCCTAATAGTTGGATCATAATTGTGATTAACAATTTTGATTGAAAAATCAAATTATTAACTTTTGTCAACATGAGGAAGAGGCCAAAGGGCTCACTCACATTCTGATATCAACCTTGAAAGGATTTCAATTAACTAATGATGATGATAATTCTGTTGATCATCATCCCAACCACACCTCAAAGCTTAAAAAGAGAGTGATAATCAAGGAAATGATCATAAATCAAGTTGAATTGAACAACTTATTTAATAAACTTGAGCCTAAACCAGTTGATCATTTCCTTGATTTTCTTGATTCAATTTTCTCAATTTATCCCCATCTTCTAATTTTACTTTTCTCTCCCTTTCTCATCAACAGGTAACCACATTCGTACTCATGTAATTTAATCTCTAACAAGAAATCAACACTGTGCTCACTCAGAGATGGACCGATAGAATTTACCAGTTTTCATCATTTCAATATTTATTTGGAAACATTTTTACAACACCAACACCACACTGAGATAGACGATGAGAAAACAAAACAATAGCAACGAAACTAAGCCTTCAATTCAAATCAACATCATGCTAAGAATTCAAATGACAATGTAAATGCTACATGATGATAGTGAGTTTTATTCATGACGATGATTATCTTAATGATAATTTTGTCAAATTACTTTTCAAGTTGAATGTTTTCTGTTGGAATATTAATAATGAATATTTATATAAATGAGAATTGAGATGTTTATATGATTGAGTGAAATCTTTCAGAGTGTGTGTCATATTCACCTCAAGGCACAATAAGTATTCAACCCAACAAATTAGACTGACCCTTGGACAGTTTCATGATTGTTCAGTGCAACTCAATTATAATTTAGTACAAAGTTTATAGCGATTCGTTTCCCATTAATTTACAATGAGAACTCAATCATATCGCAAATGAATGTAAGAAAATAGTTCATGAAGAAGAAAAATACAATTTTATGATAAAAAGTTGACATTAGTGTCAAGACATAAAACTATTCCAATTCTGACATTGTAAACCTAAGTAATCATGACAAATTATCATCACTAATACTAGTTTTATTCTCAATTTCTCATTTCAAGATTCAAAGATGAACCAAAAACCAACAAGTTTCAAAGAGGATTAAAGATTTGCAGATATTCAGACACAAGGAGGATAAAGATAATCAAATGAATGATACTGGCAAGAGAAATACTCACAAGTAATTAAGAGAAACTAATCAAGTAAACAAACGATTAATAATCGTAGTGAAACAAACAATCAACAAGTTTCTAAATTCAATCAACTTATTGGGCTCAGTGCCAAAAATCAAAATGAATGAAGACCAAGTAAATTAGTAGACTAGTTGATTAACAAATTTACAAACTAAACAGCAAAAAGTTTAATTCGGTTTCTAGGACTTAGTGGTGATCTGAGATTTTTTTCGACCCACAAGAAGCGTCCAGGGAAAGTTCAATCAAGAGCGAAACTACAAAAGAGTAGAGAAGACGAAAGAAGAGGATGGAGTTGAAGAGAAGGCGAAAGATGAAAAGTTGATCTGAAATCATTGAAGCAAAAGGTTCTAACAGCGTAACCTTTATGATGTCAATTCTACTTCCTTTAAGGAGGAGTAGATGGAAAAGGAAAGAAAGAAAAATTGAGAAAGTCCAAGGTGAAAAGAAGAGAAAAGTCCAAAAGCCTGATGACAGGAAAGAGAGAAAAGAAAGAGAAAAGTAATATTAGACAAACAGAGATGATTATCATGAAGATGAGGAATAGAGAGAGAGAGAGAGAGAGAGAGAGCAGATCATTAAAGAGACCAGATATTAACGGTGTGGGAGAGATGGAGATACTGAATAATATGGTGTTCGTAGGGAAGATGGAGAAGAGAATGGAAAAGAGGCAGATTCGGTAAAATACACGATCCATGACGGAAAAGTAATAACAGGTTTAAGAATCTTTTGTGATTCATCTTCATCTCTTCCAGATAATCTCAAGAATCTCCTATAAAGCGCCAGTTTATGGTAACAATAGTCGACAACTTGACGTTGTCCTTTCCTCTCAGTTCTCGTGGTTAAACCTTTTTAGTGCCTCATCTTCATCATCTAAGTAAATTAACTAATCTCCCTCTTTTACTTTAGATCATATTGAAGATCATTATCATTAAGTGAAAGTGAGCTGACGATGAGAAGTGATGATTATCATCTTTACATTAATACCGCTTCTTATAAACAACCTTGTGGATCAACGGGAGAAACTCAACTATTGCAACTATTACGATGATAATCATAAGTGAACATAAAAAACTGAGGTAAAAATGAAGACAAGAATTGCAAGATGACATTATTATATTTATCTCCATCTTACCTGGTTCAGTTCATCGTTTAAAAAGCAATTTATTTAATTTAGTTTGTAGAAGTTGAAACCTAATGAAAAAGGCGTCAGGTGAATACCTCCTACTTTACACCCAAGGCGAGATAATGATTCGCCTTAAATCACCTAAAAAGAATCAAATTAAGTGTGGATATGGTTAACAGAGTTTAGATGATTGTTAATGAATGAAATTGTCCCAATGATAACAACGATCTAGTCTCCACTTTACAACTCAATTGCATTTCGCTATCAACACCATTTACTATCATTACATTACCATTAGCTGGATATTTCTAGGTGGCTACACCTCGTAATACAATTAACCATCATGATTAAAATGATTATCATTTTTATGATTATTATATTTACCTTAAAACAGTTTAACTGGTTAAGCTTTTAATAGTTGTAACCTTATCAATGATTAGTATCATTCAAGTTAATCATCATTTAAATTACATTTAAGGCAACTAATTTTTCTAGGTAATCAAATGAACGTTGAAACTTTTGTATCCTGATAGTTGATTTAAGATTACGATTCCGTATTAGACTGTAATCTGTTAATCAAATCAATCTTACAACCAAATAATTAAATCTAATCTGAATGGTGTCGATTAAATTTATTTAATAAATTAAATGCGACAACGAGAAGAGGCTTCTTATAAATTGATTAAATTTTCTGTAGCCAGTTAATCAATTGGTAATCAAGCTAAAAACACCCAACTATTAATGAGAGAATCATAATCAATTATTTATTAGTTAGTTGAATTAGCTTTTCATGTTGATTAGTTGATAATTAGCTGTAAATGGAATCAATGTTATAAAGGATAAGACAGTTAATTAGCAAAGAAAATCAACAACTCAATTAACAAGATCAATTAAATCTAATGAAAAGTTATCAATACAATTAACCATGACCAAGTTGCATCAGAGTATAAAAAATGTTGAATGAAAAAATATAGAAATGAGTAAATGGGAAATATAATAAACTTAATGAAAATTTGATTCTCATGATTAAAACGTTGATAATAATGATAAGCAATGTATGTCAATTGTCAGAAAGTTGATTAAAATTGTGATCAACAATCATACATGTTATTATCACTGAATCAACAGTGAAAGTGTTAACAACAATCAACAATCAAACAACAGAATCATTGGAATCGTTTTTTACTATTAAACAACAATTCAAATGGAGATGATAATGGAAACGATGTTAGAAGGTCAATTCACTTGGCTTAACATGATGAAGATACGATGAGGATGTGGATGAAAACAGAATGAAAGAGAGAGAGAGAGAGAAGATGAGAAATTGTATCCTTATTTTCTTCTTCTCATCATGATCATCATCTTCAAAGGTGTGAGAAAGTAAATTTGCTGCCAAAATGATTAAAAGTGATCCTTAATTCATCACCAGTTTATTCTGATAATTGGTTGATTCAATTGTTGGTAAACAAATATAACAACAATCAAATCATAATAAACATGAAAACACAAAAGTTATTCAGTTATAAGGAGGAAAAGTTCATTGAAGCTCAACAGTATTTATATTTAGCTTATTAAAAAAAAGTTCATTTTGATTGTTTCCATTTTGATTTGAGACAATCAAGAAGAAAGAGAAAGCCTTTGTCGTTATTTCATTAACGTCAACTGATTGTGACAATTAACTTTTGATTGTTCGTTCATTTTTATGTTCGTTATCTTCTTCTTCTTAATTTTCAATAATCAGTTCGGTTATTTTGTATTTAACCATAAACACAACAATCAGTTGCTGATCGAATTCAATTTTTCTTGATGATCATCATTTGTTAATCAAATCAGAGTAAATTTAGATTTAAGTTAAGAAATTGGTTCTTACCTTTATTAATTGAATTATGTTGATTTTCCTGTGAGTTCATTTGCTTCTGTAAGAGTGAAAAAGATTTCAAATGATTAGCATCAGATTGATTAAAGTTTACAAATTAGGATGATTAAAGTGTTTAGTAAATTGTTAATTTTATAATCTAATCACTGGTCCTGATTTCGGGTTAATCCTCAAGGTTATTAATCACTAACAATGAGAAATTAAATTCAACTGTGAAACAATTCACCTCAAGGTTAACTTCATGGTAACATTGATTTAAAAAGGTAAACAATTGAATTAGTAACAATTAAATTGAATCATAAGCAAAGACAAAGCTTCAGATTTTTTGTTAGGACTGAATAAAAGACAACAAATTAATCGCAACTGAATTTATATTGAATTTAAATTGTTAGACAAAAAATATTAACCACTTGATACAATTAAGCATTAAAATGATTAAAATTGTTTTAATCATGAGCCTATTAAATAAAGTTTTCAGATAATCTCATCACTGAATCTGGTAAATTGTTAAAACAGTTAATTTTGGTTAATTACCATCTAATTTAATGCTAATTATATTAATTAATTTACAACATTTAGCATAATCAGACTAACCGGTTAAAGCATTTGAAATATAAGGACAACTAAGGATATGAGATTGATTAGTGAATGTGATTAATTGCTTAAAGGCAATTTAAATTGTTGATTAGACAATCCCAATTAGTTAAATACTTGTATTACAGTAAACAACTGTCACACTAATCCTCAAATCTTTACAATTAATAAATTGCTTTTGATTAAAAATCTTGGCAAAATAAAGGTTAATGTTAATCCAACGTTTTCACATCTCGTTTTTTCATATTCAACAAAACTGATTATTTTTGAATTTGGTCAGTTTAATGACCAATCGAAAAGCTTGTTGATTCAATTGATATTGATTTTCAATTATTCAATAACCAAATCAGGGTAAAAATAAAAATTTAATAAGTTCATTGTAACTGTTATTATTAATATTATCCATGTGCGATGAATAAAATCAACAGTTAACATGTTAATTATATCAATAAAATCAATAAGAAAATGTCAACGAACAGGATATATCATGAAACATCAATAACAGTTGATATTGCAAAGCCAGTAACCGATTAAACCAAATTAACCTTGAATTCAGTAATATCTGTGTGAATTTAACCTTTGATCATGATGATCAAAGATGACGATGAGGCGACATGTCGAAAAGATGTCGACAGATTAACATCGTTAATCGTTCATGATCAACACTATTTATCCAATAATAATAACATAACATCAGATTATGACAGAAACAGAATTGAAATTAATCACTTTTTTACCCTTTCCAAATATACGGATCACCAATTTAAAGATTATGAATGGACGTTGGTCAAACATGGTGAGGATTCTCGTCAATTATTAGCTTGCGAGTTCGTTGCTTCAATATCGTTAGAGAAGATTAGACTTAATGAGAGTAGAATAGTTTTACGAAATGTTTTTATATTTACTCTTTTAATCAAAACTCCAAGTGATTTACTGATCGCATTAGTGAACCAAAATTAACGAGTAACTCAAATGATTAACTAATTGTTTATTTGACTTTTTTGCAACTTCTTTCGAAAAGTAAATTTTTTCTTCTGAATATCGGAATCTCATCGATGCATGAAACTAAGAAGATTTATCTTTATCTCTCTATTTACACCTTCCTCTTTTCTCATCATCATCATCATCTCTCTCTCTCTCTCTCTCTCTCTCCTGATGATTTGTTTACTATCATTTATCATCTTTAAAAAAAGCTCATCTTCCTATAGGCTTCATCAAGATGATTCCAATTGAAATCGACTTATTCAGTTGAGATCTTAGAAATTATCTTTCCAGCTTATTAACCTTTTAGTATCCTGATACATCACCTGATTGTAATTTAATTGAATAACAATAACGATTAATTAAAAATTAAATGTATCGTTAAATAAAGTTACTTAACATGTTAATCTTTTCATAGACTAACATAATTTCTGATTGGTGTTTGTTGATTGTTTTGGTAACGCTAATCAAGTAAATAGTTTTAATTTTTTGAAAATATGTCCCAAGTGATTAGATAATGTAATTAATTGAGACAAAAGAATCTCAATTATTTAGAGAATTAAGGTGAACAGGAAATTGTAATTATCCAGGTAATAATCTAATCATAATTAGATTAAGTTTAACCAACTTTTCTAAGTTAATCGCCAATCAGAACACAATCAGTTAATCATTATAATTTAAATGAATTTGATTTGCGTAATTTTCAACAATTTGCAGACTAAGGTGAAGATAAGAGGAGTTGAGTCAAAAATTTAATTGTCTAATCATCACTAGACATTAATACGTTTTCTCTATTTCTCAATTAAGATGAAGATTAACGGTAAAAGTAAACAAAATGTTACAATTGAATGAAAATCAGGCCAAATAAATAAATTCGATGGTTGAAAAAACGAAAGCAAATGAATGGAAGACGAAAAAAGCTTAAAGTTGAAAGATCTTCTTCTTATTGTTATCACAATAAATCAAAGAGAGATTTCATTCAAGCCTGGGAAACATGATGATTGCGAAGATGGACCAAGACAACGGAAGAGAGAAGAAGACAAATCATCACACAAAAAGATACAAACCCTTGGGTTTAGAAAAAAACAGGTAAAGGATAAAGAGAATCGTTTAAAAAGTAACATTTCATTCATGCAAAATGATCAATGAGATGAAAGGAAAAGGATCAAGATACCACAGTTATAATGCCAATGAGTTGACCTCAAAACTTTGGTATCTTCTTCATCCTGTGTTATCATCACTTTAACACCTAAGTGCTTAGTGAGAGAGAAAGAAAGAGAGAGATGAGTAAGAAATTGAGGTTAACCAGGTTAAAGGTTATTCTACATTCTATTAATAACAATTGTAACTTGTTGATGAAAGGACAGTGACGATCCAAATAGTAAAAGGTATCAACGGATATGTGCCGATCTTAAAGCGATACCGTTACCATTTGTCACATTTGTAAACATCTTAAATTATGACAATAAAATAACCGTTTAAGAATCAATTTAAAAGGGTCAGAGGGTTAAAAGACTAAAGGACTAAGTGTCACGTATCAAGCCTCCAAATGGAAAGTAACTGTTTTCATTCAAACGAAATACATGCAAAGTTAACCAGTGATAAAGGGAAGATGACAAGGTCATCGAAGGGTTGAAAGATTGTAAAAGCGGAAAAGGAAACAGACTTTCAGGTCCTTCGTTGAGACAACAAGTCCAACGAAAGGTAAGCAACTCATCTCATTACTTACTGGTAAATAGATTGATAAAGAAGGGGCTTTAATCATATCCCATAAAGCCATTGATGGATTAATTTGGTAATCCCGGTAATTAGAGTATTTAACATGTTGTTGATAACCATCAAGATTTTGCATGTAACCATGAGATTCATAAGAGTTACCAACAGTTGATCCATAAGTTTCATAGTTATCCATAGTTGATTAACTTTTGATTGTAAACTTTTCGTTTCTCAATCAAATCAAGTTGCGTTATGAATATTAAATTATTACAATAAGATTAACACGGAACATGTAACAAGAACAAACAAGAATAAAAAACTTTGTGTCTCTCGTTTTTTAAATGTCGTTTCTGATGAAGAGTGATGATGATTTGGAGATGAAGATGATAACGTTATTTTATCAATGGAATTGAACAAATGAAACAAAACATTATTGACGATTAATAATAATACATTAATTTAATAAATCTATTTAAACTTAGTACGTTGATTAACACACGATTAAGATGATTAATAATCACGAGCAAGAAAAGTTACAAGATTTGAAAGTTTTATTGTTGTTTATTTATTTCATCACGTAAGAAGATGATGAGGATGATGAAAAGTTAAACAATTTACACTGATAAATTCATGATTCGATTGGAACTGAATTTAATTATTCTTATATATTATTACTATATATTTATGTATTTATAATGTGTTTCTTTAGTATAAGGAGATACATTTAAAGAAACAAAATGTGTATTAGTAGTTGTAGGTTAACTTGTGTATCATGCAAACATACAAGTTGCATGATACACATCACATTGAGTGAGTGAGAGTGAGAGAGAGAGAGAGAAGAGAGAGAGAAGAAGATAAAGAAAGGGGATGGAAGAGAAAAAGAAAGAGATGAAAGAGAGACTTTGAAACCACTCCTTCTTGCGATTGGCTGATACAATCAACTTTTCTCATTGAGTTTGCTCAGTTTATCTTCATCATCATTATCGGGACACTCGACGGACTAAGATGATGATGAAGATAAAGTTGATGACGACGGAGATGAAGCTCGTCTTTGTAGCAACGAATCAACTATTTCATTGACGCTTTTGTTTTCGTTTTTTACTTTTCTTTCATTGTTATTGTTTAGATGGTTGAGTTTGATCAACGTCGATCTTTCGTCAGGCCAAATTATCAGATTTGAACGGTGATGACGATAAAGGAGAGAGATTGATGATGAGAAACCAAAAAAAAAAGTGACAACAATCAGCGAAGTTTAAAACAAAAGCATCAATTTCGTGTTGATTAAACATTTGACATCGTTCTTTATATCAGAATAACTTTTACTTTGGATTAAGATTAATGGTTTCAATCAGCAGGTCAATCAAAACGTTGATCTTCATTTATCCTTCTTTCCCATCATTTCTCCAGTTTATCAACATTTTTGCAATTGAGTTCCTAAGAGACAGAAATATAATGATAATTACTGATCAATAATTTGAATAAGATGATAATCGTGAGGAGATCCCTTTCAATTCATGTACTTGTACACTTATGTACAGAAATGAAAAGTTTTTTCATGAAACTTTTAATTCTTTGATGAATATTTTCAATGAGAATCATTAATTAGATGATGATAACTCATCATGATGAAAATTATCATATACATTTAGAGAAATTATTCAAATGTTTCCAATGGTTG